CACACATGTCTGAGTATGAGCAAGTTAGGAATCAGCGAAGGGAAGCGCACGTGACGTCACACATGTGTGACGCGACTGAGCTCATAAGTGTGAGCATGGCCGTTAGCCGTATAAAACATACTGTTTAGGCCGTCATGCGAGCAGAGGAATCATTCCGCTTTCAACAGCGAAACCATGTGAACAAATGAACTGAATCTCCGACAGACTAACTAACTAAAGTGAACAATTCGAAACAAAGAAAATGGAGAAATGTGTGACTGATAAAGCGAAAAGTTAAACGAACTTTATTTTGATTGATTAGTTCGTTCACAGTTATTGATTATTGACCAACCAGTGAATATTTCTATCAAAAGACACTAATAATCAACATACAAATATCCCTCTATATGTATATATATATATAGCTATATGTATATACTACGCTATAATCCATTCAATTGCATTGGAATTAACTATTTAATTTCTTGGATTAAAACATTGATATTGGGTGTCAGTGAAGCTGAATACTTCAGGAAATTTTACTAATCTAATCGGTACGCGTACACGTGCGCGTACACGTACTCAAATGCCTTGCATGGCCAAAGTCAAAGTTTCTACCATTTGCAGAATATTTCTACTATTCCGACATGGAAGAAGTTCCTAAACTAAATAGAAATCGAATTCGTTCGCCTTAGCCTCCTCAATCGGACCAGCACCAGCAATCTATATCTTTTCGACTAAACTATAACTTAATTAATTTTGTGAATATTATAATACTCCCATTTGCAATGATTTCATCGTGAAGATATTAGTTTTATTATTATTAGCAGAGGAGACTGAAATAATAATTATATATAGCCATCCTTGAAGATGTCTACACAACACAAATAGATGTTTCTTATATGCATGAGTGAAACATCTAAAATTCAAGTTTCTAGCATATTAAAATCCTGTGTTCATTTTATATATTATATAGGACTTCCCGATTTGCAACTTTCTATTCATATATGATATACTCGTATATCAATGTCAAATATGTAAAGTCGACGAAAACAACAAAATAACAGCTGCTTTTGGTTGTTCGAAAGCTATAAACAGAAAGTTTTCCTTAAACTAGAGTAATTTCACAATTGTATGATCAACGCTATTAGTAAATTAGCTTTGAAATACTATTTTTCCATTTTTATGGAATCTTATTAAACATGTTTGAATAAGAATGAAAATGGAGAATACTTTTTACTTATTTCCATGTTTATGGATTTTTCATGATAAATGGGTCGCCTGGACTCATTGGATGAGTAGTTCCTTTCGATTTTTTCATTTGCCATTTTTGTATTTCTCGGGGGTGGACATTTCACAATTGTGTGTTTGTGGATGTGCACTCGTAATATGTGCGTGTACCGAATTGTGTTTGTGTAAGTGTGTGAGTTGGTCGTTCGCTTCGCCGCCAACCATCTTGTTTTTTCCAGAGTACAAAAACTCACCACCACCACAAGCTAAGGAATCGGTAGCAGAGAAAAAAGGCAGAAGCAGCACACGCACACACACAAGCACACACGCATACAAACACATACACACGCACGCACAGAACCATTCCAGCGCCCCTTTGCCAAGGCCATGGCTCAACTTGTGGCCGAACTCAAGTCCCAGTCCTTGTCCCAGTTCGAGTTCGAGTTCGATTCCACTCGGCTCGACCATTTGGTTGCACTACAAACAAGTGACTGAGTTAAGCAATGGCGGGGGCGCCTGAGAGTAATGGGAAGAGGGAAAGGGATAGGAGTGGCTATACAAAATTCACTTTCCCAGCTCTTAACAAAGGTATCCACTTGTATCGAAATCACCTATGCTAACTGAGTCTACTACTTATAAGTATGTACATTCATAATCTCACTTGCCCGACATTCGAATGAATAAGTGAAGAGCAAACATGAAAAACAATGGCGGGAGTGATCGAGCTTAGCTAAGAAAAGGGTGAGATAAAGAGAAACGTAACACTAAGTCACACTCCCAGCACTGTGCATTCCGTGTAATAAGTCATCTAATTTATTTGATATTAGCTTGCATGCTAATCTAGTTTCATAAATAATCTACCAGAGACCCCGTTTTTCGACCAAAACTTAAATAATAAAGCTAGAGAAATTTTTGTACACATGGTGTACACCACGACCATGCCTATTCCTACCGCCCATACATGAGACGATTCCCTTCTATTGTTTTTATCAGGGACCGTAAAAAACAGTTATGCATTTAAGAAAATTTATGGACAAAAGAGCCTCCAAGAAAATAGAAGATTACACATAAGCTATTTTTTACGGCAAATTCAAACAAGTAAGAAAGCTCTAGTTGATACTGCTCGACTACGAGATCCCCTGGACCCTTCGAGCAACTGATATTTCAATAATTATTCGCACATGCACACACACATTAAAATTGACTCTCGTTTTTGTCAATAGCTTTAAGAAAGAAATAAATAAATAAATAAATAAATAAAGAGGCATTGGCTGCAGTGTGGGCTTACTACGGAAATTTAATTGCTTAATAACTTTTCTTGTGGTTGGACTATCTTCAGAATAAGATAATAATTGTAAACAAAATTATTACAGATCAATTTTTTTTATTATTTAATAATCAAATCATATCTCTTATTTTCAATTTTTATTCCCTGAACCCGTTGAAAATGGGAAATCAGGGTATAAGGTTCTGTGAAAAATATGTAACAGCACTAACCACTTAGTGGTAACAGGCAGAAAGAATCATCGCAGACTCGATATGTATATTCTTGATCAGGACGACGAGCTGAGTCGATATAGCCCTGCTACGGATCTGATGTTGTAAGAGCTAGAGAGTTGAAATTTGGCATGCTACTTATGTATACCATACGCAGTACAAGTTTATCATATTTTTCGATAGCTCATCCGATAACCTTTTTATCGAAAATGATCGAAAAATTTTTTTTTTTTTTTTTTTTTTTTCAGCCTAATTTGAACACTTTCAGACCTGAAGATTTCAGATTTACTGTGTATATACAGTTGATGGATACGAAGATTTTGTAATTTACAGACTTTGAATACCAGGCACCTTTCGCCCCCAATTTGTACGTATTTTAAGTACTAGAGACTTGTGCTTCGGAACATGCATACATTTAAATATTATGATCACGTCTGAAAGTTTCATAAAAATAGTCTCACTACAAGAGAAATTATTCAACAAAAAAATTTCCCACAATTTCGGCCACACTTAGCATGTATATATATAGGGTTGCCATCCGTCCTGGAATTCCGGGTCATATCCAGCTTTTGGACGTCCCGGTGTCCCGACCTGACACGAAATTGTCCCGGTTTTCTGCTGTTTCGATAAAAAATTCATTTTGACAAAATGCGACATAAAATGCAAACTTGAAGAAGTTTTTATCGAGACAAGTGAAGAATTTGTTTGAGAAAAGCAGCGTAGATAAGGTAGTAGAGTTTTTTGCAACAAACATACACTCGTGCTGTTATTCGGAAGAATTAAAGATAGCAAATTGCCATACTAAATACGCAGTGGTCAGACGACAGAAATAAGTTACTGGTGGAGAATGTTAAAAACATACTTACTGTTCAATATAATTTGGTGTATATAAGTTGTTCCCAGTTTTATAAAATAATGATGAATGAAAGGAATGTTATGTATGTTGGGAAAAATAGACTTGTGGAGAAGTATAATCATGAATATAACAACAATGAAATATAAGGATGTATTCATATGTATGGATGTACTTGAAATTTGCCCGAATAGAATGTAATTATGCTAAATAGGAAGACAGGAAAAATTTCATTTATTTATTGTGAGTGTGACGAGTGAATGATTTCAAATGCAAACATTTTTAGTAGTCTCGTAGTCGTTGACCGTCTCGGAATGGCCTCTGGCCCACATGGTAATCCTAGTATATATGAATGCATAAATAAGTGCGGAACGATTAGAATATCAGCTTTGAGGGTTCAGGGTATCTCCTAGTCGACCAGTCTCGACTACAGCATTCTTACTTGTTTAGTATTACTTGCAGATGATCGAACAGCTGACTTTAAGCCGTTATATAAATGACAGAGATGCATTAGAACAAAAAGACTTCTTTTTAGTAATGTATATACTATTTACAATGTAAATTAAAATAAAGTTTTATTAAAACAGAAATTTTGTTTTTTTTTTTGTCGAAAAACAGGGTCGCTCGCTTAATGTGCATTGTACTGAAGTTATGTTAAGAGAATAAATCAAATTTTAAACAAAACCAAATGCGATTTGCTTACATACATATGAATACTCCTAAATGGCTAGCCGACTGACTGCCCGAGTGGTGATAATCAACAATCGACTCACCATTATAATCAATAAATAGTGATAGTCTTGTCGAAGAAACTATAGAAAGTACGAACGAGCGCATTCTCCCAATGCATGCTTATATCAAAATCGATATATTTCGATCCACATGGTATCGATTAATCATCACTATAAATCGAATGTTGCATTAATTTGCACTCCCTATAATATTCTATATCTTCGTATAGTCCACGTAGTATACTATATATTCAGAAAATTCAGAATATAAACAAGTTTCAATGTAATAAAATATATTTGTTCAAAGCTGCAGTGCACCAGATAACTCCGTACTATCTAATCTGTTGAAAATATCATAAGATTTTAAATTAGGATATCGATGTCGATGTTGGATTCACATGTTTAATGGAAGAATTTACATGCGCTTATCTTTTAACATTGATATTTATATGTATATATATATATATATATATATATATATATATATATATATATGTATATATATATGCTTAATTGCGTTTAATACATATTACAATAAGTATTTAGAGCTGCAGAGCTGAGTCTAAGTCTAATTATACATATACATTGTCCTCAAAAACTATCGGCAATTTCTCCGATATCGATTCTGGTATATATATTATTCTTACGTGTGATGTGAAATATCCATCAGTCAATCGTTGTTTGATCCGCTTTCAATCTTTTAAAATCGATTTCTTCTTGGCTTAGTAATTATACTAGAAGCTAGAGCAATTATATATTTACCATTTCAAGTAATTCAACTTCTGATAAAGAATTTCATGTATAGTTTGAATTTTAATTTATCAATTTGAGGAAATTTATTATTTTATTCCCTTCTGAAGTGAATTTCATCTTGGCTTAGGAAATTTTGCGATTAACTTTGATGCCCGATGCCTTCAAATACAGAGACTAGCTTTTCGTTCGTTCGACAGATTGATTACGATCCGATCCGATCTTATTTATTGACAAAAAATGCGGGATTCGGCGACAAATTTGGTGGCATAGGTATCATATTGCCGCCAACTTGTTGCTGCTGCTGCTGTTGCTGTTGTTGACTTCTAGTATTTGTTGCATATAGTTGCTGTTGAAAACTGTGATATTGCTGCGCATATTTCAGATCATTTGACGACGGTCCGACGAAGTTTACACCCACCCCGTTGCCAGCTGATGACATAAGATTACTATTGTTGCTACCAACAACCATGCTAGGATGTCCTTGCCCCGGTAATTGTACGGGTGGTACTGGGCCTTGCATGCCCACTTGACTTGGACACATGCCCCCTGGCATGGACTTTATGTGCTGTTGCTGACCCTTAGGTTGACCTTGTTGATGTTGTTGCTGATGTGGTTGTTGGGTTTGTTGTTGTTGCTGTTGCTGCTGTTGCTGCTGCTGTTGCTGCTGTTGCTGCTGTTGCTGCTGCTGTGCTGCTGCAAACATTGCTGGCGAATTACAATTACCAGCCCCATTGTTAAACAATACAGTCGGATCATTGCAATCCAAGCCATCGGCACTGCCAGGAAACTGTCCTTGATGTCGATGATTCACAATATTGTTGCCAGCTGGGGCCTGCAAGCGAATGTTGCTCAAACCATGTTGTCGCATCCCAGAAGGGCGCATGCCTCGTATCATTGGGGTCATATCGGCATGCCCTGGCAATCCTACACCCACACTCCCAACGACTTCATCGTCCAGGCCAGCTAGCTGATTACAATTTTGAAAAAAATTCATGCTGCCATGATTATTTATCATTTTGTTCTGCTGCGGTTGTTGCTGATCGCCGGGCGCTGAGCTTATGTTCATCATCATTGGACTCCCATCACTTCCAATTGGGTTTGCCATTTGTGGGTTGGCGTATCGCTGCAAGAACTCCAAACTAGGCGCCATTCGAACATTGCCATTATTGCCACTGTTATTACTATTATTGTTGTTGTTGCTGGTACCGCTATTGCTGCTTTGGGGTCGCACCGGCATATATTGTATTGTATTTGGTGTGCTGGCCTTCACTTGAATATTTGGATTGAAATTAGGTCCGAAATTGACCGGCATGCGACCCATCATTCGTGCGCCCGGTGGTAATATCCCATGAAACCCGGGCCCAGGTCCGTGTCCTGATCCATCACGCATCATGCCATTTGGGCCCGGACTAAAGCTGGAGGGGCCCAAGCCAGCAAGCTTGGGATTCAGCATGCGCTGTCCCATCGAGTTGATCAACGGATTTATCGAATGACAATTGTTTGGAACATTACTCATATGCTCCATATTGGTTCCATCCATATTGGGCACCAACCCAGCTGCAGCTGCAGCAGAATGCTCCATATTCATATCAACTGATCCCGGAAGTGGACCTGGACCTGGCACCATCATATTCATCCCGCCGGCGGGACTGCCCACGCCCGATACACAGCTCGTTAGCTGTTGAGACATCTGTGCCAGAGACGATATTGGATCAAAGTTCTGTGCCATCTTATTCAAGGCTGGTCGATTGCTGCTGCTGTTCGGATTCAGTGGCACATTATCCGAACGACGCCCAAATTGCATGGGTCCTCCGCTGGGTCCACAATTTTGACGCTAAAATTTAAAATAACAATGGACTTTGTCAGTTTAATCAAATAAATAATATTTGCTATACCTAGGACTCTTTGCCTTAGCATTGAGAATGGGAAATCAGGGTATAATGGTTTTGTTGAAATGTATGTAACAGGCATAAGGAAGCGTGGCAGACCCCATAGTGTATATACAATATATTCTTGATCAGGGCGACGAGCTGAGTCGATTTGGCCGTGTCCGTCTGTCTGACTGTCCGTCTATCTGACTGTCCGTCCGTCCGTCTGTCAGTATATTTGAAAGGTGAGGGGGTGGATATAGGGGTGGGGGATAAATTACAACAAATATCAAAAATAAATAAAATACATATAAGTCTATATTTAAAGTTTAGAGACTGTAGCCCTAAAGGTGTAGGAGATATAGTAAAATAACAAACTTTCAATAAGGTTTTTAATCAATAATGCAATATCAGTTGTAATTATCGCTATTTAGAGAAAAACTCGATATGCGCGTGATATACACGGACCTAGGAAAAAAATTTAAATTCTCTAGCGCTTATATCTTCTGAGATTGACGTTCATACATACGGACGGAAGGGGGACAGACAGACGGAAAAGGCTAAATCGACGCCCTGATCAGGAATATATATACTTTGCGGGGTCTGCCACTCCTCCTTCTACCTGTTACATACTTTTAACAAAACCAATTTACCATGATTTCCCATTTTCAATAGGTTCAGGGCATAAAAATCGTTATTTTATTATCGACTAAATCTTATCGAATATCAGTTAAAAAACTATCAATTTGCACTTACGTCGATTGGATTATTTCCATTGGAGCCTTTGTATGCGTTCAAGGCAGTGTTTGGATTATTTTGCACATGTGCGTGTGCATTAAAGTTTAGCCCCGGGCTGGTTGCCGGAAATCGTGAGTCCATGTTATTTGGTTCGATTAAATTATTCGTGGAATTTACGCTGGCATTTGCATTGGGGTTTCCTGGAGACCGAGGACGCTGCGGACTTGGTCTAGTGTTTTTCATTTCACCTAAAAAGACGTGAAAATTGCATATATAATTATGTATAATAGAACGTTTTCCTTCCACAAGATTCAAATGAGTGGTTGTTAAAGGGTTTTGCTGTGCATTTTCCAAATTCTCGATAAATTGAATTAAATGCGAACAAGTAAGAGGCTGCTCGATTAGGAGATACCCTGAGCCCTGCAAAGAACAGATATTCTAATCATTCTGTACTTTTTTATACCTACACATACAAAAACACATGTAAATCTGAAATCTCTAGGTCTAATGGTATTTAAGTTATGCGTAAAAATTTTGCGATATGCCAGAAATCGTGTTAGTTGAAGAGCTAGAAGGCTGAAATTTGGAATATAGATCCGCATTGACCACCCAAGATCACGAGCTATGGCGGATATATCTACGCCCATTGGGGGCGTGGCAAATCGGACCTGAAGATATAGTAATTTTTTAAATTCTGCTACATTTTGGACACTATTAATGCTAGAGACCTCAAATTTTGTATATATACTCGGGCTGATCACTCAAGATCAAAAAGCTTTATCGGATATATGTCCGCCCACAGGAGGCGTGGCAAACCACAACAGTTTATAGCTCCCAAAGTATATAAGCTAGAAGCTTCAAATTTGGATAGTTAAGATACCAGTAAACTTCTCTATCGATTACCCAAAAATAATTTTTACGCCTTTTTAGGGGCGTGCCATATCGAAAAATACCCTGTAATTTTCACATTTTTTGAGGGTAAGCATTCAAACTTTGCAGTTAGGGTACCGTTATCTCGTTCTAAGAACTGACCAAAAATGAGGTGTCTACGCCCAGTAGGGGCGTGGCAAATCGGAAAAGCTGTATTTTCTACAGTATTAGAGCAAAACTTAACTACTAAATTGTTGATGGGATGTGAATGAGTATTCCGCAGTCGGTAACGCCCGACTGCAACGTTATTACTTGTTTTATGCTGAATCTTGTGGAACCTTTGAAACTTCACGCAATTGCCTGAGCTACCCAATACATTTTTAAATTTAATTACCAGCAGTTGACGTTGCGTTAAACGGTTCTAGATCCTTGGGCGAAAGGTGGGAAAGAGGCGTACCGGGATTACTGTTTAGATGATGATTCATCACGTTCACACAAGCATTGACGCTTGATGAATTGTTTCCAGCATTTCGATGTCGACTCGGAGGCGATCCGGCGTCGGTCTGAAAACAGTTCTTCGATGCGGCTATGGCTATATTTGCTGCACCTCCAACTGTGCCACTTGTTGACGAATTGGTATTACTGTTTAGTTCCATGCTAGGTGAATTCGATGGTAATCCAAGGGCACCCGCTGTGCGTGGCGATGGCAGGGACAGATTATTGGGACTGGAAGGATTTGGAGATTGCGTGGCAATAGGCACTGATGCCGAACGTTGAGTAGGATGATATGGCGGTGGCGGTCCTTGTACATTATTTCGAATTACAGCATTTGGTGTACTATTAGTACTCAGTGCCGTAATCGATTGCTGGGGAGTAGGACCGGAACCAGGTCCAGACATGCTTGTCGGCCTACAGGCCGCTTTGCCCACTTTCAAGCGTTCTTCGAAGAACTGCTGTTGCAACTTGGTCCACTCCATGGGAGACATACCGCCTTCAGTTTTGTCGCCAACTCCCATGCCCATAACGCAATTTGTATTACCAAATCCACTTATCAGTTCTGGCGAATTAGCCAATAAGTTAGGATTATTTGAACATTGCATGCCAACATTCATGTTAATATTCATACCAACAGCTGTGCCAGGGCCTGCTCCTGCTCCTGCTCCACTTCCGACGCCGCCTGCCGCTGCTGTCGCCGCAACTGCTGCATTTGCTCCCGGCAAGTTGTTCTTCTGCCCACTGTTGCATGTCATAACAGCTCCAATATCTCCAATAACATCAGATGGCAATGGCATCAGCACATCCTCGCCCAGCTGTGACATGTGCTCCGATTTTTGTAGCTGCTGTGCAGCCGCTGCAGCCGCTTGCATTTGCAATTGCATTTGTCGCATTTGTGCATTTGATGCACCGCCTGTCGGGGCAATGTTCATCATTAAATTTCCAATTGCCGCATCATTTGGCAGCTTGTTCAACTGGCTGCCGGCAGGTCCGCTCTCATTCTCTGGGAACAGGAATTGATTCATTTTTTTCAATTTAGCCAATTGCTCCTCGCGATGTTGTCGCTGTTGCGGTGTCAAGTTTTCGTCTGGCACTTTGACACCCTGCAATGAAATTATATTGCTATCCGTGCTTAAGTCTGTGCTGCTGCATTTTCCCAGAACACTGTCGACACCTTCCAGTAGCTTCAGGGCTTGCGAATCTGGGTCTAGTGTGCTGCGATTTCCATTTCCTGCCTCCCAACACATCAAGTCGCTTTCGTTAACAAGTGATTCGGCTGTTACTGTTGGATCACCAAAGTTGTTTCGCTTATCAGCTTGGCTACTAAAGTGAGCCTTCGATTTCTGGTGCTGCGGCTGCAGCATTTTGGTCAAATTTGGATTTGGGTTCGAATTTGGATTGTTGGAATTCGCATTTGAATTGAGCCAATTAGGTCCACCTGCTCCGGACATGTTGCAAATGTTGAGGCCCAGCGAATTCTGTCGTTGCAGCTTGTTCATTTTCATTGGATTCTTCATAAAGAAGTCTTCAAGAAAACTCTTTGTCGCCGGTTGTGTGCAATGATAGGCGATAATCGTTTGAAATTGTCCGCTTAACACAGATTCTGCCCCATTATTAGCTAGTTGAGTCGAGAAGACAAATATATGATTCTGCTGCTGCATATAGTCCAAACAGTTTCCGACGCTATTGTTGTTGCCCATAAAATTGGATGATGCACCACCACCACTACCAACACCACCACCACTACCAACACCACCACCACTACCAACACCACCAACACTACCACCTCCACCACCACCACCACTACCACCTCCACCGCCGACTCCTGTACTAGCTGCACCAACATTCGGCGAAACATTGATGCCAAGGCCGAGAGATACACCAAGTCCAGGTCCAGTTACAGTTGAATTAGCGTTTAGATTGGAGCTCGTGGAATTTATATCGCCCATACGATCAGCATCCAACGTATTGCCCAATGCATTACAGTTGACAAGATCATTGTCAGTGCTTTGCCTCATTACAGATGGCGGCTTCTCATTCAGCTCCATTTTAACTAGAGAAATAATACGTTTAATTTAGGCTTTTCGTTTATTTTTATGAACTCACCAGGTGTAACAGATCGATCTGTTGTACCAATCGATCCAAATCCCACTGGCGACATGCTTGGCGAGAAATGATCTTCCTTCTTCATATTCACCAAGCAATTTCCCAGCAAGAGATCTGTCGGCTCCTCCTTAACAGTTGCCGTTGTAGTTGCAGTAGGAGCAGCTGTTGCTACCGTTGTTGCTCCTTTTGTACTGCTACTATTGGTAACTATTGAGTTGCTTTGACTATTTTGATTTGATTTTTCCAATGTTGAATTAGCAGGTGTATTCGCTTGACTCGAAGTCAACTTTGGGTTAGCTTTATAAGTGAGAGAGATATATAGATTAGAGAGATATATTATTAGTTAGTATTCTTAATATCCCAACATATATCTTAATATAGTTGTAAAAAACGCAGATCAAGACCTATCTCATTATCCCTCTGTAGAAACATATATTTTACAAACATGGCTGTATCCGCGTAACGCAATGGACGAAGATCTCGGAGACGATGTGACATTATCGTGTCGATCTCCATAATTATTGAGCTAGAGACCATAACGGACTACAGCAGAAACACATATATGGCTATTTAGACGCTGAAGTTCCGAAACTGTAACTTTTCAAGATTCATGTTTGCTGATTTACCACCCTCCCATATATATACATATATATATGGCTATATATACAGCCGACTCTCGTTATTTCGAAATTCAAGGAACTCTTAAAATATTTCGAATTGTCGAGTGTTTAACCATATGAGTACGAATTACCGCGTCTTAGCAATGATTTTTAGTTCGCATTACTGAGTGATAACTTTGAATTAATGAGAGGTTCGAAATAATGCAGTTTTGAAATAACAAAAGTCGACTGTATATGGTCGTTCAATGCTAGTTTTTTCTCCTCCCCGTCTAGTCTAGGTCCTCACGTCTGCCACGAGCTACACCCGGCTTGTGTGCTTCGCGAAAGATTGCATAATTCTAGTTTGTATCTGCATGCGGCATGCTTCCATAGGTTGACGCGCAAACCGAGCATATCCCATTGAAACTGATAAATGTAATAGCCCAATACACATTATTTACCACAATCCTCCTCCTTGATACTGCTGCTGCTGATGGTGACACTGGCACAGGTACTGGCACTGCTACTGCTGCTGGTGCTGTTGTTGCTGCTGTTGTTGTTCTTCTTCTTTAGCAGGTCATCCTGGTGCAGGTCACTTTCGACTGACGAGTTTAGCATTTGTGCAATGTTGCTGCTGCTGCTGTTGCAGATGCTCTTCGTATTTGACTGATCGCTGCCATTATTTGGATTTGGAGTTGACTGTGGCGAATTCCCATTATTTTGTCTAGCTGAATCCGATAAGCCGCTGCTGGCATTGTTATTAATTGTGTTTTTGCTGATACTAATATTATTATTGTTATTATTATTATTATTGCTGCTGCTGCTGTTGTTGTTGTTGTTATTGCTATTGCTATTGTTATTATTATTATTATTGTTATTGTTATTATTATTATTATTATTATTATTATTATTATTATTATTATTATTATTATTATTATTATTGCTGCTATTGTTATTATTATTATTTGTGCTGGAATTATTTTTGGTAGATGTATCCGCCTCATCTGACATGGTTTGATTCGTTTGATTACTTGCGTTCTCTGAGTAAATAAATGACGAAAAATAAAAAGAAATACATCATTGATAAAATTGTCTATTTAGCCCACCTGGCGATAGAGTTGAATAGGGCTCGGCTTTTACTTTCACCGCTTTCAAGGCTTCAATCTGAATAAGGTTTTTAGCCGCTGCATCGGCGTTTGTTGTTGTTGCTGATGTTGATTGGCTGGCGCCTCCTGTTATTGTGGACAGCATTCTCAATAAGTCAACATGGAACACCACAATTTGTGTTCAGCTCCCGAGTGTCTGTAGGTTCCGTATTGCAACCTTTCAATTTCTATTTTACTAAATGTCTATGGGCTCTGAGATATGAGCCTTCTTTTTTAGCTCCCAGTAGTTCATTTCAATGCATTTCACTCATTATTCGCTTTTTTTTTAATATGTCCAAATTCTATAGGCACACTCAAACACACGCATTAACACATTGGCTCATGTTTGTGTTTGTATATATAAACGCTTGCACTCAAACAAAACAACAAAAAATTCTGTATACACACAAAACAGAATCATATATACCTACAGCACACACACAAAAATGACACAATTAGCTTCGAAAAATCGTTTTAGTTGTGAAATTGACGCTCGAGCGAGTGCTGCTCAGTAATTTCACACACTATTTTCACTCTAGCTGCATACAAACAACTATTGCTTATCGAAGAAAATTTTTATTTGTAATTTGTAAATACAACTCGCACAGCTACTTGGCATGCTCCTGCTACATACATATATCAAATATACAATCCATGCTCGGAAATACTAAAAAGTATTATTGTATAGTCGTGTGACTTTTTTATGTATTTTTACTAAAAGTAACGAGTATTTTCTATGTAACGATTATTTTGTGTGTAGTGAGTGAGCACTAGGGCTGCAAATCCATCGATGGAGACTATTGAAGGATTTGGGCTCTCATGATATATCGATGGTTTTTTTCATCCATCGATAATTTACTACTTGATGGCGCGAAGAGACGCATGTAAGCATTTTCCGGAATGTATAAACATTAAGTTAATAATATTATTATATTGTGATTAGCTTTTATAGAAGAATGTATGGACAAATTTTTAAAGCCATCAATTAAGCATGAAACTGATGTTTAAAGTGCAAGTGTGTTTTTTTATTATATTACGTACATTTAAGATGGCGCTTCTGCTTCGCATTCTACTGTGGCGCACTTTGATAATTCTAAGTCTTCCACTGCTGCTGCTAGTACTACTAGATTTTTGCCCACCGCTTCTGAGGATGATGCATCCAATTTTATCCATATCACTGACCAGAGAACACATAGACTAGACATGTAAAACAAATTTTTCTACAGCAGAAAATGTTAAGTTGGTCGACCACTATACTTCGTATTTGGTCGGCTCGGTCGCTGGAGGTTCGAGCAGTGAAAATATTGCATGACAAAGTCAGTGCGCTGCAAGCGCTCAAACGAAATGGTCCCATTCTTATATGAAGCACAGCTATGCGCTATATGTCCTACTCACTCTCCCTCTCTCTATGGTCGCTCAAATCACCGAACCCAGCAGCGCACAAAGATTGAAATTTGTTGGCGACGATCCCAGCTCTTTCCTTTTGAGTGAAGGGTATACCTAAATCATAAAAGCGTTTGTCAGGCTCATGCAAACAAAATGTAGCATTTCGATGGATATTCGTGGGAAGGGTATGAAGTAATCGAAGTATAGTGGTCGACCAACTTAACATTTTCTGCTGTAGAAAAATTTTTTTACATGTCTAGTCTATGTGTTCTCTGGTCAGTGTCCATATGTTATAAAATATATATTTTATTAGATATACAACCGTCACATAAATATCCGATTACTATTGTATTGTATTCTTATACAAAATTGCACGAATCATTTTATGCTGGATGTATGATTGAAATTATTGAAAATTTGTTCATTTCTAAAAACTTCAAATCTTCAATAGAGCTATCGATAGTATGGATAAATCTATCGAGGGAAACCTCTATCGATGGTTTTGCAGCCCTAGTGAGTAGGGCTGCAAATCCATCGATGGTGGCTCCACTCGATATTTTCTCCATCTATGGAAAAAACTATCGAATATATCGATGGTTCCATCGAAAATTTAAAAAACTGAAAGGGAACATTTTATGAAATTTGAGTACTTAACTATTCAAATTTTTATATTATTTACATTTAAATAATTCGAAATTTATGTTTTGAATTATCAAAAGTTTTTGGTTTTGTGTTTTTTTTTTTAACAATATTGTATTTAATTCATTTTTTTCAAACATAATTCTTAGTATAAAACAATAACAAAAACAATAAATTCATTATCTTAAACATAATAAACATAAGTAGAGATCCATTTGTACTTTTTTGACTGGTAAAATAGCTATTAATTTCAATTATTATTTCTGCTTAATTTGATCTTTCATCATCATCATCAACCAAGCTCATATTTTTGTTCAAAAACAATAATATATTTACATTTTTTGGCTTCAACGCCGATCTCCGCTGAGAAATTATCTCTCCGGCCTTACTGAAAATTCGCTCAGATTCAGTGGAGCTAGCGGGAACACATAAATATTTTGTTGCCAATTGCGCAATCGCGCCAAACTGAGACTCATTAATCTGGAAAAAAGTTAACGTTTTAGATTATGCATATGTTCAGTTAGCAAACTTACCTTCCAATAAGTGAGCGGATCAATATCTTGTGCCGCATTTTTTTTATTATTACTTACTTGACGGTTTTAAAAATTTGTCCATATTGCAATCCTGCAATGAAATGTCGCAAAGAGAACAAATATATCGATGGTGCAAAAAAGCCATCGATCTATCGGACTATTTAAATTACATCGATAGATCGGTAACAGCCATCGATAGATTTGCAGCCCTAGTAGTGAGCACGGGTAACTTTAAAAGAGGGAACAGTGTGCACTCTGTATACCCTGTACTTATGGCAAATGGGCTATAAGGTTTTCTGTATACTGATTTAGGTTAGTCGATTCCTCTGTTCATCCACGACTATGGAGAGCATAGTTCATAGCTCATAAGGACTAGTGCTGCAAATCCATCGAAGGACCGTCCATCGATTTCTTTTGAGTCCGATGTTTTCAAATATCGATAGTATCGATGGTTCTATGGGAAATGGCTCCAACATTCAAAACTGCTGAAAATGTAGAGAAAAACAAGTAAGAAAGCTCTTGCCGAGACTACGAGATCCCCTGAAACCTTCGAGCAATTGATATATCAATAATTATTCGCACATGCACACACACACACAGGCATACGCACGCACGCATAAACACGCATTGGCTGCAGTTTGCGCTTACTATGGGAACTTAATTGTTTAATAACTTTTCTTGTGGCTGGTCTATGAACTTCATGAAACTTTCAGATTATGAATATAACATAGATATGCATGTATTTACCAAAGCACAAGTATCTAGTATTCGAAATACGCCTTTTACAAATGTGATGGTGAGCGGGTGAATTAGGGGTGGGGGGAAAATTTTAACAAAAATCGAAATTCCATAAAGTACATGTAAATCTAAATTACAAATTTGGTGACTAGCTTTAAAGATGGAGATATAAATTTATTACTGGTTTTCGATAATGCTTTTAATCGATACCAAAATAACGGGGCAAATTATCGATTTTTAAAGCTGGTTTTTCTCGGGGAAAAACGGCAACACTGCATAGAACCACTAACCAGAGAACTAGAGCTGTAAAACTATCGATGGTTGCAACATTCAATAGTTTCGATGGTTTTACAACAATTATTCAATAGCATCGATAGTACTATCGAAAATATTTTCAAGTTCAAAAACAAAAAATAAATGCATATTTAAAAATAAAAATAAAAATTTTAATAAACAATAATGAGATCCTTCATGGACTATAACAAAAAAGAGTTTAGATAAAATTAAAATTAAATGCATGGCCTTTATTCTTCTGCCAAGATCCAAGAGTTATGATTAAGAAAGACAAGCATGTCCACATGCTTAGCTTTTAAGGCAGCTCGTCGTTCCGTGATAATCTGTCCAGCCACCAACACCAACGAAAATTTACCTACAAATAAATACTTATTTTTATACTTAATTGCTTCTTATAAATGTATTTCTTACCAAAAAGAGCCGCCGACTTGCGAAGTTGCGCCAAAGCACTAACCAGAGAACACATAGACTAGACATCTAGAACAAATTTTTTCACCGGCGAAAAAATGCGCTGAGGAGACTACACAACTTCGTATTTGCTCGGCTCAGTCTCTTGAGGCTCAAGCATTGAAAATAAGGCAAGACAAAATCAGTGTGCTGCGAGCGCTGCCACGAAATGCACGCATTACCAAATGAAGCACGGCTATGCGCTCTTTTTCCCTTGCTCACTCTCTCCCTCTCTTTATGCTCTCTCTCTATGGTCTCTCGAATGGCAGCAGCGCACAAAAATTGAAAATTGTTCGCGACGATCTGAGCTCGTTCCTTTTGAGTGAAGGGTATACCGAAATTTGTAAAGCGTTCGCCACGTTCATGCAAACAAAATGTAAGCGTTTCGATGGTTATTCGTGGGAAGGGTATGAAAGCGTTGATACGCATAAACAATATGATTTCGCGACGGGCAAGTACACACACACTTGTAGTCCCTTGCTTCATGTATGAGCATTTGTGACCTGCGTGCGTTACTCTTGCTGCTTGTAGCAATTTTAAAGCCCAGCATTTGCATTTGGTCGGTCTTATGGACTGTCATAACCACTTTACACAGATGTACTATGTATGAACATACATACATACATACATATGTACATAAGTACATTTATATATTATTATTGCTAATCATGTTTATAAATGTGTCTATATATAATTAAAATTATTTTATACACATTTTTAACCGAAAAAAATTATCGTAAAACACTACTAACTTTATTAAATGCTTTGCAATATATGAAATACACATGTCATATTATACTCAAGCTTTACTCATTATGCATTATCATTGCATTAAGTCATAATGGCCCATTTGATAGTCACCCTACGATTCAAATCATACAAAATTTACAAAATAATAATTCCAGAGACAATTAGCTTGCCATCCCATACAAGCATACACATACACAAATGTATGTATGCATGTGCTCACTTCACAAGGCAGACCAACGGCAAATTTTGGGCTTTACAATTTGCACAGCCTGTTCTGCACAGAAAGAATACATTTTCGCGACGAGCATGCACACACACATTTACATGGGCATCAATACTTTCAAACCCTGCCGCAGGTAGCAAGAATAGAGTTGCTTACACAAGCACACAAATGATAGCGAGGGACTGACAATGTGTGTGTGCATGGTCGTCGCCTAAGCATTTTTTATGTGTGCAACTTTTGGGCTGATAATAGACGAAAATACTGAGAAAGAATTGAGTTTCGCGACGCACGCACAGAAAAGCACATACACGTAGCAAGGATGTAAATGTGTGTGTGCATGCTCGTCGCGAAAATGTATTCTTTCTGTGCAGAACAGGCTGTGCAAATTGTAAAGCCCAAAATTTGCCGTTGGTCTGCCTTGTGAAGTGAGCACATGCATACATACATTTGTGTATGTGTATGCTTGTATGGGATGGCAAGCTAATTGTCTCTGGAATTATTATTTTGTAAATTTTGTATGATTTGAATCGTAGGGTGACTATCAAATGGGCCATTATGACTTAATGCAATGATAATGCATAATGAGTAAAGCTTGAGTATAATATGACATGTGTATTTCATATATTGCAAAGCATTTAATAAAGTTAGTAGTGTTTTACGATAATTTTTTCGGTTAAAAATGTGTATAAAATAATTTTAATTATATATAGACACATTTATAAACATGATTAGCAATAATAATATATAAATGTACTTATGTACATATGTATGTATGTATGTATGTTCATACATAGTACATCTGTGTAAAGTGGTTATGACAGTCCATAAGACCGACCAAATGCAAATGCTGGGCTTTAAAATTGCTACAAGCAGCAAGAGTAACGCACGCAGGTCACAAATGCTCATACATGAAGCAAGGGACTACAAGTGTGTGTGTACTTGCCCGTCGCGAAATCATATTGTTTATGCGTATCAACGCTTTCATACCCTTCCCACGAATAACCATCGAAACGCTTACATTTTGTTTGCATGAACGTGGCGAACGCTTTACAAATTTCGGTATACCCTTCACTCAAAAGGAACGAGCTCAGATCGTCGCGAACAATTTTCAATTTTTGTGCGCTGCTGCCATTCGAGAGACCATAGAGAGAGAGCATAAAGAGAGGGAGAGAGTGAGCAAGGGAAAAAGAGCGCATAGCCGTGCTTCATTTGGTAATGCGTGCATTTCGTGGCAGCGCTCGCAGCACACTGATTTTGTCTTGCCTTATTTTCAATGCTTGAGCCTCAAGAGACTGAGCCGAGCAAATACGAAGTTGTGTAGTCTCCTCAGCGCATTTTTTCGCCGGTGAAAAAATTTGTTCTAGATGTCTAGTCTATGTGTTCTCTGGTTAGTGGCCAAAGTAATTGATGTGCAACGCACGATATCATCTCTATCGATAGTATACAAAACAATCGATATGGACGCAGAAATATAAGTATTCGATAGATCGATAGTTTAATCGATAGTTTTACAGCACTACAGAGAACACATAGACCGGACAAGTAGTGTAAAGCATTTTGTACACTTTTTTGAGCTTAAGGACTGCAGACAACTTCGTATTTGCTCGGCTCCTCACTTTCAGGTTCGGGGTACGAAAATATATTAAAGCACAATCATTTCGCTTCATGCGCTCGACCGAGGTGGTTGAACAAAAGATCTCTCTACGTTCAATCTTTCGCTTGCTCTCTATTTCTCGATGCTCTCTGCCCTGTCAAATATGTATACATACATATGTACATATGTATGCATGCACGATTGAGTGATAGTGTCTTTTAACAGTGCTATGTACCCTTACATGTGCGTGTGTGTATGCATGAGACATGAACATTGGCGTGTGCATACCACAACTTAGAATTGTGAGCATGATTTTGGGTTCGAATTGCAGAATCACATTTAGATATATTTAAGCTCTATGGCTCGAGCTTTTACTTCTCCACATTGCCTATTTCTTTCATTCATCATTATTTTATAAAACTGGGAACAACTTATATACACCAAATTATATTGAACAGTAAGTATGTTTTTAACATTCTCCACTAGTAACTTATTTCTGTCCTCTGACCACTGCGTATTTATGTAGTAAGGCAAAACCCCCCTCGCAATTTGCATTGTGCCCACGAATCGCATACAGGATTTGAGCTATTTTTAATATTTCCCAGTAAAAGCACGAGTGTAAAAAAGTGTACTACCTTATCTACGCTGCTTTTCGCAACAAAATTCTTCACTTGGCTCGACAAAAACTTCTTGAAGTTAGCATTTTGAGTAATTATTAATAACATATTGATAGATGAATGTTATGTACATACATACTATATGTATGTATGTTGGGAAAAATAGAAAGTGTGGGGAAGTATAACTGAATAGAAGAACAATGAAATATGAGGATGTATTCATATGTATGGATGTACTTGAAATTTACCTGAATAGAATTTAATGATGTATGCTAAATAGGAAGACAGGAAAAATGTAATTTACGTGTCATTTACCTACATATGTGATTGTGGGAGTGTAAATTTGTAATTTTGATTGGTGGGAGGGGGGGGGGGGTGGGGATAAATCGTCATTGCCATTGTCCTCATCATAATTTATTTGTTTTATTTATTGCATTTCGCTTATTTATGTATACATATATGTATAAGGTAATTTACTTTTAACTTTAAATGGATTTACGTAAATGTACGTAATACATTTTTAATATTTGTTGTTTCTCATTTCAATATAATTTTGTTCATGATTTGTTTACATTTTTTGTTTTTGTTTTTATTTTTTATTTATTTATTTCTCCTTTTTTGGTGATATTTTAGACTAAATTGACTAGCAAAGTTCTTCTGAGTATTCGCAGCTGTGTTTGTGTGTTGCAATAACTGTTAAATAATAAGATAGTATGCATATATGTATGTATTTATATTCATATACATATACTATGTATATATATGTACATATACATATACATACATATGTACATATATATACAATCGTGCTATTTGTATCTACTGTGTTGCTTCAGAGTGTAAAATAAAAAACACTCACATTCGATAACTTGCATTCATACAGGATGCAAAGGCGAGTGTGTGTGTGTGGACTTCATTTATATACATTTCTATACATATGTATGTATGTATGTATATACTTTCAATTTCTATTAATGTAAAAGCATTACAATATTTACAATTTCTTTAAGCTTAGATGACATTCTAATTACATTCTTTAATATTGTATCTGTATTTGTGGTTGTACCTTTTTTATTTTATAAATTTGACTAGAGACTTTTTCATATAAAGTTTGCATCACTCGGCTCTAAGAACATTTAAAAGTAAAATTATTTCTGCATTATCTCCCACTTAGGTAAGCTAAGAAGCTAAGAAAATTTTATTAGAAAAATAAACTGCTCGAAAATTACCGGAATTTCATAATCAGGTACTAAAGAAAAAACATATATGTACATATATGTATATATATATATATATATATATATACAGTGGGATTCGGTTATAACGACGCTCAAAGAACAAATGACGTCGGCATTGCACTTTGCCTGAATAATGTGAAAAATATTGTCGATATAAGCGGGTTAAGCCGTTAATGCGGAAACGTACTATGCGGAGGCTCTTTTATATAAGTTTGTATGGGGACCAACATCGAATTTTCGTCGCGATAACTGGATTCCACAATATATACAGTAGAATCCGGTTATAACGACTCTGCTTATAGCGTCTGTACGGTTATAGCGACGAAAATTCTGCTCGCCAGACAAACTTTTATTAGCAAGCTTATACGGCTATAGCGCCTTCCGGGGACCTTCCGGTCCCTTGAGTGTCGTTATAAGCGGATTTTATTGTATATATATATATATATATATATATATATATATATATATATATATATATGTACATACACAATTAGAAATATAAAAACATAATACATTAATTAAGTCAGCTCTAGTCGGCAGTCGGTTTGATCTTTGCCATTATTCAAGAGCCACAGACTAGAAGACTTACATATATATCTGTCGGACCCGATTTCTATACAGACCGCAATATATTAAACTGAGAGTATCCAAATTGGGCGAGTGGCACAATCGATTTGTGCTTGGATTTGGACAGGCGGACAGGCAGGCGCACCTACGGAAGGATGAACATTGCTTGATCGACTCGGATTCTAATCAAGATGATAAATAAAGGTTTAATTTTTAAGAGGAGCCAGAACAGAAACCAACTGAAGTGTCATTTAATTTCCCAACAGGATGATCGAAGAATTTTTGTAGCATTTAGCGTACGCCAGATTCAATTGGTGATTCTGGGGGATATTTTGGGACACCGAAAAAATACATATGTAAACATGCTTTAACAAAATGATTACCAAAAAAAAAAAAATTCCATTGCATGAAGAAGATCTCCGGCTATCTCTCTCTCTTTGTTTGCTTAGTGAACTAAGAATTCATTTAACTGTAAGGCCGGATCTTTATAACATTTCGTACCGAAACAAACTGACAAGCGTTTGACTGAACTGATGCTGGCAAGCAAATTGTCATCCACGTCTATCGGCCTATTAAAATACTCAACGCAATCGATAGCACCTAAACTGTCGATTGACCACTCAGCTGCTAATGTGTTCGAACGTTGATTCAAGCCGCTATCTTGATCGCATTTCGCATTAACAACGTTGCTTTTCTTCTTATTTTTCTGCTGCTGTCTATTCTTCTTCTTGTTGAATTTGAAACGGTCATTTGAATCGGCATCGGCATCAAGCTTATAGGAATTTTGTGTTAGCTGTTCGTCTAGACATTCTCTGTTATGTCACAACATGTCATCGTGCTCCTCGTGTTCATCATCATCATGATCAGCTACTAAGAAGTCATGGTGTTCTAGCTCCAAGTCCATTTCGCCATCATCATCGAAATTGCCCAACGGCGACATCGCTGTCGTGTGCAGGTTGCTATAGTGTCCGCTGCTTCGCTCATCTTCCTCCTCTTCATGCTGCTGATTCTGCTGCTGGTGCTGAAGCTGTTGCTCTTGCTGCTGCTGCTGCTGCTGGTGCTGGTGCTGGTGCTGGTGCTGGTGTTGCTGCTGGTGTTGCTGCTGGTGCTGGTGCTGTCTACTATGCGAGTGCTGTAAATTCTTATTATCGTCGTCGCGCCATTTGTCCATTGAGCGTCTTCGCGCATTCATAAAAAAGTTGCCCACTGTCGTTGGCTCCAATCCAAGCTGGCGTGCAATCGTCACTTGCATCTCCTTTGAAGGCCTCTTTGTTTCCTGAATAGGCCCCACAAATGTCACATCAGTTCATGATACGCTTCGTGCCACCGCTCAATGTAGAGCCCCGCACACTTACCTTAAAAATTGCTTGTAGTGTCCGTCGCTGCAGATCCGTAAAAACTAAACGGGGCTTTTTCGGTTGCGGCATTTGCTCTATGTGCGGCTCCTCTTTGCGACGACAGCTGGAGGCAAGACCCGAACTGCTTAGCATTGCTGAAAGATAGTTGCAAAATTGACAGATTAGCGCCAGATACTTCACATAAAGCCCAATGATCTGAATCTTTACAAAGTCCACATTGGATCCAATTTTGCCCTTTAACGCCTACAATTATTATTTATTAGTTTTGTATTAAGTGGTAGCTCAATGTAGATCGAGCTTTGATTATTATTGCATTCAATCTAAACAAGTAAGAAAGCTCTAGATGAGACTGCTCGACTACGGAATCCCCTAAAGCCTTTGAGGAACTGATATTTAAAAAATTCAGCTTATTCAAAAAAGACACACACTACACATACGCATGCACGCACAAACTCGCGTGGACTGCAGTGTGGGCCTACTGTGGGAATTTAATTGTTTGATAACTTTTCTTGTGGATGGACTTTCTTTATGAAACGTTCAGATCGTGATTATAACATTGAAATATGTGCATTTGGCAAAGCAAAATCTCTAGTATTTGAAATACACCTTTTACAAATTTAGGGGTGGTGGGATGGATATAGGGGCAGGGTGTGAAATATAATAAAAATCAAACTTTTATATAAATCATATGAATTAACATTAAAAATTTAGCGACTCTAGCTTTAAAGATGGAGATTTTATAAGTGATTTTCGATAAGGTTTTTTATCAATAAAAATAATGGAATGAATGATCGATTTTTAGAGATAGACTCGATATCTGCGCTATATATGCGGACATTTTAAAAAAGTTTCAAGTCTCTAACTCCTCTATCTTCTGAGATCGATGCGTTCAAGCATACGGACAGACAGACTATCGACTCAGCTAATCGCCCAGATCAAGAATATATATACTGAGCTTTGCGATGCTTCCTTCTGCTTATTACATACTGTTCATGCACATGCATGAACATGGAAATATGATAAGTATGGGAACATATGAATATACGAAGATCGTATACATGCCTCCGACGCACTCAACGACTAGCAAGTAGTGCGCTGGGAAAAGATAAGGATCACATGTACGAACTCTATAAATAGACAAATGGACACCAACCCTTGCAACCCCAGAGCCAAATATGTAAGAGACGAACGCTGAGCCTTACAACCTCAGCGATAGGATAAGAATAGCTAATAGACCCACGCGGAGCCTTACAAACTCTGCGATAAGATAAGAATATGTAATAGACCAATGTTGAGCCTTACACACTCAGCAATATACGCACTAGATTTAAGGGTTGAAAATATGCATGAGTCTGGGTATATATAAACCCAGGCTCAGAAGAATAAAATCAATACGAAACTAAACACCATCACAGTCAAGTGTATTCAATCACATACTTTTCACAAAACCTTATATCCTGATATCCCATTTTCAATGGGTTCAGGGTATAAGGAATGGATATCAATCTAACTTGGGCGAATTACCGATCGACGTTTTAAAAGACGATTGATTGATCGAGAAAATCGAGAGACGTAAGCTCTATTTACCAGGCGTGAGTTATTTTTGGTTTTACTTACCATTTGTTGCAATGCTTGATCCATGCGTCGCCCCTGAACTTTCGTTGGTATGCACAGTGGCCGATGGCGTTACTGCAACTGAGCTCGTTCCTGATAAGTTTGTCGAGCCCGAGCCCGAACCGGAACCCGAGCCCGAACCAGGCGGCGTTGTTGTTGTGAATATGATGTTGCCGTTGCCGGATCCAGTTCCAGCTCCTGTTGATGGTCTCTGGGGTATTTGAGCAGCAGCCATTCGTAGAGCAGACATACGTTGAAATTCTGGTTCCTGCAGCCATTTGAACATGCGTCGAAAAGTCTCACGACCCGATTTCAGCTTCGACCACGGCTTTGGATTGCGCAACAGGTCGGATAGAGTGCCCTGTGAACGACATAGCACCCGTTGGGCAAATATCGCCTGAGGTATGCTATACCGCTTGAGCTCTGCAGAAATGCGCTGGGCCAACTCTTTGGTATTTATCTCTTCCATGTCACTCGGAGCAGCAGCTGTCGAGCGTGATAATGGATTAGCGGCAACTCCACTTAACTTCGGAGACAACTTCGGTTGCTGCTGCTGTTGTTGCGGCTGCGCTTGATCTGAATTGAAGCCATTCGGCTGATGTTGCTGTTGATTTAGGTTGCAGACATCGAGACTGTTGACAACATTATTCTCTACATGGCAATCCGCGTTGCTGCTGTTGTGCTGACTCTTAAGCTGCTGCTGGACCAGCTCGTCGATCGAGCTATCATTGCCACCCACTGTGGTCGGCGTTGGTGACATGTTAACGACTGGCAAGTCGGCAGTTAGGTTGTTGACCGATCCATTAATGTGGGGCAGCGTTACTGCAGAGGCCGGCGAGTGCAATGACATGGAGACAACGGAGCCTGCTGAAACCGAATGGGAACTGAGTGTTGGACTATGCTGGAGCCTTAGCTGAGCGTTACGATCTGTCGTATCAGCTCTAGACATGAGTAGGTCTGGGTCAGGCTGCTGGCTAGGACGATACGATACTTCATAATCAGCAATGCCAGTGGCTGTTGTTGGCGACAGGCAAATCACCTGCTTCTGTACAGTCACTTGTTGATTATGAAGATGTGGTTGTCCCCCTCCGGATGCTGTGGATGCCTTATGCAACTGCAGATGACCACCAGCAGGAGAGCCATTCACTGGTGAGGACACCGTCGAGCTGTGACTATGCAGATCGCATGTATTAACCAAGCCCGAGAGTCCTTGTGACGGCGAACTGGCGTAGGCGTCAGGCGTAGGTGATATAAGTGAAGGCAATTTATCGTACGAGTTTGAATATGGAGACTGCACGTCCGAGACCAAACCACTTAGGTTCAAATTCGACAACGAGCCCTGATGTGTCGCCTCAATGGGCAAAGGCAGGCTGTTGGCAAACGTTCGATCTGAATTGCTATTGCTGCTATTATTATTATTCGATCGAATTGCTGCATTGTTGTTGTTGCTACTCCCGTTGCCTGAGTTGATATGTCCACCTGCATAGGCGAATTTATCGGACATTGTCGAAATTGGGGGCAGCGGCTGAATTGGTGTTAGCGTAGCATATGATGTCGGACTGAAACTCGGCTCTGATATGCGTTGGTTGTTGACTGAAGTCAATGTTTGGTAGGTGCTATGTTCGACGCTTAGTGGCGGACTAGCTGAAACGTGTTCATCAACCTCCTCATCATCGTCATCAATGTCATCATCATCGTCATCATGAGCCTGAACAATTACTGAAAGCGATTCTCTATGATGTCCTTGACCCGATGCTAACTGACGCTGCTGTTGATGCTGCTGCTGCTGTTGATGATGATGATGAATTATTTCCGATGTAGTGACCAGACGCTGTCCGTATTGTGGGTGATGCTGGTGATGCTGCTGCTGCTGGAGGTTGTGCTGGTGATGTTGATGATGATGCTGCTGCTGTTCATCGAGGAGCTGTTGATGGTGCTGATTTAAAGTAACCTCCTCGATGCCGCCATCTGAGGACAATTCATCAATAACATTCACATGCGACATATTAAGGCCAAGATGTGGACTGTTGCGTCGATTAATTATCCCATTGGCATCCGGATCCCGTTGCACTATGACCAGCTTGTGCTCCTGCTTAACGGCTATAATTTGCGTTGATAGGCCATCCATCAGAGAGTCATCAGAGCCATCGAACTCAACTGGACTAACAGGTCGCTCGTCTGCATGGTGCATGGGCAGTAAGGATAGAGTCCTGGCCCCATCCTGTAGTTGCAGTTGTTCAGGCACTAATTGATACGTTGTCTGCAAAGTGCTGCCGCTGCCCAGTTCGTCGATAACCATAACCACAGCTGAACTGGGCTCCGCCCCCTCCTCGCCGTCGTCCAGTTCATCCGCATCGTCCTCATCACCGTCATGTATCCGACCAACACTGTCCGTGCTCGCGATCAGCGTCTGCAGTGCCGGCGACTTTACGTACTTCATTCCGTTCAACGCATCTGACTCACCAGTTGGCGTCTGATTCAGTTTTTGCGTTCCCACCTGTCCGACATGTCCTATGAACTCAGTTGTTTCCACTACCAATTGCTGGTGACTGAACGCTTGCGAATCAATTATATTGTTCATGGATTCCATTCCTCCTGTAGACAAGTTATCTCTTTTCCCAACGAGAATAGCTCAGGTAACAGAAGCTTTGGAGCCCGGTTCCTGATTTTAGCTAACAGCTTAGCCTCTGAACTGTAATCAGAACAACAATAGAATAAACTGAGGTTATTAAAAACAATCAAGTGGTAGCATTGCAGAATCTGAGTTAACATTGTGAATATATAAATAACTGAATACTAAATATGTACTATACTATATGTACATAGAATAAATTATTAATAATATATATACCTCACCATCCATATGTACAGACTTCTCCACTAAGGTCTTTGATCTCACAACGAAGAGTAGCTTATAGAAAGGCATAGTCTAATGAATGGACTTGCTTTTTACTCTTTTTTTTATTAAACTTTTTAAAAATGAATTTTATATACTGAACTAATTTTCTCTTTATTTTTACTTTTTAAATTTTGTTTGTTTTAGTTTTATGTCTTTATGTTTCGAATATGGTCAGTTTTTTTTTTTTTTTTTTTTAATTTTTTTTTATTGTATATTTATATACATTTGTGATTATTTATATCACAAATATATATAGTCACAAATTAATATAAATGTCCAATACAAAAACAAAACAAAAATTATATATATATATATATATATATATATATATATATATATATATATATATGATTGCACAACTTTTATAATATTTCACTTATCATGTAATCATCTTAAAAGTTTATGTACATGTTAAACTATATGGTTAAAGCTCAATGTTATTTTGGAGCTATAGTCACATTTTTGAATTATTTGGGTTTCTTTTGTATTTGTTGTTAGTGTTCAGATTCGTTTTTGTTTTTTTTTTTTTTTCGTTTTGCTTCTGTTGCCATCGTTGTTAAAGACTTAAGGGTTGATAAAAGCAAATAACATACGAACATACGTATATGCTTTAACTATTTTTATATGTGTGACACACTCTCTCTCTCTCTCTCTCTCTCTCTCTCTCTCTGTCACTCTCTCCCTCTCTCTCGGACACTCTCTCTGTCTCTCAATAACTTTGTGGGTGAATGTGGGAATTACCCATATATGTACATATATAAACGAAACCTTTACAAACTTAACCTTTTTATTGTTAGTTTTCCATTATGCATACAGTCATACATGCATGCACCTATATGCGTGTATGTATGTCTGTATCTGTGTATGTGTACAAGTGTAAGTGTTTCTGTTTTTATATGGATGTAAACGGGGGCTCTTGGGGTTGTTTTCACAGCTTAAAAAAATTAGTTTATATTCAAAACTTTTTTTTTTTAATTTAGTTACCTTAAAACACATTGTTTAGCGGGTCTTGGCTACATTTTAGCAAAGCACGTATTTCATATGAAGCATCAAGAATATATACAACTGCCACATCTATATACATGTTTATATAGCATATATATATTATATATTATATATATGTTATATTATATATTATATATATATTATATTTTATATATTATATATCATATATATATTTTATTGTTAAACTACGAAGTTTCGCGGCAAATGATTTTTGTAACTGCGGGCGGAACTCTTGTTGAGAAAAGTACATACATATATATGTATATATATATATATATATATATATATATATATATATATATATATATATATACATATATATATCCGTCTACATATATATAAATAGCAGGATATATAAAAGTATGGATATATATACATATATATATACATATATATATATATATATATATATTTATTTATTTATATATATATATATTTATTTATGTGCGTGTGAAACTTTATATATTTTGTATGACCGAGAGCACGCGTTCTGCAAGGTTTTAAGCTTCACGCAGAATATACCTAATTCAAAACTGAACTGAAGAAAACACAGTCCATATGCTCTCTACGTTTGTTCCATATCTCGGGGCTGAGTGTGTATGCGAGCGAGCGTACATGGGAGAGAAGGAAAGAGAGCTACCCTTGCAGTTACTGTGCAGTGAGAAAAGCACCAACCCAACCACCCCTTAGTCTTTGCCGACACGGAGTTACCATACAAGTAAATAAATACCGTAAATAAAATTAAAAGCGAGATAAGCCCAAAAGCATGATACTCTAGCTTAAAAAGGGAATATCCTAATTGTATAAATTAACAATATATGATGGGAATGTATATAATATAATATAATCTGTATATGTGTAACATGTGGCAACGCCTTAAGCTACCCCACTAATCAAGTGCACACTCGTCGTCAGCGCAATATTCTGAATGTAAAGTTGAAATACAACGCAGCATCGGAACAGCATTTGATTATAATTTGATTGAGCCTCTGCTGGAGTTATCTTGTGAAGGTATGTTTTGGAGTTGTGTAAGATATGGCAACTCTCAACCTATAACGCGTGCGCACTCAAGTTATTCAATAATAAATATTGCTTCAGCTCGACAGGGCTCGGCATCTTGCACTCTCAATCTTATCTTCCTCTTCGTATACCTAAAATGCTGCGCAAATAGGAATTCAGTCCATAAGCTTTGTGCTGGAATCCGACTTCTTGATGCGGGCGATGAGCTGACCTGAACTAGCCATTATAGCTTATAATTATACTCATTCACGAACGTGAAATGAGTATATTGGATTTGTGCAATGTCCGTCCGTCTGAACGAAGTTTATTTCGGCGCTATAGAAATTTGGAACACATACTCGTGTATATCACCGATTTATAAAGTGCTCAAATTTTCCCGATCCGCCCACTAGGGGCGTGGCAAATCGGAAAATGCATTTTCCGATATACCAGAAACCATGACTAGTTGAAGAGCTACATAGAGCTGAAATTTGGTATGTAGATCCGCGTCGACCACCCAAGATCACAAGCTATGGGGGATATATCTACGCCCATTGGGGGCGTGGCAAATCGGATGAAACAGTATCTCCTAAAGCTGAAAATCTAGAACGTTGAAAATTTGCACGTGAGCTAATGTTTGGATTCTAAAAAGATGAATGAAATAATTATATATCTCGACTACTAGAAACGTGGCAAATCGAGCCTGAAAATTTAGTGATTTTTTAATTTCTTGTATATTTTTTTGCGATATTGATGCTAGAGACTTATATACGCGGGTTGACCACCCAAGTCCAACAAGCTATGGGGGATATATCTCTGCCCAAAGGGAGCGTAGCAAACCGCAAAAGTTTATATCTCCTACAGTTTAAGAGCTACAAGCTTCAATACGGATAAGCAGTAAGCAGCGACTGCGCTTCTGCTGCGCTGCAGTGTGGGCAATATTATGACAATTTATTAGTTGAATAATTTCTCTTCTAGTGGGACTATCTTTATGAAACGTGCGTGATCATATGATTGGAATGTGTGTACGTTCCAAAGCACAAGTCTCTAGTACCTTAAATCCGTTATTGTTTTCAAAGGTATTCTATAATTCAGCTATCTACAGAGGTTAAAGGTTACTCAGAAATCAGCAATGCTGACACTGTCTGTCGCGTATGAATGTGTGTAAGAGGAGCTCAGGTTGAGTGAGATAGCATCTCTTTACAGAGTTGATGGCATATCCTAGTCGAGCACTTTCGGCAGGTGTAATGATTTCTTAGTTGGTGAGCAATATTGTCATACACTTGCAAAAGCTGCAGCCATAAAATTCCCATCTGGCTCTGGCCTATATATATAAAAGAGAGTTGTGTAAAAGTGTACAGAGACTTATAACTTGATATGTGCTGGACCAATTTTCATGGTTTTTGATTTGTTGGATTTGTCTTTGCCACGAGTAGGTCAGTAGATCTTTAAAATACTGAAAAAATTTGACGAATACTTGAAAAACGCGTATTTTCCCTAAAGATTCAAATTTCCATTGATACTCAGTAGGCTTGATAACAGTGACAGTTTTCGGTCCTGCTCTCATATTATACAATAGTATTTGTTTGTCTCAAACATAAATTTGTGTAAATTATTTATATTTATATTTCTCGATTGTTTTATATGGTTTTGTGCGAGGGCAGTATTACTATTAATAAAAATGCCGCGTCCTAGAAGATCTAATCTTTCCCGGCGGACCCATAATGCAATTAGGAAACGGAATATCGCGAGTCAATTATCTGACGAAGAGCGAGAAATCGCCCGAGAAGAGCGCCGCGTTAGTACCCAGCAAAGAAGGGCCTTAATTCGTGCTTCTCAAAGAGAGGCAGCCCGTGAAACGGCAATAGGAAATGATTTAAATCGAGCAGCGTTTCGATATGATTGCACCATTGATTACAGCTTGAATCGTTTAGTTTGCATTGGTCCAATGGACGTTGTTTGCCAGCATTGTGGCGCATTGAAGTTTGCTGGTGAAACGCCCGGTTTGTGCTGCCTTAGTGGTAAGGTGACATTGCCATTAGTGGTCCCGCCACCAGAGCCACTGCGTTCCCTGCTTTATGGCGAAACACTAGAATCACGACATTTTCTAGCGAACTCTCAAAAATACAATGCCTGTTTCCAAATGACTTCATTTGGGGCGGAAATTATTAGAGACGGATATAATCCGACATTTAAGGTAATTTACGTTAAAAATTTTATTTTCTATGATTGTAAAAAAAAAAAAAATTTGGAATGATGTAGTTTGTTAGATTTCTGTAAATAGTGTTTGTAAATCTAACTATAACTATGGCTTTGAATTTAAAGATTCAAGGCCAGATTTGCCATCGCATTGGATCATTGCAACCTATTGAAGATGCACTGCACTAATTCTTGCAAATATACTTCATGGGCAATATGGAATAACAACTTGTCCGGCGTCAAGAAATCAACACAGCTATGAAAAGAGCAATTCTCCAAGATTTGCAGCAAATGCTTCATGAACATCATGCATTGGTCAAGCTGTTCAAGACTGCTTTAGAGCGCATGCCAAGTGATGACTATAAAGCAGTAATCAGAGCAGATAAAAGACCAGCTGGAACACATGAACGCACATTCAATGCTCCAACAATCGATGAAGTGGCAATCCTGATTGTTGGTGAAAACTTGGAAGCACGTGATATTGTGCGTACACGACGCAGTACTGGGCAACTACAAAGAATATCTGAAACGCACCGTTCATATGACGCTTTACAATACCCGCTCATGTTTTGGCAAGGAGACGATGGATATCACTTTAATATCAAAATGATTAATCCATTGAATGGTAAAATCAATCATTGTTTTCATTTTAACTTTATATACATTTCATTCTGTTTGCTTTTGGTATACAAAACAAGTAAGAAAGCTCTAGTCGAGACTGCTCGACTACGAGATCCCCTGAACCCTTGGAACAATAGATATTTCAATACTTTTTCGCGACTTTCAGCTTACACAAGAAACACGCACACACACACACACACACGCACGTACGCAAACACGCATACATACACAAACGCATACACACACACACACACACACACACACACATACACAAACACATACACACACAAGCAACCACGCATAAACACGCATGGGCTGCAGTGTGCGCTTACTATGAGAACTTAATTGTTTAATAACTTTTTTTATGGATGTACGATCTTCATGAAACTTTTAGATTATGATTATAACATGAATATGCATGTAATTGCCAAAGCACAAGTCTCTAGTATTTGAAATACGCTTTTTACAAAAGTGAGGGTGAGGGGGTGAATTTAGAGGTGGGGGGTAAATTTTAACAAAAACCGAAATTGTATAAATTGCATATAAGCATACATTAAAAATTTGGGGACTCTAACAATAAAGGTGTAGAAGATATAATTTTATAACTGGGTTTCGATAAGGTTTTTTATCGATAAAAAAAGATCGAGATGAGTTATCGATTTTTAATGATAAACTTGATATGCGCGCTGTAATTACGGACATTTTAAAAAAATTTGAAGTCTCTAGCTCTTATATCTTCTGAAATCGACGCGTTCATACATACGGACAGACGGACAGACGGACAGACGGACAGACGGACAGACGGACAGACGAGACGGACAGGGCCAAATCAACTCAGCTCGTCACCCTGATCAAGAATATATATACTTTGTGGGGTCTGCCACGCCTCCTTCTCCCTGTTACATACATTTCAACAAAACCATTATACCCTGATTTCCCATTGAAAATGGGTTCAGGGTATAAAAAGTTATCACTCTTAATTTAGTAGAGAGTAGCTGTAAAAGTCGTAAACCTATTAGGAGTTCTAAAATACAATTTTTACGATCAACAAATCACAGGGCCAATCTTTGACTATTTGTGGCCTCAATCTAGAAAATGCGTGTTTTTCTCATGGTCAATTGTACCATCCGCATTATTTGTTTTACTAATTAATGTCGTTTACCACAAGGTGCTTGAATGAAAATCCGATTAATAAATTAATCAGAGTGTATCCCAACCTGAACAAAATAGCTTTCAAAAATTTTTTACCTAGAAATAATGGATAGGGCAATGCAACGTTTGCCGGGCCAGCTAGTTTATAATATTAGACACATTACATTTGTTGATTTATATTTAGATGATATAATTAAAAAAATGTTTATTTATGTATATATATATTTCTATATGTGGGCATTCCATTAGAAAGGTCAACCACAGCCAAAAAATTCAAAGTCAATGAAAGAATGTTCTGCTAACATATTTTTATACCCTGCCCTGATCAGGGCAACGAGCGGAGTCGATTTAGCCCTGTCCGTCTGTCTTTCCGTCCGTATTTATGAACGCGTCGATCTCAGAAGATATAAGAGGTTTCCTAGGTTTGTGAATATCACGGTCATATCGAGTTTTTCTCCCAAAATCGATAACTACTCCCAATATTTTGTTATCGATTAAACCCCTTATCGAAAACTAGTTATTTAATTATACATATCTCCTACACCTTTAGAGCTACAGTCTACAAACTTTAAATGCACACTCATATGTATTTTATATAATTTCGATTTTCTGTTAATTTAACCCCCAAACCCTTATATCCCACACACACACACACACACACACACACACACACACACACACACACACACACACACACACAGTTGACAGGAGCTGGACTCGACCTAGCGGCGCACAAAACAGAAGTCGTCCTAGTAAGCAGTCGCAAAAAGTGGAATCTGCCGATATAAAGATAGGAAACGTCACCATCGCATCAAAGAGGGCGATAAAGTATCTTGGCGTCATATAAGACACAAGATAAACTTTCCGCGAGCACCTAGAATATGTGCATAAAAAGGCAGCTGATTCTTGTCGAGCTCTCTCAAGAATTATGCTTATCACGCGGGGACCTAAACAGCAACGACGGCTTCTTCTAATGAGCGTCATTAGGTCTGTCATCCTCTATACTGCGCCAATATGGTCAAGAGCGATGGCAACGCCGAGCTACAGCCGGGTCATTTGCGCGACCTACAGACTGAGCCCAATCAGAGTCAGCTGCGCTTTCAGGACTGTTTCAGATGACGCGGCGCTCGTCATAGCCGGCGTGGTACCACTGGAGGATTTGGTCGCTAAAGCATTGCATGATGGCAAAGAAGGTGGAATAGCTCAACTAAAGGGCGATGGACACACACGCTCAGCCCGGAGCTTGAGCTTGGGTAAACCAATGGGTAAACACGGCGAGGTTAATTTCTATCTTTCACAGATGCTCTCAGGACATGGATGCTTTCGGAGCTATTTGAAGCGCTTTGGTCACGAGGAACCTGACGATGCCGCTTGTGCGGACGAGGACGAGGACGAGACGCCAAACACATTTTATTCGAATGTGGGCGGTTCCTGGAGGAGAGGCGTCGTCTAGAAGAGGCAGTGGGCCGTTCCATCAGAGCGGACAACATAGTCAATGCCATGCTGGAATCGGAGGTAGCTTGGGAACTAATAAGAACATTCGCGGCCACAGTCATGACTGAGCTCCGCAGAGTCGAGCGAATAAGAAAGCTGTCCCAGACTAAGGTAGCGCATAGTGCTTGCGAAGCAGTGCTTTACGGCCGTCCTGCAAGCATCGAGCGCTATCCCAGTCACCACGCATCTTGTAATATAGCTATATAATTTTGTTAATAAACGAATAAAAAAAAACCAAATGCAAAAAAAAAAAAACAAGTAAGAAGGCTCCAGCCGCGACTGCTTGACTGGGAGATAGCCTGAACGCTCTAAGCTGATATTCTACTCATTCTGCACATCTTTTATATCACGCGCTCTGCTGACTGCGCAGTTAGCAGCGACAGCGTTTGGGCTGCACTGCGGTGTGGGCAATAGCATTGTTAAATAATTTCTCTTGTAGTAGGACTATCTTTATTAAACTTTCAGAATGTGATCATAATATTAGAATGTATGTACATTCCAAAGCACAAGTCTCTAGTACTTGAAATAAGTTTTATTGAAATTAATGGCAAAGGGAGCGTGGTATCCAAAATCTGTAAATTACAAAATCTTTGTATCCATCAACTGTATATCCACAGTAAATGAAATGAAGTCTCCAAGTCTAAAAGTGTTCAAATTAGGCTGAATAAAGAAAATCAATTTTTCGATTATTCCCTTATCGGACGAGTTATCGAAAATATAAATATAGATAAACTTGTACTGCGTATGATATACACGAGTCTACATTTAAAAATTCAGCTCTCTAGCTCTTAAAACTTCTGAGATCTACGCGTCCATACGGATGGACGGACAGACGGACTGGGCTATATCGATATATATATTTATATTTCAACAAAACCATTATACCCTGATTTCCCATTTTCTATAGATTCAGGGTATAAAAAGAAGAGATAAAGAGAGAAAGCGCTGAAGTCCGAAGGTTGCATATTTCATCTCAATTATATCCTAATAAATTAATCTAGATAGCTGAATACATCTTTTACCACCGCATTTTTCACGTGGTATAAGCTTCTCATAGTATTCCGAACATTCATGGCTGCCCTTAATGCTAATTTCTGGAATTATGATCCTGCAATCTCGAACTATCGAAGTGCTGGAGAATTGGACTTCCATCAGGACAGTAGACATACACACCCTGATCTGCGGGACGCAGAGATTTTTAAACGGGATTTTATGTTAAAACTATATGTATATATTTAACAGATTTAACAATTACTTTACAGCAAGTACAATTGATTTGATCAGTGATTGACATTATATATATATATAATCTGAAATCTGTACTAACTATAATAATCACTTAGTTACTTAGTTGTGCATTTATATATAATTTAAAATAATATTTAAAATCTTCCAAATTACCAATTGAATACATTATCGATTTCTTGACATTGATCATTCTTTTAAACGTGAAAATATATATTTCGTGCAGTATCCCGTTTTGATCTTGAAGCTACAAATTTCAATAATATATACTTGTGTGTCTAGGTCGTATTGTGAGTATAAGCTCCTAAAACTAGTTGGATAATTATCGCTTTGCTTTTATTTTATTTCAAATAGTCCGAATGTTTTTCCACAGGTCGATTTTCATTTTGGAAAATTCAAACTTCTAGGTATATTGATTCCGGATTTCTTTTTCTTTTTTAACAATAATATCTTTTAAATAGAAATATGATTTTAATTGTATTTATATTTTAAACGTTAGCGAACTGTTAACTAAACTGCAACACGCTATTCATCTCTGTCTTCTTTGGTTTCTTTGATATAGGTACTGGAATCTCTGTCTGTCTAGCCTGGCCTACAGCCATTTACATTTTCAAAATCTATAAGCAATCGAACGTTGATGTAGCTTCTTGGAATGCTTAACATATGAATTTAAAATAGGCTCTCATCCTCATTCTGTGTTGATGAAACTAGTGTCGTCTGTCTGTTCGTTCGATATTTACAAGAGAACAGGGCTTAGGGTAGCTCTTAGCAGGCTGCTCCCGACTATTGGGCGGATAACGAGTCATCACGAAATCGTAGTTTCAAATTAATTCGAAAGCCAGGGCCTATAGATTCTTTTGGATGATCATTGCGATTATAATGATTATTCGAACAAGAATATGAACAGTTTGCTTTTGTTTTCACATATATAAATTATAAAAATAATTCTTTTGGACTGCCTAAAGACAAACCGAACAGACTTTTTTGACTTCCTGAACATATACGCACATGTATACATGTATATGTACATGTAAAAATTAGGGAACGCTTATGTTTACCACTTGGATTCATTATTAACCGATTGTAGAACGGCAAAGTCAGCTTTCTAATCACACCTCACATATTTCCGTACTAGTTTACAGTTGGAAAAATTAAACAGAAGATGTCGCATTTCGGCCACTATCGATCGTTAGATTTGAAGCGCGCATGCTGAGGGAAGCCAAAGACAGATTGCTGCGATAGATGGCGCTTGGCGAAGCATTCGCTGTTAGCAGCAAATCCGTATTCTCTATGCTCGGAACGGAACGATTCTTTAGGCCATTGCAAAAAACAGCTGTGTCGTTATTGATCGATCGAGCTGGCAACGTATGCATTGTTGGCAGCAGCGCTTCGGAGTTCAGCGTATTGAGAAATCCATCGAGATTCAAGCCATGTGCATTTAGCGCAACGGTTCGGGCGCTATCTTCATCGCAGTTCTCGCTTTCAGACGCGCTTTCATTATGCCCGTAGAGCTGGAGACGGGAGCTTAACAATTTATTGCAAGCAGGACACGATCGACTCGACAGATTTTTATCACGTCGTCGAAAGATTTCTTGAGCACATCTAAAAATAGAAGAAGAATTCTTAGTTTCAATCCTTCCGCCCGCGTATTGAGTTGGTGTTCAGGCCATAGTTTAGCTAGTTTTGTAGTACCCATTAATTTATACCTTGTATGGAGTATGTGGGCACATGGTAGTGCTTCTAGGCTAGCCGGATGCATGCCAAACACCTCTCCACACGCACCGCAATTCAGGCCGAGTGCGGCGTCAGTCTGATCGGCTAATCGTAGATGAGTGTTGCACTGATCTTCATCGCCTAGGGCCCGATATATAAGTGCCAAGCGACTTCGAATTTTTCGTACTAACAGCTAAAATGATCGAAAATTATTATTTTTTTTTTTTTTGTCATATGTGGCACTTCTACCTTTGCTCCAATGGAGCTGGCAACTTCCAGAAGCCGTGTGTTGAACTCTAAGGGCCTGCAATTGCAGATCTTACTCTGTAAGCGTAGAGTTTCCAAACATCGGGCAGCACCATCCATTGCCTCCATCTGACCCATCCGATCGCCTAAGCTAGCCGATGTTCCCATTGCTTGCTCGTACTGTCGAAAGGCCCTCTTAAAATTGAAGACGATTGAAACGATTTGTCATTTACCGCAAGTAATAGTCGAAACAGCACGAGTACGAGATTCCCAGAACCCTTTGAGAAACGCAGGGACTTCACTTCTCCTGCAACTTAGGCTATGTTATGGGAACATATTTATTGAAAAATTTTCTTGTAGATGACATTCAATCCACAATGTTTTACTTACATTTTTGATAACCTACATAAACAAGGAAAAAAGCTCTAGTACAGACTGCTCGACTACGAAATCCCCTGAACCCTTCGAAGAGTTGATATTTCAAAAACTCTTCGCGTCTATCTGCTTACACAAGAAACACACACACAAACACACATAGGCATGCACGCATAAACACGCATGAACTGCAGTCTGGCCTTACTATATGAAATTAATTGTTTAAAAACTTTTCTTGTAGAAGGACTATTTTCATGAAACTTTCAGATCATATTTATAATCCAATTACAAATAGATAATACAAGCGATATATTTACGTACATCAATATCCATCTTTTTGCGGTAAATGTCGCCCATCACTCTTATGCTGCGTGTGTATGTGGCCTGATCACCGGAAATCAATGACAATCTAGTTGCTTCCTGAATTGGTTACATATGCATATGAAAAAAAAAAAAATAAAAATATATATATATATATATATATATATATATATGAAGAGAGGTAGGGAGAAAAAGAAAGAGAGAGAGAGTAGATAGCTTACCATGCAATAATCGTGGGCATCTCCCAAATCACCCTGCTTACGCAGCGAGGCTGCCATACGTAGTAAAGCGGCTCTGTGATGGCAAGAGTTGAGATCGCCTAGCTGTAGGGATCTGGATAGGTCGTATGCTTTAGATGCGTAGGTTGCACTCTTATCGTTATCCTGCAAACGACTGAATAGCTCAGAGAGCGCCACATACACTTGCAATTCCAGGGATGGGTCGCCAATGGCCGTGGCGATCTTATGTGCACCCTGCAAGCCCTCCAAGGCCCTGGAGAATCCACCCATTTCCAGATAGACTCTTGCCACAGTTAGATGAACCAGCCCGCTGCGGCACTTCGTGCCAGACTCGTTGTAGAGCGAGTGCCGCGCATAGGCCAAAGCTCGCTCAAGTCCACCTAAGCTGGCGTGAGCGCGACTCAAATTTAAATAAGTTTCGGCCCTCATATTTGGTGAGTCCAGCTCTTCCGATATGCCCAGCTGCTGATGCCCAAAGTCAATCGCATCTCGATACTTGCCCCAATCCATGTGCGCCTGATACAAATACCCCAACAGCTGAAAGCAATCCTCACGACGACAAGTACTCTTCAAAGCGCTACGCCAGGTGCGAACAGCAGCTGTTTGATTATGCTGCTCGTATAAACGTAGGCCGCGTTCAATCTGTGAAGGGACAGCGAAAACGAGAATAGTATAGAGAATAATAGAGAATAGTATATGTACGTAGTTACCTTTCGTCTGGCTATGTACTGCCGAAGGCTTCTTTGGCATGCCCAAAAGCAACCAAGTATGTTGTTAACCTGGCCTGAACGAGGGAAGCCGTGTCGCACCCACAATGAATGGCCCCCTACATCAGCATCGGGGCTAGAGCCGTAGCCGGCAATTCTTGAATAGTTTTCATCAAATTGGCACAGATCTATTTAATATATATAAATATATACATATATATAGATATATACTGCATGGTGTGTATACCAATAAATATATATTTTTTTCTCTTCTTTTTATTTACAGACCATTGGAATTATTCAGTAAATATCGTGATCCATCTGGTGACGCGAGTAAATGTGTTGCTGACAAATTGTGACTTTGTGGTATGCTGCGGAAGTATTATGATACCATTGATAAATAAATAGACATTATATATAAGTAGACATTATATATATATATATATATATATATATATATATATATACCTGAGCAGATCTTTCGTTGCGATGCTCTCCCATGACATGGCTGAGCCTCGTTACCGTGCTAAAGACGTGATGAAAGAAGGTCGGATACTCGCTTCTAGATCACACTGAAATTATTGAGCATATATAGTTAACAAGAACATTAAGAATTAATAATTTTTATTCATTAAGTATATTCTGAGTATATACAAAGCTTATGTAAGAATCTCTAGTGTATCTGTGCCATTCGCTTGTTGGATACTACCCGACAGGGTATCTGGGATCTAGTGGCCCTCATTTTCATTTTATTGAAGTCCCTTTCGTTGTGAATAACTGTAATCAAAATTTGTTTCTACCAAATATCCTATTTTCCTATTTTCAATATGTCTTTATGGAGCTAGGGTATTTGATAGTTGGTAATACATAGCTCCATGCACACACGCTATTAACATGCAAGAATGGTGAACTAGCAGATATCCAGCTTATAATTGTAATTATGCCCAATTTGCATGAACTTTCGATTGCCGATTTTGAAATACCTTTTTTGCCTGTAAATACAGGGTATACATAAATCCACAACAAATTTTAATAGAGAAAAGAGCTTTTTATGCAACTCGAGGACAAAATATGGCTCAATACACGTGACCTTGTACACAGCTTCACTTCTGAATGCACTTTTTCTTCACTCCACTCTCAAGGCAATCCAACCCCCCGACCAATCAACCACCCAACGCGCATACTCTTAAACTCAAGTTTTGCTGTTGTATTAACCAACCTATTCAGGTATACAGTAGGCGTATAGTTATTAATTCACAAATTGGTCACTTGAACATTGCTGCTTATTTATTAGTTCAACAAAAGTTAAACAAACTTGCCAGAGAAATGCTCTTATTTGTTTGTGGGGATGCTGCTGGTGCTGCTGCTGTTACTGCCAGATTGAGAGTTGACGTTTCTGACACCCTTTCTTTCCAGGATTGTCAACTTTTATGAAAGCTCGCCAACCGAATGGTACCGGAACATGAACTAGTTCCGTTCTTCTAACGTACTTTATTGAATTGGGTTGGTACATATATGTAATATTTCAAGTCTCTAGTATAAAACGTGTTTAACATACAACGAAGTTTTTACATTATTGTCTGATTTGACTTACTACGCCCCAGGGGCGGAATCAGAATAGTAACGTGAATGGAAGATTTTAGAAATTTCTATCCCAAAGAACCTCTAAATAGTTGCGTTTAGTCACATGTACACATATTTCAAACGACTTGAATTTGAATGAATATTGTTTTTGTTCCTTAAATTAAAGGTACCCTAAAGCGCGAAAGAGTTGCACAGAAGCTAAGCAAGATGTTTGGCCAATTGCCAAAAGGTAAGCAGCGCCAAGCGCAAGGTCGAAGGCACCCATTCGTGTGCCTGCTTAGGATACCGTATTAGGATCGCTACTCCTCCACTCAATATATACGACAAAAGCGAGCACCATTTGGGGGATACCAGGAAGGCGAGCTTGCTTCCTGAAATAGGCAACTGGTGGGTTTGCAGCTTGCAGGCAGTGAGTTCAGGGACTTTTCGATAATCATGTCGTCATTATGTAGAGCGGGGCTGCATACGCTTATGTCGGCTGCTGTCCATCTTCATTGAGCTTCTGGGAGGCAGAGCCTCATAGATGTCTTCCATATAGGCAAGAAGAATTTTTGTAAGAATTGTGTACGAATTTTCCCTGAAGGCTCTTAAGATCCTTTTTTCAATACGGACACCAGACTGAGAAATCCCTGAAAACAATCCGGCAGTCTCTACTTGTGGAAAGCTCAGCACATTATGGCCCAACACCCAGAGCAATACAGTGAAACAGAGGCCTCTGGAGGGTGGCATCGTCACCTCCTGCACAGTGGGGCAGGAATACTACCCTTATATTTCTAGACAGTTAAGAGACAAATCGTAAATTTACATTTTTCTTTTTTTTTTTATTTGCATTGATACATGTTTCACTTCTCCACTCTTTTTCGTTTTTTCAGCTTGCCTTCGTTCGTATTCGTATTCGTATTCATATTCATAATCGTATCCGTAATCTTTTCCATCTAATAGTACACATAAATATATGTAGTTTCTGTTTCTCATGTTGAATGCATTTGCTTATTTGACCTCTTAAATGGTATTATTTAAGTAGATATAAATTTGCTGGGCTACAGTAATAACTACAATTTAGTCTGCCTTCACTATTCCAACTGAGTTTTTTTCTTTTTTCTGTTCTTTTTTATATTATCTCCTTTTCATGTATTAGTGCATATACATAAAATTATATTCAGCTATGATTGAATTACATATTTTCCTCTTTCGATCGCTTCCGGCATTACATATGTATGTATATATGTATGTACCAACGCCTTTGAGTTGAAGTTTATGCAACTTTCATCTAGCATATTTATGAGGGCCATTTATTAAGTGAATATAAGTGTGTGTGTGTGTGTTTGTGTGTGTTGGTAATCTGTGACTGCAAATAATTATAGAGTAGTTATAAGTGGGGGTACTGTCCATGCGATTGCATTTGTATAGATGGCTGTGCAGAAGTCTGCGTCGATGTTCTGTCTGTAAGCTTGTTACATAGCTTACATAGCTCTAGGGCAGCACTGGTCCTGAGTTTGCAATTAATGCAGTCTTTGTGACCGTGTCTAATTTATATGAATGCATAAGCATAAATATATTCGGCACAGTGGGGCAGACGTGTGAAGGTGGAGACTTCAAAATATATCTGCAATTAATAAACTGACTTTGAGAGACCGCTAATTGACAAATCAAAAATACATATCGCTATAACAAAGCAATGGTCTTCATGCCTGCAGACTAACTAAAGTTGATTGTAACACGCGTGTTGAAGTATCCAAAGTACACAAACAATTATCGAATGTTTTTTAATTAAAATACTTATAAAGTCGAATTGGCTGATGATGTTCGGAAGCGAACTGCTCTAGGTCCGAGTCTAAAATCTGGAGAGCTCTACAACACCAATTCAACTCACGAGTGTAGATAACATTTGACGTCAAAATATTTGGCTACTTTTTTACCTGTGGCAGTGAAACGAAAAGAAAGCGGTTCCTAAGCTTGACATGATAATAAGTTGAGATGTATGTTGTAAGTATATAATTATATGCATTGTATTGTAATGTAGTGTATTGTATTGTAATGAGTTTTATGGTATCGTATTGTATTTTTTGTATTAAATTGTATTGTATTGTAAGCGTAATCCTAATCATCTCAAACTGTAAGAATGGATAAATACTATTGTATCTACACTTCTCTGTTGCCTATTTTTAAGAGAGTTTGCATTGAAAAGTATTTAAATATAAATTATTTAAACTTAGGGCATCGATCTTGCTTTTGTTACTGCTTTCGGATTCTGATTCTGATTCGGATGTTGTAAATTCGGATTATTCGTAAGTTTCTGCATTAAGCTTAAAACGAGAGCGTTTACTATCATTAGAGGGCGCTGTAAAGGGTTCTCCAAGTGCCATATAAGAAATAGAAGTGTGTGAAGGACTCTCTTACAATTAAATGCTCTCTGTGTGTGTGTGTGTGTTGTATGTGTGTGTGTGTATAATGATTCAGTATGATTTGGAAAATACAATAAAGCCAAAGAAGGCTCGCTCGTTTTGACTGTGATGTTTTGACTCAGAAAGAACTGTTCTTTATATATATATGTATATATAACACCGAAACGAACCAACTCGTTGGTTTCTTTAAAAGTATATATATGAATACTACTTATGTGGTATGTAAATAAATTTCATGTTCTGAATGTGAAGCAAATGTCTGCATCAATACATGAATTGCAAATTCTATTTGTTTTTTTCTTTTTCTTCTTTATTAAATATACAATTATTATAACGTTTCACCTAAACTTTTTTGTTCGCCTCCCATTCTTCACACAAATATTTTTCTTCTTTCTTTTTATATAAAATTTTGTATGTAAGTTCTATAGCATATATATTAGATATATATATATACTGCTTCGTTTCATTTACAAAATTTCAAAATTTAAACTAAAAAGTAAAACAAAAACAAAAACAAAAAAGCATAAGAACTTAAAAACTTACAGTTGAGAGTTCTTTGAATTTCACCTTTCCCATATTCGAAATACTTAATATACGAATAATAACTGTAAATGTAAATGCAATACGAAAAATTCATACGCTTTCTGATATAACAAGTACATGTTTCATATTATCGTATCTATCTCTGTTTGCCATTGGCCTTAGTTACTTAGCGTCTAATTTCCTACACGTGTTTTAATCTTCTCCTAAAATATGGTATTAAATTTATCATTTTTATTTTTATTTTTATTTTCAGTCAAAACTGTCGTACAAGGCAGCTATTGTACGAGAAGTATATTTATATATAATGTAAGTTTGCCTTTTGACTTCAAACGGGGATGATCATCGAATGAATTCACAGATTTTACTTGAAAAACTTCAAAGTCAACAAAGAAAATTATAAAAGGTTACAAACGCTTAAATGAAATGAAAGGGCGCTCGATTGTCGAGTATTTTTTGGCTTGCAAGGAGGATGCAGAGAATTTTACTTTAGTGTACTGGAGTTATAATTATACTGATAATGTAATAAGTCTAGCTCCTTAGCTCCTTTAGCCCGATATAAATCGATTTACATCTGACATAAATACAGAAAAATTACAAAAATAAATAAAAAATAAATAGAAGATATTTACAGAATGAAATTCGGTCAAACAATCAACAAAATTTAGAACCAATAAAACTAATCTGGAAACTTGTATTTATATGTAAAATTTGTTTTATACCAATTATATTAAAGACAAGAGCTGTTTATTTTTATAGGGACATTATTTGAGTTTAACGCGAGCAATACAATCGTCAGATGCCAAGGCAAACCTAATCTATATACTCCAATCTTAAATCTGTAATCGGCATTCTCTTTGTTTACTTATTAAGTTAAATAATATATATTTATATCGCTACAAACTATGTTTTAATGCGCTTGAAATATCTTCCTCATTTTTAAACTTATTTATTCTATTTTCACCTTTCTCCTTCTTTTCATCAATTATTTTCTCTCTCTCTCTCTCTCTATCTTTCTGTTTGTAGATTCTTCAATCGATCTTATATTCGAAATACATAAGAATGTATGTGTATGAATATATTTATATAGAGTACGCCCTAATAATATGAGAGCCGCAAGTCTGATGTTATAAAATGATGCCTTTTCAAATCGATATCCTTCAGCCAAGTCAGCCATCCAACATTCAGCCATCCAGCACGTTCAGCATATTCACCGATATATACCAAGTGTTTCAATACGACGAGCCATTGTGTTGTTTAGTGTCCAAAATAAATAATGAAATGTGTAGAATATGGCGGCGATCAGGATTGTTGTTGTAATAGTGCCGCCTGGAAGCCAACTCCAGCTCCACAAATAGACATCGATAGGGCGATTAAGCGTCGCTTGACCGGATCCACTGTTGTAGGTCAGCTCTTCGTTTTTCACTACTTCGTTTGGATGCTTGTCATAATTGTGATGATCATCTGGAATTTAAGAAGCGATTGAGTTGACCAAATTCTTAACAGTTTAGTTTGGCTAATTTAATTCAAATTATTAATTGCCAAGTAATTCAATTAAGTACTCATAATCTTACGCATACATAGGAAGTTGGTTGGCATTGGTCGGGTTAGGCACAGCGCGATATTTTCTTGATATATATATATTTTCTTGTTATCAGTATTTTTATTCGACAAAGTGTGTTGGTTAAAGCTTAATATAACGGTTCATTTATAAGTTGTTTGTGGAAACTATTTGCAGCACATTTCAGTTTAATTCAGAAGGTTTTACTCAAGTTCCAGGTAATAAAATTTCTCCTAAACTAGAAAGTCAATAGCTTGAATCGCAACGAAATGGTTTATGTTCATACGGACAAACAGACAGCAGCAAGAAGTAACCTTGTAGAAAACATATAATCATCATCTATCTCGTCTTTCATCTCCCATATAGCACTTCTCTTCTTTCATCTCTCATATCAGAGACCACCTGTCGCATTTCGTCTCTTATCATCTGTTCTCTCCCTAAAATTTACTTCATGCCATTAATCACGCTTCACTATTGGGCCGGACAGTTACAATATACCCGTTTTAGTCTTTTGAATGCTCCTGTGGATTTGTCATCATTGTCAGTCTTACGGTGTTTCTCTCCGTTTACTTTTGAAGAGGCGAAAGCACATACAGTGGCCGGGACAGGTGTGGAGTTGGTGGTGGTGGTAATACTAGGCAGGTGTAACACAGGTAGCTAATGGCAGATGCATATACAAATGCATTTCTAATGAATTCTACTTACTTTTCGTCTTATTATTACCAAGGTCTGTCGAACTGTGGGATGATTGTGTATAATTGCTAATATCTGTATTATGACTGCCTGAGCTTGTTTGAATTTTGATATTTGTGGTATGTTTCGGATGGAAGAATTGCTTCCTATTACGGTTATTATTATTATTGTTAAGTATGTTAGTTGAGTTAGGATTCGAATTTGAGCTTAAATTTGAATTTTTTATTCTGCTGTTTGACGTTGAGTTTGCTGTTGTTCTGTTCGTGTCCACACCCGAGCTAATGGCCCATTTATTAATTGGCCAATTGATCGTGCTCTGCACAATGTTACTATGATTTGTGTCAACAACAACCGGCGACAGGTAATACATATCTTTTTTGCCAACTTCCTCTTGTATGTTGAGCTGACTTGTAGTTTCGTCCTTACCATTACTATTCATATTGTTCAGATTGCCTTTGTGATGCGGATGCTGATTATTCTGTTGCGTTGGAACATTATTAATTCGTATGCCAGTCTGTATATGATGATGGTTGGGGTATGGCATGTGAATGCCGCCTCGTCCAGGTGGCAGCATATTTATGCTGCCATGGCCAGGTGAGTGCATTATGCCAGATCCCCCTGCTACTCCTGTCCCTACAGCTCCGCCTCCTCCAGCTATTAAGTTCGGTTGAATGGGTATGCGGTTGAACTGATCAATGTTTGTATTGATCGAAGTGCCAGCGCCATTGACGGGCTTCATTTGACCACCGCCACCAGCTGCTGATCCGCTGCCAACGCCTACGCCAATTGTATGAATTCCATTCGGGCTATTCATATTTCGATTCGGATCAATATTAACAGCCGCATTATCGACGCCCTTGTGTATATTGCTCGTTCCACCACTGTCCACAGCTGGCACATTTCCCAACATTGTTGTTATCTCCGTTGTCTTGTTCTTATCTTCGGGCGCACAGCACACTTTGAACACAACTTTCATGTTATTTGTGGAACAGCGGCCACCTATGCGACGGTATAAGTCGTCCTTTGATGAAGTCGCTGCAATTTGAAAATATCAAAATCCAAACAAAATCAATTTACAACAACTAGCTCCATGTAATTAATAGTTAATATTTTACAAATCAAATCAAACAACATTAAAATTCAAACACATTACAAACTACGCTAAGAGATGTCCAACTAGCAGATGTCCGTGCATCAAGGTAAAATAGTTTTATTAAAATATATGTCACAGTCAGAAGGTAGGTAGGTCGGGCTTAGAACCCTTAAGAACTGCACTTAAAAAGTTGGAAGATTATCGAATTCGTTTAAAAAATCGAGTAACTGATTAACAAAATTTGTTTATTTTCTATACCAGCAAAAAATTGAATTCTCGCACTTCAAATAAAAAAAAAAATAAAAAACAAGTAAGAGCGTTGCAGTCAGTCGTTACCGTTTACGTTTAGCTCTAATACTTCTGGGCGTAGACACCTCATTTGTGGTCAACTCAACTATCCAAATTTGAAGCTTCTAGCTATTATACTTTAGTAGATATCAACTTTTACGGTTTGCCACGCGCCCTGTGAGCAGACATATATCCGTCGAAACTCTTTGGTCTTGGGTAGTCAGCCGGGTATACCAAATATACCAAAATTTTGTTCTCTAGCATTAATAGTGTCCAAAATATAGCAGAATTTAAAAAATCACTATAACTTCAGGTGCGATTTGCCACGCCCCTAATGGGCGTAGACATAAAAATTTTTCATTAATCTTTATAGAATCATAACATTAGCCTACGTGCGTTCGGCATTGTAGCTTTAAAACTCTAGGAGATACAGTTTTATCCGCTTTGCCACGCCCTCAATGGGCGTAGATACATCCGCCATAGCTCGTGATCTTGGGTGGTTGATGCGGATCTACATTCCAAATTTCAGCTTTCTAGCTCTCAACGAATATGATTTCTGGTATATCAGAACATGCATTTTCCGATTTGCCACGCCCCTAGTGGGCGGTTCGGGAAAATTTTAACACTTTATAATAAGGAGATATACACGAGTAAAATTCAAGTCTATAGCTTCAATAACGCCGAAACAAATTGCGTTCATACGGACAGACGACGGACAAACCAATATACTATATATACTATATACCAGAGCTCGCAAATGAGAGTTGATAGTTTTTTCGTTTATGCTCTGCTTCGTATCATAACCGAAAAAATTGTGCAGACACAATGAATGAGTGTCGCGTAAAGAGTAATACGGTTTTCGCTCACACAAAGACTCTCAGCAAAAAACAGTTTGACTAAAAAACTCAACAGAAATGATCTTTGCAGTTTCTGTCTGTCTTTTTGATTGTGTTAGTGAAAGACACTTATTTGCAGACAACGAAAAAGTGTTAACAGTTATTTGCGAGCTATGCTATATACTAATTCATTTTCGTGAATGAGTATAAAAAAAGACTTTCAAATACTAGCAAATACACACATTTTGAAAGTTTGTTTCAAAAATTCCCTCCAGCAAAGTGTTTCTTCAACAAAGAAGTTGCCAAGCCACGTGCCTATGTGTATGTGTGTATGTGTGTATATATGTCGTATTTACTGTATGCGAACAAGAAGCGAGGAAATATATATATAATATTCATCGAAGGAATCTAGTGATCAATCAATTTCGACTAGAGTAGTCTTCCTTCTTTTACAATGGTGCTCATACAATCTCGACTGTTAATTGAGTATATCTCTTAGGCCTTGTGATTCGTCGAATATAGTTTTGTTTTTAGCAAGTTTACGAGAAATGATCTTGGACTACTAATTACTTAGGCCTTAATTGAATCCATTAAGTATAATATAATTTAATCAAGAGCTCGTGTGACAAATCCACAAATTCGTGTATTCATTTTTAAGTTATGTTAACAAAATAAATTATAAAAGGACATATAGCAACTCGCTGGTTATATTCTGACGTAGAGTATTATTGTATCATATGTTTATACTTTCATCTTTTAATTAAAGAGAAATGAATTGATATAATGTGCACATGAAAACCCTGGATTACGAGATCGATGCATTCATCATGGGACCGTCTAGTAGGACACTGTTATAGGCGAGCGGCTTATTCTTTTCGAATATGTGTAACGTAGTAAACAATTTGACAGATCAAGTTTTAGTCAAATTCTAATGGGTAATGCCGTTTAAAATAAACAGATAAAGACAAACAGATATTTATTGCAGATTATAACTTACAAATGAAATAGTAGTCATTTCCAGGTAGGAACTCTAAACCACCTGGCTGCGGTGTAAATGGCCGGAAAGTTATCGTAAAAAACATTAATTTCTGAGGCTTATCACATATAGCTATTACTCGCGGATCGGCGTTCGTTATGCGACATGTTTCGTACTCCACTTTAGACACATTGTATATGATGTACTTCTCTGTTTCATTATCGAATGCGCCGGGCTCATACACTGGACATATTATGTGTACCTGGTCGAACTCGAATGCTAGATTGCCTTTGTTCACGTCAATAATATGATCTGTATTATCGATCCGAAATCTGTAAAGTTCAGAAAATACATTTTATTAGAGTAATAATGTACATATTTGTGAAAATAAACGATAGGTTTATATCCACTCCATCCTCAGAGTACGCTAAGTTATACCCTGAACCCATTGAAAATGTATGTAACTGGCAGGTGGGGGCGTGGTAGACCACGGAAAGTATATATACATGATCAAGAGGACGAGCTGATTCTATTTGGTAGTGCCCACCTTTTGTCCATCCATGAATTTCAGAAGCTATAAGAGCTGGAGACATGAACTGTTTAATAGATTTGATATAATTTTGCCCAACATTTTAAATGCCTTCTTCCCATTCATCCACATTTTAATGTTATCATTCAACCTCCATTGACAATTTAATTCCCATAAGATAGCCCAAATTGCAGCCCAAGCGCAGTGTCTGTGTGCGTTAACAGAATCTCATGGTCGAGTAGTCTCGACTAGAGCCTACATACATGTTTTGTATACAATTTTCATCAACAAAATCAGACCAAATAGGAACAAAACTCACCTACCGATGCATAATACCTGACAGTCGAGCACTATTCTGTGACGATAAAAAATTGATTTGGAGGAGTACAAGTGAGAGTTGAATCGAGGCAATACCAGAAGTATACTCTTCTTACTGAGGGTTGTCGAATATTTTTAAAATATCGTATCGAAATTTTAAGTTTATCGATATCAATATTTTTCGATATTTTATTTTAAAGTTTTTTAAAGTAATCCGTCCCAAAAAATATGAATAATAATAATAAGTATTTTTTATTTAAATGAAAAGGCCCGGTCAACTCCAGTATTCCGTAATCAAAAGAGTCATAATGTTTGATTTTCATATGCAAGGTTATACTTGGTGTATAAGCACTAGTTTTTATACCCTGAACCCATTTTCAATGGGAAATCAGGGTATAATGGTTTGTTGAAATGTATGTAACAGGCAGAAGGAGGCGTGGCAGACCTCACAAAGTATATATATTCTTGATCAGGGCGACGAGCTGAGTCGATTTAACCCTGTCCGTCTGTCTGTCTGTCTGTCCGCCCATCATCGCGTCGATCTTAGAAGGTATAAGAGCTAAAGACCTGAAATTTGTTTTCCTAGGTCCATGTATATCGATTAAGATTATCGAAAACCGGTAATAAATTTATATATGCTGCATCTTCAAAGCTAGTCACCAAATTTTTAATGCAATTTCGATTTTTGTCAAAATTTTCCCCCACCCCTAATTCACCCCCTCACTCGCAATTTGTAAAAGGCGTGTTTCGAATATTAGAGACTTGTGATTTGATAAATACATGCATATCTATGTTATATTCATAATCTGAAAGTTTCATGAAAATAGTCCATCCACAAGAAAAGTTATTAAACAATTAAATTCCCATAGTAAGTCACCACTGCAGCCAATGCGTGTTTATGCATGTGTGCGTATGCCTGTGTGTGTGCGAGTGTGTGTGCATGTGCGAATAAAATTTTGAAGAAATCAGTTGCTCGAAAGGGTCAGGGGATTTCGTAGTTGGGCAGTCCCGACTAGAGCTTTCTTACTTGTTTTATATTAACCCAATTATAAAGAGCTTTAATTGTTTAAGACATTGAATAGGCCAAGGTTTTAAATACTGAATTACAGTTGTTTCATATTGGGGACTATCGGGATACTATCGACCACTATCGATGATTCCGAATTTACAATCTCCCACTATATAGCTCTTATATCTTCTGAGATCGACGCGCTCAAACATACGGACAGACGGATGGACGGACAAAGCTAAATCGACGCAGCTCGTCGCCCTGATCATGAATATATATAATTTATGGGGTCTGCCACGCCTCCTTCTGCCTGTTACATACATTTAACAAAACCATTATACCCATCAGGGAAATCATTCCCATTTTCAATGGGTTTAGAGTATAATAACCAAAGCTCGCAAATAACTGTTAAGACTTTTTTCGTTGTCTGCAAATAAGTGTCTTTCACTGACACAATCAAAAAGACTTAGACAGAAACTGTTTTTGTCGCGTCTGGCTTAGCTCGCTCGCGCTCTGAGGGAGACTGTTATTTCTGTTTTCGTTTCGCTCAAGTCAGTCACTGATCGTTTGCTTGAGTTAAATGAAGCAAACAGTCTTTTGCGTATGTATGGGTAATCACACGCGATTGTTGCGTTCTTTTATGTATGTATGTGTGCATGTATTTACATGCACACGAAGGCAAAGATCATTTCTGTTGAATTTTTTAGTCAAACTGTTTTTTGCTGAGAGTCTTTGTGTGAGCGAAAACCGTATTACTCTTTACGCGACACTCATGTGAGAGCGTCACACGAATGAGTCATTGCATTGCGTCTGACCGAAGCAGATTCTAAAGAAAACAGAGAGTGTCGCTCAGAGCGAGTCGTGTCTGCACAATTTTTTCGGTTATGATACGAAGCAGATAATAACATTAAAAAAAAAAACAGTTATTTTACTAAATTCAATGAAGTAAAAATGGTGGAATAGAAAATGATAATAAAAGAGATGTTGTGGTTATTGGGCTTTTCCACACATCAAACATTTTGCAAAATTTTTGTCACTTGAATTTTTTTTGAATATTTCCATACATCCTACAATTTCATTTTAATATTCTCCTTGCTTTTTCAGACGCAGAATTCTTATCCGAATATGACGTGTTACAATTGAAGGTTTTTTTTAGAATTGCGGCGTTTATCTTTGAAATTGCTTCAACAGTGCGTTGTTAATTAGCTTTTTGGACAAATCCATCCATTTTATTATACCCTGAACCCATTTTCAATGGGAAATGTTGAAATGTATGTAACAGGCAGAAAGAGGCGTGGCAGACCCCACACAGTATATATATTCTTGATCAGGGCGACGAGCTGAGTCGATTTTGCTCTGTCCGTCTGTCCGTCCGTCCGTATGCTTGAACGCCTCGATTTCAGAAAATATAAGAGCTAGAGACTTGATTTTTTTTTAATGACCGTATATACAGCGCGGATGTCGAGTTTATCTTTAAAATTCGATAAATCATCCCGTTATGTTTTTATCGAATAAAAACATTCAAGTTCAAGTCAGATGCCAGTATAGCTAATTGTGAATGATTTTTAATTTTTTTAAATTTGTCAAATATTCAATAGAATGTGTAGATCATATGCTGAAAGTCTCATTAAATTCCGTTAAGTCAATCGACGCACAGTGGCGTTCGACAGAAAATTCCTTAAGCTATAAATAAGCCAACATACAGGGTCATGCGTTAACAGGTTTATACACAGTTTAACCTCAAACCTGAAAAATGAGATTTTCGTCCTAAAATGCATGTTTTTGTATGAAAAACTAAAACATTTTTTGTTGAAATTAATTTATTTTTAATTATTTGCAGCAAAAATGACTATTTAGACAAACAAAAAACAAAACAATTAAAAAAAAAAAAAAAATTACCAAAAACCCAAACTTTTCGTTTTGCATGCAGCTACAGGCAAATGTGACCCATTTTAGTACATTTTGTGTGTTTTTATGGCGATTTTGGGTTAGTTTTTTGCTATAGAAACCCAAAGGGAAATCTAGGGGAAGAAAAGTTATATTAATTTAAATTAAAGAGGACGTCTTCCTTAACTACTTTAGGTAAAAAAAAAGATCAAATTTAAATTAAAACTAGGCCTTCAATGAAGTCTTATTAACATATTTTTTAAAAATTCTATTAGTAATATCCATTCTTTAAATCGCAACCAACACTGCAAAAATTGGTGCAAGATTTTTCCTACAATTCAATTGATAAGTGGAATATTTTTCACAAAAACTCGCTGCTTTTTACAACTTTGCCACTTTCCCAAATTTTGAAGGGTTATAACTATCCTTAAAATGGACCGATTTTCCAAAATCTTTCGGCTCCTATATCGTAGATCGATTCATTTTCATATGACATTCGTTTTTTTTTTTCACGCTACGCTGGCAGAATTGCATTCTTAGAATCACATTAGCAGTTAGTTTGGTTTAGTTTTGCTAGATAGCGCTGCAGCAGTGAATCTATTTCAGTTTTGCCAACGGAGCTTCTAAAAGTGAGGCGGCGTGACGCTCGATCGAGAAGTCGCGAGTTCGAAACCAGAGCTGAGATTAACTCTTTTTTTAATTGTTTCAAAATATTTGTATATTTAATTAAATGAGTTTTTATTTCTCCAATATTTTTAAATACATCGAAATTGAAATTTTAACCATACTAAATTTTGATTAGTTTGGTTCAGGGTAGTATCTAGTCGATCAATCTCGACTACAGTTTTCTTACTTGTTTAATTATGTTTAACAATAATCTTATTGCAATAACAATTATTTTCTCACAAATGAAAGAAAACGCGCAATTTTTACAGTGATGTATAAACAAAACTATCGGTGGAACTATCGACCACTATCGTATTTGCGGCACAATCGATAGTAGGCCGACTCGATAGTGCTCTACCATCGATAGTTTGGCACCTCTAATATATATATATATTTTCAGCAACCCTAGTAATAACCCACCCGTTGTAACACGCACTAAGTATATGCAGGGTATCCGCACGCCGAGGATTTATTTCTATCCAATGTGCGTGGTCAAGATGTACAAGTCAGTACTATACCAGCAAGTTATCCTGCCCCTCTGCCAGGTTACATATATTACGCATATGCCCTCATCAGACAGAGAACAGCAAACGCGTTATTTATTTATTTATTTTGAAATGTGCGACTCAAAGCTGATGGTGTGCTAACAGAGAGTGCTGAATGCATTCGAAAAAAGGCTCGGTAGGTCTTGAAGACTGGGCTCTGGCCTGCAGTCGAAACCACAAGGGGGTCTAACCACCCCTACCCGCAACCGCCCTTATGCCTTCCCGCACTCGCCCATGCCACCCATCAAGTGCTGTGTGTTTAACACGCAGCACGCACTTATGTCTTATGTCTGCCTCTTGCCCCCTGCGAGCGTTTTCTTGGTTTCCTTTCGTTCCCTTCCAACTTCCAAGCTCCGAGTTGTTCTCTGTTTATTTTTTCTTTCCTTCTATTTGATTGTAGAGCTTTGTAAATCAAAAATCACCCCTAATGATGAAGTACGCATATTTCACATGTTCGCTTTAGCGAAATGTGCGAGTACGACTAGGGTTACAGCAACACACACACTTGAACTAAAAACACCCACCTATATACATATGTATGCATCAGGGGTACTCAATTAATTTTACATAGAAATATTTAAAGAATTATATCTTATACAAATCACCCATTCATCACTGCCTATCATTGTTTACTATATTCCTTTCGCAAATAAATGATATATGCACACTAGGGCTGTCGAAAATATATCGAAATATAGAATAAATATCGGGATATTTTTTTTCGCCAAGTATCGAATATTTATTACGTTTTTTTTTTTTTTTTTTATATATATATTTGAGTTGGTCGCTCTTGTGATAAGTGAACCAAGCGAAAAGTACAAAAATTGAATATGGAGAAAACGAATTATTCTGACTTTAAAAATGGAACATCCAAATGTAATTTGTGCCTTAAATTAATAAAAAGAGGTGGCGTTGCGTATGAAAATCAAGCACTATGATGCTTACACTGTGCAGTACACTGTGCGGAAGAGAGGAAGCTTGAGATGTACCGCAGCTTGCCGCAAACTTCTAGGGAAAATCCAATAAGCCGGCTATGCCAGGAGTATCAAAGATCGTATTACGATGCCTTACCACCCCTGGTTGCTCTGTGCTTTCGGAACGATTTGTTTTTTTTTTTTAATCTTTAAGTACTGAATACTGTAGTTAGGCGGGCTTTATCATTTTAAGAAATTATACTCATTTTTCTTGTTCTTGTTTTTTGGGACGGATTATAAATTTATTGTGGAAAAAAAATCGAAAAACATTGATATATCGATTTTTTTAAAGTTACATCAAATAGTATTTTGATATTTTTTCAAAACTTTAATTATCATCGATACGATATTTAAAAATTTTTCGACAGCCCTAATGCACATATTAGACTATTGGCATAAAATCTGTAGTTATACGTACCGCACTCCGCGCAATCCCAGCATGCAAAAATTAAAAACACAAACAACTCTGATTGTATTTTCGATGCCTGCGTATCCCATTAGGACAAATGAACTTTCAAGAAGACCTAACACTCGGATGTCTTTAGCTTGAGCGTACAATATGGACATACATACATATATTTATGAGTGTGTGCCTGCTCATTTCTTTTGTGAACACTGGCCCTAAAGTTCGTTCGCTATACGGATCATAATGTAGGTGCATGCGTGTATGCATGCATGTTTGCAAAACTTCTTGAGCGTTGCATATACTTTGCTTGATGCTGGACGGCGGCATTTGCACACATATACACATACATATATATGCACAACCGATCGTATGAATAACAATATTTATAATTTAAATCAGCTCTGAATTTGAGAATCGATTACCAATATTGCATACATATATATGTGTATTGCTATAAACATGATTTCAACGGACTAGTTTCCCAAAGGACTATTTTTCTTTTCCTCTTTTTTTCAAAGCTTTCACCACACTTGGTCAAATGACAAATGATAAATACAAATATATATAAACACTTACATGCTGTTCGATGTATTCCAATGCATATAGAAAGTTTTAGCGCAGCTAGACATTGTGGACAGTAGGACAGTTTCTATGCAAATTATCGTCAAAAGCGTGGCAAGGGACGTGGCACCCAGACTGGGTAATGGAACTAACATTTTGTAGCGCACGGAATGGTACTTCTTCTTATTGCTTATGTTAATACCTCTCGTACTGTTCTCGCCGGAGTCTCGCTCAGCAGCGATCTCTCCCGTTGCCGGCGACTGCGGGAGTCGCGGAAATTGATGGTTCTTGAGCTGCGTTGCATTAAAATGCTTAATACGCTGTTGTTCTTCTTGTTGTTGGCTAGCACAAATCTTCGCTGTGGTTGTTGTAGGTGGTGTTGGATTGGCAAGGATTGTTTTCTTGTGGCTCTTGCTTTTACTTTTGGTCTTTCGGTGCATCGTCGCTGGCTTTAAGAGCGTGGTCGTTGGTTGATTTCGTTTTCGAGCATTTGGCGTATATTTTTTGTCAAAAGTCGACGGTGGCGTTATTGTTCTGTTTCTAGACTCCTGCTGCTGCTGCTGACTTAGGGTAACTGACTTTCCCAACCATTTATCATAATTCATATTATGATCCGCAAATCCATTCTTAATGCAATTAATACGTACGGCCAAAGAATCTGCTGCCGCATCCTTATCACTCGAATCGGCATTTGACTCGGACATCAGCTGCTCTGCTATGTTTACTGTTCCAACGGTTCTTGTTAACGACTTCCAGCTGGGCGTCAGCCCACTTGACTTTAGGAACAGCTGATCTTGTTCTTTTCCAGCAGTTCCGGTCAGCAAATTCCAGTTGACAATTAGCCCCATTTTTTTAGTCGACGGCGTTACGATAGTCATTTATACTGTTATACATATATTAAGTATCTTGTATTACAAATTTCTTCCTTATTGAAATTTTGTCACCTTCGAATTGGGTGCTCTTTAACTCTTTCTGTATCTATTTCTTGCACTGGTTTGGACCTTTGTAGACACGTGACTTATTTTTGACCCGCTCCTAATGCTAACGCTAGTGCTAAAAATCATGCCGCTGACCCAATTGCCGTTTTTGCTTGCTATTGACGATATTAAAATTGGGCCCGTCGGAAACATGCCGAAACCCCATGTTTCTGGAAGTTACGAAGTAAGATCTGATCAGTAAATGTAAGGATGCGCCTATGTTATGTGCAATGCATGTTCATGTGTTTTATATGTGTGCACGAAGCGGTTCCTCTTCACAGTAACAGTGATGGTAATAGTAACAGTAACAGTAACACTAAAACTAGCACTACTCCTAATAGTACCAGTAGCAGTAACAGTAAAAGTATATGCATGTATCTATGTACATATGTTCGACTCTTTTTTAAGTGAATTAAATTAAAAAATAAATATTTGCATTGTATCTGTGAAACATATACATACACATACATATGCTGCTTCTTTTAATTCACTTTTAGTAACTTAAATGCCGACCACTACTAAATTTGTATACAGGCGAAGATTGTAGTGTACAAAAGTAAGTACGTGTGTATATATTCGCCCATTTTATAATACAAAATGTAGGAAATGGCATATGTTAATGTCTCATATACATAGATACATATACTGATGCTATTTACAAGGACTTAAATAATCATTTTTATTAATTATTTTTCCGCTTGTTTTTGAATGAAAAAATAATAATGCAAAAACTTCTGCTTCTGCTCTCCTGCTCTCCCACATTCTTTCTCTCTCTGTTTCCTCCCCCGTTGTATATCTCACTAGCGCTCTCTCACTCTCTCTCTCTCTCTCTCTATGTATATATATGTATAACGCTCTGTGACTGCCTTTCGAAGGAAACTCAAATACATAAACATTGAATCCGACGATTTTCTCGTATACATACACAAACAATTTCCAATACCATAAACGAATACACCTTTTTGTGGCCTAAAACGCGATTTAACTCATAAGGGAAGCATGTAAAACGTTGCGTCAGAGTCAGAAATCGTGTTACTGTCGCCGTATTTATAAACGAATGTAGCAATTTAGTATTCTGGCTGTTTCATTTGAAATGCAAAATAACCACTTACACGCACACACAAAAACAGACAGAATGCAAAGTGTTCTATGTATATATACATTTCCGAATGTGATTTTACTTTTCAGCTTCGCATTTTCCCATTTGTTTTTTAACACATGCTAAGCTGCCGTATCCGTATCCACAGCATTTTATTTTATATTATTTCACTAAATTCGTTTGTAAATAACTATTATACAGTACATTTAAAGAGCTATGTATTAGGTGTAAAAAATAATACGAAACTGACAGTGTGGTAGTATCTGAAAAATGTATCTGTATCTAAAATGTGTTTGTACAATTATTTTCTAGTTACATGTTTATTTCACGAAACTACCTCTATGCGTCTTTAAAAAAATACTGCAAATACTGAATTTGCAAAAATAAAATAAAGCAAAAAAATTTTACGAATGAATAACTTTTATTCATTTGATAAAAGTATTTATCGAACGTTGTTAAAGGAAGGAACCGAATCGATCACTAGCTATAATTATGTGCATATCAATAATAATTCTAATTGTTTTCGGGTATTTTCTAGTATTATTTTAAGGTTAACGTTAAGGTAATATGTTAAGGTTTCGGGTATTTTCTAGTATTATTTTAAGGTTTATTATAATTTCACTACCTCTAGTCAGATTGTCATTGAATTTAAACTGTCTACTCATTTAAATACAAGCAAATTAGTTTTCTGTAATGAGTTAGCGATATGTTTACATAATGTACTTCTTTTAATGTAATTACTAACCAGAGAGCATATACAGTGCTGCCAACTTTTCCGGGCAAGAAAATGCTAAATTACCCCTTCAAACCTGTTAGAAACAGCTAGATCAAATTCAAAAATAGCCTGAAATATAACCATTTCAGGCTTCAGGGCCTGAACCCATTGACACTGGGAAATCAGGGTATAAAAGTATATATATTCTTGAACAAGGCGTCCAGCCGAGTCGATTTAGCCCGGTCCGCCTGTCTGTCCCTCCGTCTATTCGTACACGTACGTATGAGCCCGTCGATCAAAGAAGATATACGAGCTAGACTTTTTTTTAATGTCCGTAAAAAAAATCCATCCACAAGAAAAGTTATTAAACAATTAAGTTCCAATAGTAGGCACAGACTGCAGCCAACGCATCTTTATCCGTGCGTGGATATGTGTGTGTGCATGTATTCTTTCTTGTGTAAGCAGAGTAGGGGATCTCGTAGTAGTTTGCATATTTTTGCTCTTTTCCGGCACACAGGCATACAAATGCTTCTACAAGTTATATCCCATAATAGCGAGCATCGTATAAAATTGCTACAGGCAGCAAGACTTCGCACACAGGCATACAAATGCTCATGGTACATGTAGCAAAGGAGAGTGTGTGTGTGCATGCTTCTCGCGAAAATGCGGCCGCTTCGCTTGTCACAAAAGTACTAAAAACTAAGTCTGAATAGAGAGAGAGGTAATAAGAGATCATAAAGAGAGAGAGAGAGAGTTAACGGCGCTGGTTCCCTTAATTGTGCTTTCATATATTTTCGTGATGAAGAGCCGAGCAAATACAGAGAAAAAATACTTGTCCGGTCTATATGTTCTCTGGTTTGTGCTACAACCTACTTCGTAGTATCGATATTTACGATATTTTGAGAGAAAAAGATCGATAATAGCGATGTATCAAACGCTTCTTTTAAATATTAATTTCGTTGTACAATTTCAATTATAATGCTTGTATTAGTTATGACATCTTTATGGATAAAATGGCAACCATTACAAGATTTAATTAAAGGCAACAGATTGTTAGAGATAAAAAAAAAGTAAAAAATAAAAAAAAAAACACAAATTTATTCAACCAAATAAAAACACTTCAAAGTCGTATAACTGAAATTATTATTCATTGACTTAAACCTAAAACAACAATAATTCATTAAATAATAATAATAACAAAAAAACCTTGCCTCCATGTCAGTTTGACCGAGATCTTGTATATCAAATAAAAACAAGTAAGAAAGCTCTAGTCGAGACTGCTCGACTACGAGATCCCCTGAACCCTTGGAGCAATAGATATTTCAATACTTTTTCGCGACTTTCAGCTTACACAAGAAACACGCACACACACACACACGCACGTACGCAAACACAGGCATACATACACACACACGCATACAGACACACATACACACACACACGCATACATACACAAACGCATACACACACACACATACACACACATACACACACAAGCAACCATGCATAAACACGCATGGGCTGCAGTGTGCGCTTACTATGAGAACTTAATTGTTTAATAACTTTTTTTATGGACGTACGATCTTCATGAAACTTTTAGATTATGATTATAACATGAATATGCATGTACTTGCCAAAGCACAAGTCTCTAGTATTTGAAATACGCTTTTTACAAAAGTGAGGGTGAGGGGGTGAATTTAGAGGTGGGGGGTAAATTTTAACAAAAACCGAAATTGTATAAATTGCATATAAGCATACATTAAAAATTTGGAGACTCTAGCAATAAAGGTGTAGAAGATATAATTTTATAACTGGGTTTCGATAAGGGTTTTTATCGATAAAAAAATATCGAGATGAGTTATCGATTTTTAATGATAAACTTGATATGCGCGCTGTAATTACGGACATTTTAAAAAAAATTTGAAGTCTCTAGCTCTTATATCTTCTGAAATCGACGCGTTCATACATACGGACAGACGGACAGACAGACGGACAGGGCCAAATCAACTCAGCTCGTCACCCTGATCAAGAATATATATACTTTGTGGGGTCTGCCACGCCTCCTTCTCCCTGTTACATACATTTCAACAAAACCATTATACCCTGATTTCCCATTGAAAATGGGTTCAGGGTATAAAAAAATACAATAAAAATGGTTGGTTGGGTTCGGTTGGCTCATTTGGTTTTGGAGAGATCTCTTTTGGCCGTTGCAAATCTTTATTTAAAAGTGTTAGCTTAACAACAACAATTTCATAGCCTCCTTCGTGTGGAATGGTGACGAAAATTCAGTTTTAAACCTTGGATCCAGCAGTGTTCCTAATCTCGTTGGTGTGCGGTACTCATAGTCCAGAAGCCTTGCGTTTATTTTGTTCACGAAAAGATCACGCATTTGTAGACCTTCCTCAGTTAGAAGCGTATTTTTGAAAGCATCGCCGTCGCTGTATTTGAAGAGCATGATTTTTTTGTGGCAACATCAAATGGTTGCAAAAGATGAACGCGATCCTACATAACATCTACCTCCTCTGCAGTCAGGGGTGGCGGTGCATTAACCGTGTTTAAAAGAACTTTAGCACTTTATGCAATATTTTTGCATTTGGCGACTATTACTTGCATATTAGCGCGTGTGCGCTAAGCACGGCAAATTTCTCTTTGCGATAATTTTACACATTTTGACCATCGTCGCATCATTGTCAGTGACAAGTGCCGCACCTTTGTGGAGTAGGTTCCATTCACTTAAAATGCTTGACACCGACTCTGCAATATTTCCTGCAGTGTGATTCTTCTGTTCATTAAGTGTGTTCGTCGACAACACTGCGGAACGCAATATGAACTCTTTATCAATAACATGGTAAGTTACGGTTATGTAAGTCATATTTGCCAAAGACGTCCATAAGTCGGCAGTAATGGCCAAATTTTCGATGGATTCAAGAATATCAAACAGCGTGGTCTCCATTTGAACATGTTTTAAAGTACTCCTACACGGCAATCCGTAGTGTGGATCAAGCACTTGGCAAACAATTTTAAATGAAGGCTCATCCACTAGACCAAAGGGCTGCGGCCACAAATTCATCGGCTATTTTTTTTCCTGCAAGATGTGTAAAATGCTACCGGACTTGAGTGGCAATTCACTCTCTTGCAGCGATTGATGCATGCGTGTTGGCTGATGTTAGAGTGGCCGCGATAAGCGGCGCGATAATATTGAGCGACAATATGCGAGAAAGCTCTACATGCAGATTTATATGTAATCGCTTAAAACATGTCAGATTGCAAGCGAAGCGAGAAGAGAGCCAAAACGACAAGTAGAGCGAGTTGCGAGAAAGGATTCCTAAATCCTAAAGCTTTTCTGATACGTGTGTTTTTGTTGCGTTCTGAGCTTAAGTAACCGTTGCAACGCGTTGGTTAGTCGGTGAAGCATGTTCTTTTTCGCAATTAAAGCTTTAATAGCAGTTTGGTTCAAAACTGTTTATACTCTTATCTATGTATTTGCTCTCCTTTATACTTGAACTGTGAAAAATCAAAAGTATTGATAGTATTGGATGGATCCCGTTGCTTTTTTCATGAAAATATTGCGACTGGGACTAATATTTGAACACTCGCAATGAGTACAATTTGAATACTCGCAATGTTTCTCTCTTTGCGGATAGCTTTCACTGTCATGTCATTGCTTTGCAGATCGCTGCGATAATTATCGCTTATAGCATCGCATCGCTTATCGCGGCCAGCCTTAAGTGATTTTGAAGGTTTGTGGCATTTCCACTTGTTTTACAAACCTTAAAGCACGTTTTGCACACCGCACAACCATCCTTTCCTTTCTCGCAATATTTCCATACCTTTAATTTTTTTGGGGCTCCCATGTTTTTATTTTCCTCATCAGAGTCAATGGCTTCAACCCCCGCCGCGCCTAAAACACACAAGCTATGATTCCATGCCTTTCCAATACGATATGTCAATCGTATATACGTTTTCTTCCCAAAAACGGATCCATGTTTTCTTTTTTAAAGAAATAAAATTAAACCAATCCATACTTTATAAAATTTAGCAACATTTAAGAAATGTGCTTCTTACCACTACACTTACTTACTGTTCTCTGGCTAGTGTTCTTACACAGTCAAAATCAACGCCAAAGTAGCCATTTTCGATATATCGATACTAAGATAGCCATACGATGTTTTCCAAAATTTGAAAATATCGATTATAGCGATACCGATCCGATATTTTTGCAGCACTAGTGCTACAACGCAACAGCTGTTCGGCCTTCCATTGCTTTGATAGCTCTGTTTTTAACAAAAAGAAACTTGGTCAACTTTTTTAAGAATGTTGTCTCTGAGTTTAAAACGCTCTCTAGGCGTTGGGGCACAACTGTTTAAAGCACAATCCTCTATTGCATTAACGTCAGCAGCAGCAGGTGGCAGTAGCAGCTTGAGGTGAAGTACATTACTTACATAACCACCTCTCTATCTGGAAAAAATGGATTACAAACTTTTCGACTTATATCCTTCGACCAGCTCGAACCAATATCGCGGTGCTGCAAAATGGTATCCAGATCCTGAATTCATGAAGCAATTTAGCGGCGCAGTTATGTATCCCGATGAAGTGACCTCCCTTTGGAAGGTTCCCCCATGGAACAGTACGTTTTATACAATGCCTTTCCATATACATATATACAAATTTTTTGTGTGCAACAGGCAAAGTGGTGCCTGTTGAGAAATCTGTGCGCAATCTGACGTTAAATTTTGGACCTCAACACCCGGCTGCTCATGGTGTCTTGAGACTGGTGCTAGAACTGGATGGCGAGGTAATGTCTGAATATTCGTCCAGTGTGTTTCTCTATTTTTTTTTTTTTTTTTTTTTTTTTTTATCGTTGTTACCTGCTAGACTGTGATGCGCGCTGATCCCCACATTGGCCTTCTACATCGTGGTACCGAGAAGTTAATCGAGTACAAGACCTACACTCAAGCACTACCCTACTTTGATCGCTTGGACTATGTTTCCATGATGTGCAACGAGCAGTGCTATTCGCTAGCTGTGGAGAAACTTCTAAACATTGACGTGCCACTGCGTGCCAAGTATATAAGAAGTAGGTAGTCGCGTGCAACGATAATTAAGGGTAGACCGACGACTCAGCTCCGCTCGTATATCATTCTCTATAGATGTTTTATTCTCTTGTCTTCCCTGATCCTATTTTATTTTTTGCAGCTCTTTTCGCTGAGATAACTCGAATTCTCAATCATATAATGGCTGTTGGAACTCATGCATTAGATGTGGGTGCACTAACTCCATTTTTTTGGCTATTTGAAGAACGTGAGAAGATGATGGAATTCTATGAGCGAGTTTCGGGAGCACGTATGCATGCCGCCTACATACGTCCCGGTGGAGTTTCATTAGTAATATTAATTAATCGCTATATATATTAATAAGATAATTGGTCGATTTATTTTAAAGGATATGCCTTTAGGTCTTCTGGATGATATATATGAGTTCGCATCGAAGTTTGGTGAGCGTTTGGATGAAGTTGAGGATGTTTTGAGCACAAATCGGATCTGGGTGCAACGTACTGAAGATATTGGCATTGTCTCGGCCGAAGAGGCGCTTAACTATGGATTTAGTGGCGTAATGTTACGTGGCTCTGGCATCAAATGGGATTTGCGCAAGCAACAGCCCTATGATGCCTATCATCTTGTTGATTTCGATGTCCCGATCGGAACCAAAGGAGATTGTTATGATCGGTATTTGTGTCGTATTGAAGAAATGCGTCAATCCTTGCGCATCATCGATCAATGTCTTAATCAAATGCCACCTGGAGAGGTGAAGACCGATGATGCGAAGGTGACACCACCATCTCGCAGCGAAATGAAAACATCCATGGAGGCTCTAATTCATCATTTTAAGCTATTCACCCAGGGCTATCAGGTGCCACCAGGGGCCACCTATACGGCAATCGAAGCACCAAAGGGTGAATTTGGTGTTTACCTGATATCAGATGGCTCAAGCCGTCCATATCGCTGCAAGATTAAGGCACCAGGATTTGCCCATTTGGCAGCGCTAGAGAAAATTGGTAAGCAGCATATGTTAGCCGATGTGGTTGCTATTATCGGCACCTTGGACGTTGTTTTTGGCGAAATCGATCGATAACTGTTTTTGCTGCGTACTGTAAAAGAAAAATAAAAAAATAAAAAACAAATCACGTTTAATAAACTTACGGTAATGTAATATTTTCTAAAACTTTTTGGGATACCACAGATTTTTATACCCTGAACCCATTTTCAATGGGAAATCGGGGTATAATGCTTTTGTTAAAAGTATGTAAAAAACACAAAGAGGCGTGGTAGACCCCACAAAGTATGTATATACACGGCGCGTCATCAGGTTAGCACCCCCCCTTACACTCATTATACTCATTCACGAAAGTGAATTAGTATATTGGTTTTGTGCAATGTCCGTCTTGCTGTCCGTCCGTCTGTCCGTATGAACGCAATCTATTTCGGCGCTATTGAAGCTAGAGACTTGAAATTTGGAACACATACTCGATATGCCCGAAATCATGTTTGTTGAAGAACATTCTTTAGATCTGGGCTATGCTACCATAAAATTGGTAAAGAGACAGGAAGAAACAGAAAATCAATCGGCAATTTCCTTAAAAATAAGGAAAACTATGGGAAAAACTATATAAGCGGCAATAATCAAGTGATTGCAGAAGGAAATAGAAGAGCATTAGTTTGGGAAGCTTTATAATTCCCACGAATCGACCACCTAGATTAGGGGTAAAATCGGTGTTAAGACGAGCTTATCAACGCTCCAAAGAGTAAATCAGAAAGTTAATTACTTAAAGAGACAGAAATAAACAAGTAAGAAAGCTCTAGTCGAGACTGCTCGACTACGAGATCCCCTGAACCCTTGGAGCAATAGATATTTCAATACTTTTTCGCGACTTTCAGCTTACACAAGAAACACGCACACACACACACACGCACGTACGCAAACACAGGCATACATACACACACACGCATACAGACACACATACACACACACACGCATACATACACAAACGCATACACACACACACATACACACACACATACACAAACACATACACACACAAGCAACCATGCATAAACACGCATGGGCTGCAGTGTGCGCTTACTATGAGAACTTAATTGTTTAATAACTTTTTTTATGGACGTACGATCTTCATGAAACTTTTAGATTATGATTATAACATGAATATGCATGTACTTGCCAAAGCACAAGTCTCTAGTATTTGAAATACGCTTTTTACAAAAGTGAGGGTGAGGGGGTGAATTTAGAGGTGGGGGGTAAATTTTAACAAAAACCGAAATTGTATAAATTGCATATAAGCATACATTAAAAATTTGGAGACTCTAGCAATAAAGGTGTAGAAGATATAATTTTATAACTGGGTTTCGATAAGGGTTTTTATCGATAAAAAAATATCGAGATGAGTTATCGATTTTTAATGATAAACTTGATATGCGCGCTGTAATTACGGACATTTTAAAAAAATTTGAAGTCTCTAGCTCTTATATCTTCTGAAATCGACGCGTTCATACATACGGACAGACGGACAGACGGACAGACAGACGGACAGGGCCAAATCAACTCAGCTCGTCACCCTGATCAAGAATATATATACTTTGTGGGGTCTGCCACGCCTCCTTCTCCCTGTTACATACATTTCAACAAAACCATTATACCCTGATTTCCCATTGAAAATGGGTTCAGGGTATAAAAAAGACACCAGTCGATATGCTGAGAAAAGAAATATGCATTAATTTTGCCCGCATTAATTAAAGAGCTTGAAAGCTGACATTTGGTATATAGGTCCGCGTCGACCACCCTAGATTACAAGCTATGGCGGATATATCTCCGCCCATTGGGGGCGTGGCAAATCAGATAAAACTGTATTTCCTAAAGTTGTGACCCTAGAATGCTGAAATTTTGCACGTAAGCTGATATTTCGATTCTATAAAGATGGGTGAAAAAATATATATCTACGCCTACTAGGGGCAAGCAAATCGGACCTGAAGTTATAGTGATTTTTCGAATTCTGCTATATTTTAGGCACTATTCATGCTAGAGACCTGAAATTTGGTATATATACGTGGGTTGACCAACCAAGTCCAACTAGTTATGGTAGATGTATGCCCGCCCATAGGAGGCGTGGCAAACCGCAAAAGTTTATATCTCCTAAAGTATAATATCTAGAAGCTTCAAATTAAAAGTTAATAGTTAAGTTACTAGTATCCTCTTCTATCGATGATCCAAAAATAGTTTTTACGCCTCTTTAGGGACGTGGCATATCGAAAAATATCCTGTAATTTTCACATTTTTTGAGGGTAAGTATTCAAACTTTGCAGCTAGGGTACCGTTATCTCGTTCTAAGAACTGACCAAAAATGAGGTGTCTACGCCCAGTAGGGGCGTGGCAAATCGGATACTGTATTTTCTACAGTATTAGAGCGAAACTTAACTACTAAATTGTTGATGGGATGTGAATGAGTATTTCGGAGTCCGTAACGCCCGACTGCAACGATCTTATTTGTCTTTTGTTTTTATTTTAAAGAGAAATATGTGTAGTACAATAAAAATAAGTAAGAAAGCTAGTCCACAATGCTTGACTACGAGATCCCCTGAACCCTTCGAGCAACTGATATTTCAATAATATATATACATACATATATATATATTATGCACACATACACGCACACACACAGGCATACGTACGTGGTGGCTTACTATGGTGGCTTACTATGGGAACTTAATTGTTTAATAACTTTTCTTGTGGATGTACTTTTTTCATGAAACTTTCAGGTTATGATTATAACATGGATATGCATGGCCAAAGCATAAGTCTCTAGTATTTGAAATACGTCTTTTACAAATATGTGGGTGATGGGGTAGATATAGGGGTGGGGGGTAAATTTAACATTAATCGAAATTGTATAAAATGCATATAAGTTTATATTTAAAATTTTGAGACTCTAGCTTTAAAAATGTAGGAGATATAATTTTAAAACAGATTTTCGATACGGGTTTTTATCGATAAAAAATAACGGGACGAGTTATCGATTTTTGGTGATAAACTTGAGATCCGCGCTGCATATACGGACATTTAAAAAAAATTAAGTCTCTAGCACTTATAACTTCTGAAATCAAAGCGTTCAAACATACGGACAGACTGACGGACGGACGGACGAACAGACAGACAGACAGACCGACAGGCTCAGAGTAAAAAAAAATAGAATTAAACGTTAAAAACCTAAAATAATACTAATACAGCTATGTATATATTTATTTTTATACTAGTCGACCCGGCGAAACAAAGTCGGGTTTGTTACAACACTTATAACTCGAGATCTGCTGGACCAATTTTCATGGTTTTTGATTTGTTAGATTTGTCTCCGCCCCGAATAGCAGAATATATTTTAAAAATACTGAACAGTTGACGAATACTTGAAAAATGCGTTAGTTTTCCTAAAATTTCTTTAATTTCAGAACTGTTAGCGCGTTGCAAAAGGTGAATTGAGGTGATTATAGTTGCAGCGGGCATCCACGTGATTGGCGAGTGCGCGTTCGGCGTCCGCGCCACCCATAAAGTAAATTTGTAAAAATTTATAAGGTTCGTTTGGTAAACTTGGCCTTTGATTTTAAATGTGGAATTACATTTTTGCATATTTACAGCAGTATTTTTAACTTTTTCCGTTGCTCCAAACGATGTCATTTGAAAACATGAATTGAATTTTCGCATTGACTGCAAGAACAGCGAAGATCAGTTCCAATAAGGAAGCCGTGCAATGGTTCCGGCGGTGTTTCAATTTCTGGGAGTTTTACTTTTCCTGACGAGCACCACATCCCGATCGGCTCATTTTTAAATTTAAAGGCATGGCAGTGCCGGCATTCTTTGTCCAATGTACCACTGGCCACCAATGCTAAGTGCAGAAATGAATGTGATGTAAATGCTCGAGGTACTAGTTGACGTTGTCGGTCGATTCCTCTTCGTCTGGTGACTACGAATCTGCGCGCTTCTCTTCGTTCTAATTGTCTTTGCTGGTTTCGCTCATCTAGTGCCTCTTGCAATTGTGATGCACGTAACTGCGCCATGCTTACACGGACATCTGCATTGCTTTGTTGCCTTTCTTCATCTGATCTTTGTGCTCTTCTATCCTACATGCCTCTAGATTTGAGTGTTCGACGACTCCAATTACCCCCCTTGCGTTTTCGTGGCATTGTTGTCTGCTAATCAAACATAAATTAATCAAGTTGAAAAACTGTTTGGTGATAAACAGTAACGTCATATTGTATTGGATTGCTCATTATTTGGCTTACCTCTACACGTATATTTATTAATCACGCTCACATATTAATAAAATGTACATGAATTGTTTAACATGAGAGCATGAAGTCATTTGGAAACAGGCATTGTATTTTTGAGTGTTCGCTAGAAAATGTCGTGATTCTAGTGTTTCGCCATAAAGCAAGAAACGCGAACTCTGGTGGCGCCACAATGTTGGCAAATGTTGTAGTCGATGGTGCAATCATATCGAAACGCTGCTCGATTCAAATCAATACTTGAACCATTTCTTATTGCCATTTCACGGGCTGCCTCTCTTCGAATTAAGGCCCTTCTTTGCTGCATACTAACGCGGCGCTCTGCTCGGGCGATTTCTCGTTCTTCGTCAGATAATTGACTAGCGATATTCCGTTGCCTTCTAGAACGCGGCATTTTTATACCCTGAACCCATTGAAAATGGAAATGAATTTTAACACTTTTAGACCTAGAGACTCAGATTTACTGTGTGTATACAGTTGATAGATACGAAGATTTTATAATTTACTGATTTTGGATACCACGCCCATTTCACACAATTTGTAAAAAATGCATTTCAAATACTAGAGACTTGTGCTATGATTACGTTCTGACAGTTTCATTAAGATTGTATGTCTACAAATGAAATTATTCAATAAATAAATTCTCATAATATTGCCCACACTGCAGCGGAGTCAGCAGAGCGCGTGATTATACGTGTGTGTGGTTGCATGTGTGCATAAAAGTGCAGAATGAATAGAATATCAGCTAAGGGTTCAGAGGGTTCAGGGCATCTCCTAGTCGAGCAGTCTCGACTAGAGCCTTCTTACATGTTATTAATACTAATACTGAATATGCACTCGCACAAAACCACATAAAACAATCGAGACAACCTATGAGAAGACATTTACACTTTTGTTAAACTGTAGAACAAATCTTTAACTTAATAAATAATTTACACAAATTAATGTCTAAGACAAACAAATATAACAGTACCTACCAGAACTTTCGAGATATTTTATTTCTGAGCGCACGCGTAAAGTTTTTCAATCTCTTTTAAAAAAAATACACATAATAGTTCATTCATTCACGTATTGATCAAATGTGCATCAATAATTGTTTAACATGAGAGCAGGACCGAAAACTGTCACTGTTATCAACCCTACTGAGTAAATTCTCAATGAAAGTTTGGCAGCTCCGAAATTAAAATACCTTTAGGGAAAAAACCGCGTTTTTCAAGTATACGTCAATTTATTACTATTTTTTTTTTAAGATATACTCTCCTAGTCGGGGCGGAGACAAATCCAACAAATCCAATACCATGAAAATTGGTCCAGCAGATCGTTTTTTGTTTATGTTTTAACTTTATTTTTATCATGAAGTTTTTCACAAAATCTCTTAAAATCTGAATATGCCAAACAACATTGAAGATTAATTTACTATTATATAAACGTATTTTTTATAATTAAAATGTTGTCGCTGTGTTTGCTGTAGCCCTGGCATACATTTTTATACCCATTTTTGTTATATTTTATTTTATTTTTTTTATATTTTATGTTTAGTATATCCATTGAATAGGCTAAAATATGATTTTAAATAACTCTAGGTTTTAATATATATATATTTTTTTATATATGCGTATTTATAATTATTTCTTTATATATATATATATATATATATATATATAAATTTAAATATTTTGCTATGCATTTGTTGTATTTAGTTACCTAATAAGTTGTTTGTTTGGTTTTGCTTTATACTACGTGATCACATTGAAACTTTTGTTTTATAAACGTTTTTTTTTTTTTTTTTAATTGTTTTAATTTTAAGACTGGTTTGTTTTATTTTATATAACATATTTTTCTAGAAGCTTTAACAATTTTTTTAACATTTTTATATTTAGGTTGACATTTGAATAGGTTTCTATATATATATAGTTCTAACAAGCTGTCTTTATTTACTTCTACAGATTATAAGCTTTAACCGATTTTCGCTGTATTTAACATAGTGGATGAATTCTTAATTCGTATATATATATATATATATATATATATATATATATATATATATATGTATTGCACATAATTGGTCAATATTCACACAGTACGCAATTCAAATAAGCAACATAATAGAACTAAATAAGTATGCTAAAAATTTATACATACAATTAGGCTGAATAGAAAGTTTAAATGACTTTGGCCAGCAACAAAAGAAATTCCAAGAATATTATGTACAACTACTTTATAAATACTAGATCCACAGGATTCTGATTTTCTGAGTTCGAATCAGGTAAAGGAATCAGATATTTGAATAAATTGATGGATAGTTTTCCAAATGGAAAACAGAACATAGCAATCGTGAGCTCTATCGGTACGACCCAAGATCTAATCTTTCAACCTCTTGCGCTCTTGTGTCACTCTTTAAGTAGACAATGTGTTTAATATCAATATATATTTCGTTAGTTTATAGTATCTGAAATGTGCTTGATAGTGCGTTTGTTTCTTCACTTCACATTTACATAACTAAATGTGCAGGATGGCGTACGGTTTTTAATTCAATTTCATTTCATTTTAAATGAGGGAGGTGGTGGTATGGGCTTTCTTTATACTACGCATTTGATATTGCCTCTTCACCTTCAACCGAAAAGTAAAGCAACTGATAAAAAATAAACATTTACAAATATACAGTGAGAATCTTTCTAAATGCTACATTTCTAAGTATATAATAATATTTTATATAAATACACATATTTTTCTTCGAGCCATTGTTTACATTTTATATCAAGAGATGATATTTTAACAGAAAAAGATCACATGTTTTTGGGTTTATTTTTAGCAGCTGGCTTAATACATAAAACCTATTTACATATCCGTCAGGCCATTATTAATTTTGTTATGTTGTGGAGTGGGGGAGATGATTCCACATTAAAAATTTTATGTCTACATCTACAACACTTCCAGCTTCCCTTGTATTCTACTATTTTCTATCTATTTTTCCTTATCCACGATTTACCACACTCCATTATCCATACTGATTATACTGTCCATTATCATTCTCCATCTGTCATTCTCCAGTTGCATTGCTCGATACGCAGACGATAATTAAAAAAAAAAGGTTTTAAATTTATGTTTAGTGTGTGCATCTCTTGTTGGATAAATTTATGATTTAACTCATTATTGCACATTATTTAAGACTGTTAGCTGTTGATGGTACAATGTTGTCGGCAGTATTAGCATCAGGAGACTTTTTTATTTTATCGCAATAATCATTGAAAATATCGCGAAATCGTAGCCAACACTTTTCAGGTATAGTTATAGAAGTACGAAAATTATTCTTCACCTTGAAAAAATTATTAACGTTTAATATAGAGTTGGGTTGATAGAAACAGTTGCTTCGAGCACTTCACAACTTTTTTACCTCACTTATTCGCATGTAAACACCTCGATTATTTTGTCCTATATCAAAGTAAAAGTTCTTGTTGTCCACTTTCATATGCCGCTCTTCGGGTAAATCACCTTTAAATCTGCAAATATTACAAAGGGGTTTTACTTTTCATACTAATTTAAGATATATGCTTTCATTATTGATAGATCATAAGAATTGTTAGCAGACAGAAAATAAGTCTATCCCCGTTAGCACTCTAGAATGAGCACTCTTAAATGTGAAAATGTATGCATTTAGCTGAAGAAAGGTTGCCAGACTATATAAACTATATAATTCATAACATAATCAAATTTCTGTTTATTTTTTATATCGATTATTGTCGATTATTACAATTTAACATAATTCTTAAACGTAATTTAAACATTGAACAGAACTGATATTCCAACCATTCTATATTTTTTATACCTACATTTTCAATGGGAAATCAGGGTATAATGGTTTTGTTGAAAGGTATGTAACAGGCAGAAGGAGGCATGGCAGACCACACAAAGTATATATATCCTTGATCAGGGCGACGAGCCGTCTGTCCGTATGTATGAACGCGTCGATTTCAGAAGATATAAGAGCTAGAGACTACAAATTTGTTTTTAAATGTCCGTATATACAGCGCGGATATCGAGTAACCGATAACTCATCCTGTTATTTATTTTATCGATAAAAACCCTTATCTAAAATCAGTTATAAAATTATATCTCCACATGGAGTATATATATACTTATATGCATTTTATACAATTTCGGTTTTTGTTAAAATTTATATCCTATATCCACCCCCTCACCCTCACTTTTGTAAGATAGTCCATCCACAACAAGTTTTTAAACCATTAAGTTCTCATAGTAAGCCATCACTGCAGCCAATGCGTGTTTATGCGTGCATGAATATCTCTGGGTGTGTGCGTTTATGTATGTGTGTGTGTATGATGTGTATGTGTGTGTGTATGATGTGTGTGTATGTGTGTGTGTATGATGTGTGTGTATGTGTGCACATATATGTGTGTGTGTATGCGTGTGTGTGTCTTGTGTAAGCAGGAAGTCGCGAAAAATGATTGAAATAGCTATTGCTCGAAGGGTTCAGGGGATCTCATAGTCGAGCTGTCTCGACTAGAGTTTTCAAATATATACAAATACTTTACCCTGTATCATTAGCTCCAAACTCTTCCAACAAATCAGTTAACGCGTCGCGAAACTCGATCATACCCTGAGCTGGCAATGCGATTTGAGATCTGGGTCCACCTCTTGTTATTGTTTGCGAAACCTAAAATATAAAAGTTTTTATTTCAATATTATTATTATTTATACATGTATTTAGTAAATACATGTAGCAGTAAGCAAAATAGTCAAACATGATACATACATATTTTTATACCCTGAACACATTGAAAATGGGAAATGTTTCTAGTATAAAATTGTACTCGCTGTTCCAAGAAATAAATAAAATAAATAAACTCGTACTGCGTATGGAATACACGAGTAAGCATACAACATTTCTCTTATATCTTTTTAGATCTCGGCGTTCATATGGACGGACGGATAGGGCTGTATCGACTGCTTGTCGCCTTTTATGGCCTTCTTCTTCTTGTTACATAAATTTTCATAATACCATTATACCCTTATTTCCAATACTACCACTAACCACAGAACACATAGACGGGACACGTAGTGTAAAGCGTTTTGCACACTTTTCTTTACTTTTTTAGCGTTACCTCCCACACAACTTCGTATTTACTCGGCTCCTCACTTTTAGGTTCGGGCTACGAAAATATACGAAAGCACAATTTCTCTTCATGCGCTCGACGGAGATGGTGGGCTGTTGAACAAAAGATCCTTCTACGCTCAATGTTCCCTTGCTCTCTCTCTAATAATAACAAATATATGTACCTATCCTTTTCAACGGAGAATTCGGTCCAAAGTGCAAAAAAACTGGGTCTAGAAGGGCGATCCCGATCAGGGTCGGCTTACTATGAGAACTTAATTGTTTGATAGTTTTTCTTTTGGATGTACTTTCTTCATGAAACTTTCAGATCGTGATTATAAAATTAAAGTGCGTGTATGTGTCAAAGCACAATTTTCTAGTATTTGATATTGATTGGATATGGGTTATGATATGGGGTGGATATAGGGGTGGAGGGTGAATTATAACAAATTCTATAATATACATATAAATTCACATATAAAAATTGGCGACTCTAGCTTTCAAGATGTAGCAGATATAATTAAATATCTTATTTTCGATATTCTTTTTAATCTATAACAAAATAACGGGAAGAGTTATCGAGCTTTGGAGATCAACTCGATATCCGCGCTATATATACGGACATTTGAAAAGAATTAAGAAAGCTTTAGTCGAGTCTGCCCGACTACGAGATCCCCTGAACCCTTCGAGCAACTGATATTTTAAAAATTATTCGCACATGCACACACACAGCCATACGCACGCACGCATAAACATGCCTTGGCTGCAGTGGTGGCTTACTTGCCAAAGCACAAGCCTCTAGTATTTGAAATACGCCTTTTACAAATGTGAGGGTGAGGGGTGAATAAGGGATGGGAGGTAAATTTTGACAAAAATCGAATTCCACAATAATCTACATATAAATCTACAGCTCATCGCCCTGATCAAGAATATATATACTTTATGGGATCTACCACGCCTCCTTCTGCCTGTTACATACATTTAACAAAACTATTATACCCTGATTTTCCATTTTCAATAAAATTCAGGTCTCTTATATCTTCTGAAATCGATGCGTTCAAACATACGGACAGACGGACGGACGGACAGGGCCAAATCGACTCAGCTCGCCGCATTGATCAAAGGTCTACCACGCCTCCTTCAGCTTGTTACATACATTTCAACAAAACCATTATACCCTGATTTCCCATTTCAATGGGTTCAGGGTATAATAAAAATTACCTCAAAACGGCCCTATTGGAAGAATGGACAAGAATCTCCATCCAAGTCACCTGAAAATTGTTATACTCGATGGAATCGCGTTTAAAAGATATGATTAAACAAAAAGCAAATAAGCTGTGCCATAGAAATATCCAATCATTTTAGTTTTCTTTAGTTTTAAATGTTATTTGTTAGAACATAAAAATAATTAAGTGCGTTAATACATAATGAATGACTGATAAATAAGATTCCATTTACATTTTTTTGATATCTTTACTGGTTTAACGGGAATACCCCTACACGAAATAAGCTGTGAGCCACTGTATGTTCATGAACAATACCAAAAACAAAATTATGAGAGTAGTTATCGATTTTTTTTAGATAAACTCGATATCCGCGCTGACATTTAAAAGAACATTTCAAGTCTCTAGCTCTTATGTAATAACTCCGCATTCGTATTAAGCAAATCATAGTAACACAAACCGATCCCAAGGAAGTATTCGTTTTTCGTAAGCTGCATAAAAGGTAAAATTTCATACTTACTCTTAAAAATCTTCCTCGTGCATTTTCTTTCAAGTCCAAATAATATCTTCGATTGTCCTTGATCATCATCTCTGATTTTAATTTGCCATCCTCCGGTAAATTGTCAGTGTTTGGTGGCCCTGCGTTTCGATTAACTTGATTTGATTTTAAGCTCAAAGGCATGTCACTAAACAAAATGTTAATAGTCTCTAATAATATCCTACCTAGAGATGCATAATAATCACTGAAAGATGATAGATGATCACGAAACTCAGCTGCTGTCGACAGAGCTAAATATATTTGACTTCTTCTGCCGTCTGCTCCAATCTAAAAACAATAATAAAATACATTAGTTATAATTGTAGTGTGGAGTGTTCTAGTCAAAGAGTTTCTGACTACGAAATACCCTGAACACCCCATTCCATCATTCTGGTCTTTATACCTTTTATGTCCTTTCAGTAAAGATTAAAAGTCCCCAAGAGATACTAAGAAAATAATACATACAATGGAGGACAAAAGTATTTTGGCAACACATTACAAAAACTTAAACCGTTTATTTCTGCATGCTGAGAGAGGTAACGGTAGCCAGTATATTTATAAGAGAGAGCAAAGCTTAAAAGGTGTAAGTGACCAAAATATTGCATTGATAACATATATTATTTCCATTGTAGATTTTCATTCTTTGGTTGGAAAAAGTATTTTGACATTCCTTTTCATTTTCATTTTCGGTAATTCGCTTGCGTTACGAAGTACATATTTTAATTCTTAAGATCTTATTCGTGTCCTCCTTAATGATAGCCAATATTTTATCATAGTTTTCGATTAATTATGGGCAAACCACGTGATTAAGTGAAATCTTGAAAAAATCAATCGATCACGAAGAATATTGCAGGTATTTCCGTGAAATACCTTACAAACTTATAAAATGTACCTCTATGAGCAATTTACTACAAAATTAACTAAAAATAGAAAACTGATTCACTCAGCTCAGGCATGAATATACGAATACACACTCTATAAATAGACAGATTAAAATTAACCCTTGCAATCTTAGCGACAGATTATGTAAGAGACAAACTCAGCGAGAGGATAATAATAGACGCACTAGATTTAAGGGTTGAACATATGCATAAGTCTGGGTATGTAAACCCAGGCTCAGAAGAATAAAGATCAATACGAAACTAAACACCATCATAGTCGAAAGTATTCGTTCACACTAAAAAAAAGTCCATATCGGGACGAAAAAAACCTGTAGAAGACCGCATCATATTGATAAAATTGTAAGAAAATGTGTAGATTTTCCCTAAAAGTCATGTCGATTAAACTCAAAAATAATCAAGAATTATCAATAAGTAGAAAAACTATCACAAATCGGCGAAGGAAGACAAATTTTTCTACGTTATAGATTTTCGAATACCTTTAATATCACTATAAAATAAAGTAATTTGGATAGACGATAGTTCCTTTGAGTATCACGGATAAAAAAAAAGCGATTTATGGCAGGTTGCCAAAGGATATTCCCAAAGAAAAATGGTCTGTGTACGAGCGGGTGTCACATGGTGAACAATCTGAAGTGCTCTGGGGTTTCGTTTGCGTCAATAGCCTCTCTTATCTGATATTAATTGATGGAACAATGAAGAAGGTCAATTATTTACATGTCCTGAATAACCGCGCATCGAATTCTGGTCACCATTTTATTGGAAAATCATTTATACTGCAGCAGGACAACTCTCCATGTCATAAGGCTCATATTTGAACTGAATTTTCGAGGGATATTGAAGACAATACCACCTCACAGCCCTGATTTCAACAATATAGATAATATGTGGGCTTATATAAAAGTAAAACGTAGCTTTAACTTTTCAAGAATGACCAAGGAGACTGATTGCCGAGGTTCAAGGACATTGGTAAGATATTTCATTAGAAACATTACAGAAGGTCATTGATGTTAATTGAGGGTTTATTTCTTATAAATATATATATATATATATATATATATATATATATATATATATATATATATATATATATTTTTTTTTTTTTTTTTTTTTTTTTTTTTTTTTTGCTATCACCATTGTTAAGTTCTTCTCTCACTTTATTTAATCAACATTAATGTCAAAATAATTTAGTCCAGCCAAAGAATGAAAATATGCCATGAAAACAATTATAGAAAAAGAATGAGTTAAATTATTAATGCAATATTTTGGTCACTCAAAGTCTCTCTTAAAAATATTCTGGGTACCGATACCTCTCTCAGCATGCAGAAATAAGCGGTTTAAGTTTTGTCAAAATAATTTTCTCCTCCATTGCAAATACGGATGAACGATATCTAAGCTAGACTGGAATCGCATCTTGCATGGCAATGGTATCTGACACATCAAAGTCGATGATCTTTATACATATATATATAAAGATAAAGATAAAGATGTATATATATTTACCTCAGCCACCTTTATAAAGCGTCCCCGACGATTTTGTTTAACATCCAAGTAAAATCGTTTCGATTGGATTTGAAGCATTTTTGTCGCCAATTCTTGTTCGACAGCACTGCTAGCTGAAGAGACAATAATAATTAGTAAATAAATTATAAATGAAAAATTCGATTGATAAATGTGTGCATTTAATGTCCTACCTTTTCCCGATTCAAAATCATTTCTACTTGAAGAGCCTTCCATATTGCTCGCATTATATTCTGAAAAATGATATATACATATTTTTAGTATTTCCATGAATATGCGAATTAAGCTAACAATCGGGTTGGTGATTTTATTGTTATAATTTGCTGTACTTTTTGTGGGCTATTTTAATTTTAGTTGATTCCAGTTTCATGAATATCTTTTTAAATAAATAAATAAATAATCATTTCAAAATAAAATTCAGAAATCTCAACGGAAAGTGCAGCGTTTGAATGGTGTACAAGAACTAGTTAATTTCGGAGCAGAATGAAACTTACTTGATCCTGACATGCCATCGTCGCCGCTTCCAAGATCAGACATTGTGAAAAACGTTCGAGTGTAGCGTTGGTTATACAGCTTTGGTGATTTTGAAATATGATTTCCGTTAACTGATTTACCAATTTCTGCCTTTCCACTGCCCCTCTTACAATATTTTTACATACAAGCAAGTTTCGCTTCGCACTCTACCAACTGAACAATACATAAACATTAAAACCCGAATGTGTGTATACATGTATATACATATTTGTAAGACATTTTTTAGTACGTTTGACTTTTTTGGAAACCCAATACATACAATTATATATGTATGCACCTGTATATGTGATGCCTGTATACACACTTTCATAAACAAGTACATGTAAACTTCTCAATGAACTATTCTTGCAAAAACCTTGAACGCTCAGCATACATACGTACATACATATGCTCACATGCATATAAGAATATACAAATATACACTATAAGTGTGTACTGGGATTCGTAAGTACCATTTATTTTCCCATCAAGTTTATGTAATTTTTAAATCACATAATTGGCACAATTTAAATATGCAACAATATTGCGCTAAATTTAAAATGCATTAAGAATTTAATGTACACAAACATTACTTGCTCATACGCATGTATTCACACAAGCATTCGCACAACCTATAATATTCTTATTTTGATTGTTTCTTTGCTTTTGAATGCACTGCGTCTCATAATTACAACTCAGACCAAATCACTAAAGAAGGTAAATTATAATTACTTTTTTTTTTTTTAATTAACGCACATATACACTCACACACAGTTTGACGGAGATGCTCTGTTCGAGATGACACGTAAGACGTTTCCATTCCGATATTGATAACAAATATTTTAATTCGATCTATATTTGTCATGATATAATCTGATTGAAAAAGATGTTCTAAGTTAATCGAGTATTTTCAGTATAGATATTATACTCTATTTCTCCTATTAGACTCAAGTTATATTATTATTAGTTTAAAGTTATGGACAACATATGCAAATGAAGCTTTAAACTAATGCAATGTATCGCACCAATGATTGCACTTTAAAATGCTCGATTATTTTCTGCGAAACTCACGACATACTGATGAAATTGCAGTTCCATCGCTACGATTTAGTATCAAATTATATTGCTTTAATCACTTTTGCTTTTACTTGACAAAGTCAATGTATATATATATATATATATATATATATATATATATATTAATCTAATAATTACACATTAGATTAATACTATAATTCTAATATTGACTTTGTTCTGAAATCCATAGTAGAACTAACTGTTAAAAAAACACTGTAAAACCCAATTGGTTATGTTATAAATTCCTTGTCTAGTTTATACTAGCAAAAAAAAAAAAAAAACTTACTGCTCGACAATCTGAAACCCGTACTTTCATTCATATGCTAGCAGCAATTTATTTTTTAATTTATTAATATTTTTATAAAAAAAAATAAAAAAATAAGCATTTCATAAAAATTGTATAATTGCGAATCCCGCTCTGTTGAGTATTATAAAGAATATTTAAACGATTAAAAAAACAGCCATCAACAATACGTACAAATGTACTAATAATTGCAAAGGGAATAATGAATAATGTAAAAGACTTCGCTAACAGTGCAATACTCGCATTTTGTTAACGTGAATCCAAATACTTAGATTTATGTGATTTAGTATGTTATGGTATTTTTCAATGGAGAAACAAATTTGAAAAATAATGTTAAGTGAAGACTTCTTTCACAGTGCAATCGCATTTTGTTAATAGTGAATAAAAATACTTAGATGTATGTGATTCAGTATTCTATGGTATTTTTATGTAGAGAAATAGCCAAAACGATATTTCACGCTCTATTAACATTCTGTTACCTTCCCAAATATTATTCCTAGTTCAGATTGAAATGATAATAAACGGTAAAAGAGAATACACAGTTCATCCGTACGGTTGTTTGCCGCGGAAGCCTGTTTTATATACTTAACGTAGTGCTTATACATATTTACGGCTTATACATATATATGAACGAAGATACATATGTATGTATTTATCTAGATACATAGTATGTATTTATATTTGCGGCATTGCTGTTAGATCGGTCGTTCGGTGCGCGGCTGTTGCACATACAATAAGTCAAGTTTGGTAAATCATATTACAATTTGCAAACATCTATTTAAAGCTCTGTGTAAAATATACCAAAAGCAATTAAACCAAAGATGCGTGTGTGTGTGCATGCGTGTGATTTGAAAATATTCTGTTGTGTAATTATTTTTAATATCCACACACTTATTTCAAATACATCGAATAAGAAATACATGCAGACAACGGCTCTGGGTATGTGTGCGCTAAAAACTGTGTACACTGTGAATGCATATGTATCACAAATAAAGTGTATAAAAAATCGAGGCAAATTTAGAGTTTGAGATATACATATATATATATATATATGTATATATACATATGTAGTCATATATATATATATATATATATATATATATATATATATATATATATTTGTAAATCTCGAATGTATATGCATATATAAATATATGATAGCCTTTGTGCATGTGTGTGCATATTCACAAACGAATGAAGATGTATCTTCATGTGTTTGTTGTGAATAAAACAGCAATGCAGTACATTTACACAAACCAATACAGCCGCACACACACACAGACATAAGATGCATGCCTGCCTACTGTCTGGACGAGAAATACATAATATACAACACATGTATAAGTATTTAGGTATATAGTTATGTATGTGCACCAGTGTATGTGTATGCTTGGGTATTGGTATTGGTATTTTTGGTATTGGTTTCTCTGCATTTTCCCAGCCAATAGCTGATAAAGCATCTGTCTCTGTTGTCGAAAGCACAAAAATAATAATTAAAATACATAAATTATAAAAAAAAATCGTTCAGGCAACAACCCGCTAAAAACTATATTTTTGTAATCTTTGTATTCTTTTGGTTTACACATGACTAAACATTATTGTCTAATGATTTAATTACCATAATTTTTGTAATTATTCGAAAACAACCGGCAAACATAATGTGCCAACATTATTATTTGCAAAAACAAAGTCGAAATGTATCGGTAATCGATATATGTATTTGCATTTTCTTGAAGCCTTTTCTCAGAAACTAAAATGACTGCGAGACTTTATTAGCTAATGTCCATCATCAATATTTTTCCAAGAGTACCACCAAAAAGATATTATCCCAACACAGGGTCGATATACATTCATATATATCGATATGCCCGTAGTGCGAATTGTCTATCTCTCGCCTCGTAAATATAGAAATATAGAAATAGAATATTTATTTTATTAAATTAAAATACACTATAAACAATTAGAAGGTTTTTCTTCGATTGGGTTATATTATTATGATTCCTTAAATTATAAAACGATTCTTTTAAATTTAACTAATAATTTTTGCGAATCGAAAGAAGAGTATTGTATTTTCGCTTGTATTTTTCACAGTTTTAGAGGATACATCCTCCCTCAGCTATTTACAAATTATAAGTTATATTCCTACTGACCGTACAAATTAGCAAAGCTCTAGTTGAAGACTCATAGTCTGTGAGTTTTTTAATACGTTAAAATCTATTTGAATATTTATATGTGAACTACTTTCAGTTTCGAATATGTATACATTAACCATTACATTAATCCATTATGGATCGTAATTATATCCTAAACCCATTAGAAATGGCAAATCAGGGTATGATTAACTATATGAGAAATGCAGGTCCAACTTATTTAAAAAAAAAAAATGATACCAGTTTTGTTTGAATGCTATCGATTAATAACTTTATCGTCAATTGTAAAATTATATATTCTATCTTGAGAGCACGGTCCCTAAATTCTTCTCTCAAAATTCACAAGAGGCGTATTTGAAATAGTGGAGACTTTGTGCACATTGTGTTGTGCATGTGCAAGTGTTGTTTCTTGTGTATGCAACACATAAGCGAAGAATTTTTGAAATATCAGATCCTCGAAGGATTCAGGGGATGACGCAGTCTAGCAGTCCTAGGGTTGTCCTGAAATTCCGGGACATGTCCTGCTTTTGGAGGTAATGTCCCGGTGTCCCGACCTGACACGAAATTTTCCCTGTTTTCTACGGTGGTCGTTGACCGTCCCGGAAAGGATTAGAGTTTTCTTACTTACATATTTTTATATTCATTCCCGAAAGTGAATTATTATACTCATTTACGAAAGTGAATTAGTATATTAGTTTTGTGCAATGTCCGTCATGCTGTCCGTTCGTCCGTCTGCCCGTCTGTCGGTATGAACGCAGTTTATTTCGGCGCTATTGAAGCTAGAGACTTGAAATTTGGAACACATACTCGTGTATATCTCCGATTTATAAAGTGTTAAAATTGGAAAATGCATTTTCAGAAATGCCAGAAATCATATTAGTTGAAGAGCTAGAAAGCTGAAATTTGGAATGCAGATCCGCATCGACCACCCAAGATCACGAGCTATGGTGGATATATGTACGCCCTTTGGGGGCGTGGAAAATCGGATACAACTGTATCTCCAAGAGTTTTACAGCTAGAGCGCTGAAATTTTGCAATTTAGCTAATGTTATGATTCTATAAAGTCTGCTGACTAAATATATGTCTACGCCCATTAGGGGCGTGGCAAATGAGACCTGAATATATAGTGATTTTTTAAATTCTGCTATATTTTGGACACTATTAATGCTAGAGACCTCAAATTTTGTATATATACTCAGGCTGACCACCCAAGACCAAAAAGCTTTGTCGGATATATGTCCGTCCACAGGGGGCGTGGCAAACCCCAAAAGGTTATATCTCCTAAAGTATAACAGCTAGAAGCATCAATTAACCCAAAATAATTTTTACGCATCTTTAGGGGCGTGGCATATCGAAAAATACCCTGTAACTTTCACATTTTTTAGCGTAAGCATTCAAACTTTGCAATTAGGGTACCGTTATCTCGTTCTAAGAACTGACCAAAAATGAGGTGTCTACGCCCAGTAGGGGCGTGGCAAATCGGGAAAAACTGCATTTTCTACAGTATTAGAGCTAAACTTAGCTACTAAATTGCTGATGGGATGTGAATGAGTATTCCGCAGCCGGTAACGCCCGACTGCAACGTTCTTACTTGTCGTATTGTCTATTATATATAAATGTGGGTATGTACACTTGTTCGCAAATGAAAAAATATGTTGTGTTTTTATTGGGAAGACACTGAAATATTATTACAGTCAGATCAGCCGTCCAAAATATGCTTTAATGCCTATGAGAAGATGGTGGAATTCTATAATCCCAATTCTATAATTTATACATATTTTAGGAGGGATCGATGGGTCTGGTTAGATAAAACTATTATGGAATCCAATGTATTTAAAATATATCTATAAAGAAGCAATCAATTCAATATTATTCTCTCTTCCCACTAGCATGCCATAAGCTTTTGGATTGAGGTCATACTCAAATTAACCAGCATCCTTACCTTCAAGTCCATAATGCATATTTTGCATTAGCGTACGGTATTAAGATACTGTCTGTAGATTTAAATACATATAATGTTTGTGTGTGAGTGCGATATACAACATCATGCATATAACCTATATGCACATGTACACACATTCATATATCGGCTAGCATATAAACCGGTTGGTATTAAAAGCGTAAGTGCTGCTTTCTTATACTCTTACTTGAAGATGTAATATGCGTAATATTTGCTCTTTTGAATTTCAATAAAAGCAATATATATACATATTTTGATCTAAGTATCAGTGTCTGTATTGCAATTGACCTACTGATATTCAGTCAGGATAAGGATTGGCATGGCTATGCTATTCACATTATTGACATGCTTTATTAAGGAGCGCATATTGCTATTGATACGAGCAATACTGATGACTAAAATTAATAACTTTAGATCCGTTTGCAAAATTTAGCGCATAAACGTGCATTTATATGCATACATCATATGCACATAGACATATGCATATATATTTTATTGTACATATGTATATTTCTACGACACATAGTTTCACATCTATGAACGTGGGTGTATGTGTGTGTATATCTACAAAATGTATAAAGCTAGCTTGCTTTTGGACATTTTGTGGCTTGCATTCGCATACATAGACACACACGCAAGCGTGAATATAGAGTCGGTGACGCCAACACAGCCACATTCGACTCTCATGCCATAAAAAAGAGAGAGCCAAATATACTACTACAGTGGGCCTACCATTCAACAATTTAATGTGATTTTTATATATGTATGTATATATAACTAATATTAATGTTAACATCATAAAACATGTAATATTACTTGAATTTAAAAAAAAGAAAATGCTAAATAGTAGCTTGAGGAATTACCTTTCCGATGAGGTCAATATAGTATATTTAATCTAATTAACAAAAATTATGCATAACTCGGAAAACACCAAATTTGAATATTCGGTTTTTCTTTAACAACTGACCAGGTTCGAGTTCTATTATCCATGTCTTTAGCTACGATATTGAAGATATCGTGGTTTTGTGACCTCGGCAGTCTGCCTGACTTCTCTATAGAGTTCAGGTATGTGAATATATATACATACATATGTTTTTATATATATACTTGTATTAGAGCCCCTTTAAAATCATCGAAAAAGAAGATCTGCAACGAATTGCATATAAAACCTCTGAAATAAATAATATATGTGTGTGTACGTATGTAGATATTTCAATCTTATGAGCGTGTAGCTTGCCTCGGTGTACGCAAACATTCGATGCAACTGTTTCTTTCGTGCTTCGATTATGTATTAGTATTATCCGAGGAGATGCAGTTGCTTCTGTGCTTTTGCTCTCATCGACCGACTCAATTTTAGTCGTCGGTTTTTATATTTGCTCGTCACGACGAATGCAATCAGGCTCACACACACGCATACATATATTTTTATATTTTGGCTGCCTACAATGACAAGCATGTATGTATATGTGTGTGGCACTATTGAAAATTTTCAATAACAATATATTCCTACAACATTTTTTATTTTGAATAAGTTTACAAAAATACTACTGTTTAAAGTTTGTATGTTAAATGTTATATGTTATATGCACGAACCTTTGTGCATCTATATATATGTACATAGATAGACAACTACTAGTATACATATGTATATTGTGTGCCGCCCACATGGGATGGATTTTAAAATGGTTGAAAAGCTGGCAATAGCAACAATAACAACAACCAGGACCACGAAGTATACAAAAAACTAATGCACTCAGAGTAGAACTGAACTGCGACCCTTGTATCAACAAAACTACAACAATATGAAAACACACCCACACACACACAGAAAACACACAGAAATAATCAGGTATATGTGGGCGCATGGCTGCATGTATACATTACTATGCATGTGTGCAGCTGCATTTATGTATGTGTCCACATGCATGTGCATGTACAGAATACAGCAGACGAAGTAGGCTTAGAGGAATCTGAAAAGTGACTGCCATTTGAATTAGTTATGGTATACTAGAGAGAACTAGTATGTTTCACTTGTGCGCTTTCATGCATGTAACTCAAAATTCATATACATAGATATGTACATGTGTATACCATTCAAAATTGTCGAATTATCGAAAACAGTAAAATAATTCTACTCTTACGAATTCTAGTAGAATACTAGTACCCTGCATTCATCAACAACCTACCGCTCGTTATAAAACAAATAAATAAAGTAAGAAAGTAGTGGAGACTGCTCGACTACGAGATCCTTTGAGCCCTTCGAGCGATAGCTATTTCAATCACACACACACACGCAAATTTTTGTTATTTTAGCTTCTTTTATATTTTTCAAATTTCATAAAAATGTTTCTTTTTGTATTATAAATACATATCTATTAAGCTTATTTATATATACATATATGGCTCACGCATATAAATTCCTCAATTCGGGCACTGTAAATGCCGATTGCCACGCCCCTAATGGCCGTAGACTCCTCATTTTTGACCAGTTCTTAGAACGAGCTAACAGTAACCTAAATTAAAAATTTGAATTCTTACGCTCAAAATATGTGAAAATTACAGGGTATTTTTCGATATGGGACTCCCCTAAAGAGGCGTAACAATTATTTTCGGGGCATCGATTACCAGTAACTCAACTATCCAAATTTGAAGCTTCTAGCTCATAAACTGTAGGAGATATAAACTTTTGCGGTTTGTCACGCCCCCTTTTGGGCTGACATATATCTACCATTGCTCGTTGGACTTGGGTGGTCAACCCGCGTATATATACAAAATTTCAGGTCTCCAATAGTGCCTAAAATATAGCAGAATTCGAAAAATCACTATATATTCAGGTCCGACTTGCGACGCCCCTAGTAGGCGTAGATATATAATCTTTTCACCCATATTTATAGAATCGAAACATCAGCTCAAATCCTAGTGAGCAAATATGGAAAATTTTAACACTTTATAAATCGGAGATATATGTATGTGTTCCAATTTCAAGTCTCTAGCTTCAATGGCGCCGAAATAAACTGCGTTTATACGGACAAACGGACGGACAGCAAGACGGACATTGCAGAAAACCAATTTACTCCTTTCACTTTCGTGAATGAGTATAAAAACCAAAACAAGTAAGAAAGCTCTAGTCGAGACTGCTCGCTATGAGATTCTCTGAACCCTTCGAGGAACTGATATTTCAGTAATTCTTCGCTTATTTTCTGCATACACAAAACAACACATGCACACAGGAACTAGCAAGTCTTAGCTGCAGTGTGTACAATTAATTGTTTAATAATTATGTACTATTTTTCTGTCTACATCAGTGATGCCATTTTTTCCTTTTCCCAGACAGATCTCTCCCCGGTCGGAAAAAATAGCAAACTATCCGAAATCTGTCCTTTTTTTGTGAATGGGAATCGGGTAATATATATATATATATATATATATATATAGTTATAAAATTACGTTTATATGAATAAAATCTTGTTATTTTTATTTCTAAATAAAAATGTGTTTCTGAATTCAATAGTAATATGCTTTCTGGGGTCTGCCACGCCTTATTCTGCCTGTTACATACATTTTAACAAAACCATTATACTCTGATTTCCCATTTTTAATAGGTTCAGGGCATAAATACCTGTAAGACTGTACAACATATAATTTCCCGATGTGTCAGCATGTGTGTGTGATTAATAGTCAGTCGTAACAACTACTTATCTATACATATATTTTACATATTAGCAAAATCAGCTTACTATATTTCCCATTTCAATAATGTGGCAATGTAATATTCCAGATCAGGACGAAGAGCTGTAGCAATTAGTTTCTGGTGTAGTTAATAAAATTTTGATTGTTACTAAGTCAAAAAACCCAGAGCACACATACACCTAAACACATTTTCTATGTACGTGTACCGTTACTTATCTCATCATATCGGTTTCCATTCCAGAAACGAAGATTTAACCTCTTTAATGAAGCCTAATCAACACGGGAAATGCAAGTGAAAAATTGTGCGCTACAGATAAGTCCGCTGATAAGTAGTTCCTTTACATTGATACTTAAAATAACCGGAATAACTATAGGGATATTATCTAGTAAAGATATCTTAAAGATATTAATACTCGTTGTCGAGTTGAAATATAGACTGGTTCAAGCACTGGCAATAGCTCTCACTAGAGTCGCGGGTGGAATGGCAGATACAGATACCACTGAGAATCAGGAAGCAGCAAGGTTAGCTATCAAGTGCGATGATTCTAACAGTTCCACTTTCATTAGCGATAAGTCCAATAGTATTGAAAAAAAGGAATATAATGGGATGAAACTGCATAATTCAGGAAGCGAAAGTAATCAAAAAGATCTATACTGTAAAGAGACAAAAGATGGTAAGGATAGTGATGACGATAATGATGATGGCGATGAAAATGATGCTAATGACAACATAGACGAAGAGGAGGAAGCAGCACATATAATATGCGATGAAACCAGAAATTCTGCTCTACAGCAGAATGATGCAAATGTGGCCAATTTTTGTCAGAAAGAAGTTGGCCAAAGTTTAGATGAGAGAGAAAGTGAAAAAGAATCCTCTGTCGATGTGGGCCAGAACCAAGTTCAGCCAATATATACCACAAATACGTACATTGCCCCGGAGCAAGCGTTAGTTACTAGAGTGGAACTAGTTGTACCAGCTCAACTAAATTCCGAGCAGATTCAGCATAGCAAGTTGCATTACAACAATAGCACTAGCCGCAACAACAACATCAACAGCAACAACACTACTAATACTACTACTACTGACGTCCAATTCAGCAGTGCAATGCCAGTAATGCCCACTGATAAAAACAATGGTTGTGAAACAGACTCCTCCTCTTCCAACGTGAATTTAAGGATTCCTACTAATTTAACATTAACGACAAAAACAACAGGTGATATTTTAAATACAGAAAGGCGAACTACAATTTGGACACCACACGACGACTATAAAGCCTCAGTATCTAGCGCTGACACGGCTTCAGTATCTGGCTCTGGCTCCGGCTCTGGTCATTTGGAGCAACTCACTAGCAATTCAGATCGTTTACAAATGAGCTGCACTGATTCGAATGGCTATAAATCAAATATGTTTGGCTCACAGCAAGAGCCACATCATCCCGCCGACCTGCTTTTGCAAATAGAAAAGGAAACAGCTGGAAACATAGGAAATTTTGGGCAGTTGCTGCCATTGGAGCAACATGAGCAACGACAACAACACTTCAATCAACAGCAACAGCAACAGCATCACTCCCACATGCAAACTCATTTACCGAGCAACATGTATGCACAAATGCTGCCCCAGCAGCAACATTCACATCAGCAGCAACAACATCAGCAGCAGCAGCCGCAGCCACTTCAACAACAGCTGCATCATCCGCAGCAACAGCACAACATACATCAAGAAAATATTCTGGAGCATCAGCAATCGCTACACTATGTCAATTATATACATCAGCAATATGCTCATGATCAATTGTTTGCGCTCCATCATTCTCATAATATTCAGCAACAGCAACAACAGCAGCAACAGCAGCAGCATGCTCAACAGCAACAGCATGCTCAACAGCAACAACATCGGCATCATATTGATTGCCATGGCCCGAGGCAACAGCAATCAACAATTCAGCATGCGATTTCTAATACACAGCAACAGATGCCGGAGCAATATCATGATCTTATGATCACCGAATATCACGAGGATCCCTGTTCAGGATACAACTTGTGAGTAACGTATGAAATTCAGTTGGTAGTCCAGATATACCTTCTACCACTTCTCAAGGCAATCTAACATATTTCATATTTTTCAGAACACTTTCTCCGAGCAATGCTAAAACAGAAAATCAAGATGATGGCTACGAGACAAGTGCTGGGGATGTTTTAACACCTAATTCACATAGTTCGTCCACACACTCGGTAACCCCGCAGCATCAGATGCAACATGTGGCACCGCTTGGCTTACTTGCACAAAGTAAACATGAAGACTTAAGCTTAAACTCGAAACATAATCAAAGTCAAGCGACTAACACATCTAGCAGTAGTCCGCAAGTGCGAGTGGCCCAAGGTGCTTTGTCTGCTCTATCAATGTCACAAAATGTTAGTGCTGATCCCTACAGCTTTATGGCCGAAGAGATGAGCATTCTGTCACCAGCTGGTCATTCAGCAGCTATCGATATGCCAGGTACCACATCCAATGCCTCAAGCTATTCACCTGTACCACAAGCTCAAGGCTCAGCACATTGTCGTGATATTGTTGTCACTGTTGCCCAAAAGCCCAGTGAAATATATAGCAACATTAAGGAACATCAGCAATCGCTCACGCCCAACAGCGAACCGCATACTGATTCTCATAGTACGGAAATTCGAATGGTTGGCGATGCATCCTCTCAAGATTCCAACAAATCCAACAATTTCGACTTGCAACAGGAGAAGCCAGGCTCGGGGTCCCAGCCAAAGAGAAGGGGTCGTAAAAAGAAATTAATTGAAGCAGACAATATGCAAATAGACACTGCACAGCCATGGTGAGTACTTGTTTAGCCTATAAGAACCAGAGTTTGCAAATACATTTCAAGAACATTTTATTATCAATCGATAAGACAGAAATAGGATGATATCTTCGCCAAAGCATTTCAGTTATAAATAAATCAAGTTGTATGTTAACTGTTGGCAGTACTACTGTCAGCACTCCCAATATCGACAACCGGATTAGATCTGTTGGTTGAAGCTTTAACATTTGCTGGTGCCTTTATTATTTCTGTTTCAAAGACCCTTTCATCTATCATACTCAGAATATAAATGTATTGCTGATATTACTCACTCACATACTCTTTCGTTTCCCTAATGAAAGAAATTTTTGGGTTCAGCCAGCCATGATAGTTGCCGGGCTGGTATACAACTTAGGTCTCGAAGAGATCGCTCTTGGTGGAATTGTATTGATATTGCAGGACCTCTAATATATAAGCAAATAATGATGGCCAATATCTAGTATGGATGGGAGACATCTTGAAAATTGCGCATATATTTCTAAGCTACTATTATATGGGTTTTCGTGTAGTAGATTTACTCCACCATATATTGGCTTTATCACACTATAATATTTTCTTTGCACACTCTACATCAATTTAGCGGTAGCAGAGATGGAGGTGTTGGCTCAGAAGATATGCTGGCCATGAAACCCAAAGAGCGTAAGAAGCACGACCGATTTAATGGAATGTCTGAGGCGGAAGTGATTCAGCGTACCATACCCGATCATCTTTGTGATAATCTCGATATTGTCATAGTGAGTTGTAAATTTCGTACAGTCCAGTTGTGCTGGAATACTTGTTGGAACTGATTTGATATAGAGTACGACTAATTTCTGGACTTTTTAACAAACAGGTGGGTATAAATCCCGGCTTGTTCGCTGCCTATAAGGGTCATCATTATGCCGGCCCTGGTAATCATTTCTGGAAATGCCTATACTTATCGGGCCTGACTCAAGAGCAAATGAGTGCTGAGGATGATTATACGTTGGTTAAGCATGGCATCGGCTTTACTAATATGGTAGCACGTGCTACCAAAGGCTCTGCGGATCTAACGCGCAAGGAAATCAAGGAGGGTAGCCGTATTTTGCTTGAGAAGCTGCAGCGCTTTCGACCCAAGGTCGCCGTTTTCAATGGCAAATTGATATTTGAGGTATTCTCGGGCAAAAAGGAATTTCACTTCGGTCGGCAACCTGATAGAGTCGAAGGCACTAATACTGTGAGTATATACGAATCTAATTTATTCTTAAAAGGTATCTTTTTATCTATTTATCTATTTTGCCATAACCTAATGCTTTTTATACCGTAAGCTTATTGCAAAATCCAATTTAAAGTATGATGACTTTTTAAAAGTGCATGTAAGTAAGAACTTAAAAGGATAGTCAGATGCTCGTTCGTATGAACGCAGCGATATCAGAGCGATATATTTAGTCAATTAAAGCATTCCTGTAGACGATATGCAGCAGCAATGGAATACTTGATCCCATTTCCGAATTATCGATGAAAATCGACCATTTGTTTGCTTTTCATCCTAACCAGAATATCACAAAAGTTGGACACATTTCAGATAATGAGAATATTCTTGAGATGAATACATAAATTTTAGATGGTTCAGGTTTTCGTTAGCACCCTCCCTTACCGCAGCATATTTGCGTAATATTAGAGACTCGTGCTTTGGCAAATATCAATCTAAATTTCAGTTTTCCACAATGAAACTTAATCTAAATAAAAGTTATGCATTTAACTTCTAAACATGCTATTTAATTTAAGGTTATCCATCTTATTTTCTATTCTACATTCCAGTATATTTGGGTGATGCCTTCATCTTCGGCGCGATGCGCTCAGCTGCCTCGTGCTGCAGACAAAGTGCCATTTTATGCAGCGTTGAAAAAATTTCGGGACTTTCTCAACGGTCAAATACCGCAAATGGATGACTCGGAATGCATATTCACAGAGCAGCGTATTAGGCAATGCTGCGAACAGCAGGAGTCCGTTAAGAATTTGCCAACGCCAGCCAACTCCAATAATAATAATAGCTCTAATAACAATATGGAGCAACAATCTAGTCTTATGTTTGTCGACAATGTCAACAATAACCCCAGCACTAATAATAATAATAATGAGCCCATCACAGATTGCGCGAATAAACTTCTGGACAAACAGCTGTTGCCGCACTTCAGTAGCAATACAAATCCAAGTTTGAGCAACGTGAATCCCCGTGATGGTTTTACCTATGCCAGCAATGAGGAGTCAATGCGTAACAGCAATGAGCACAATTACTTACCTGTATTTGGGAATACACAGGCGGCACCACCGTCGCTGCCTGAAAAGAAAAAACGTGGTCGCCCCAAAAAAATTAAAGGCCAAGACTTAATGGACCCTGCAAACGGGGGCAAAGTGCAGCTAATGGTCCAGCACGATTTCAATAACATTTTGAATTTATCGATGATTGCAACAAACGCTAATAGTAGCAACGGCAACGGTACTGAGTTACCCACTAAGAAAAAACGTGGCAGACCCAAAAAACTAAAGCCCAGCCTAGAGAACATGTTGATAAACGTCAAGCAACAGCATCATCATCATCATCATCAGCAGCAGCAGCAGCAGCAGCAGCAGCAGCAGCAGCAGCAGCAGCAGCAGCAGCAGCAGCAGCAGCAGCAGCAGCAGCAGCAACAACAACAACAGCAACAATCGGCAAATGCAACACCAACTGGAGGCATGATTTCGATTTCAATGGAGCATAATACTGCATCCCCACAGAGTCAGAGCCATCAAGCGCTACCTAGCTTATATAATACGCCGCCGCCTTCACACATATTATATACAGCATCTGCGTCGCCAATGGCTTCGCCAGCTCTAAACTGTAGCTACCCGCCAGTCGGTCAAGACCAGCAACAGCAGCATATGCAGCTTATACAAACAGATCATCACCAAATGCAGGCTGCTGTTGGCGCAGTCATCAGAGATCAACCTCATTTAGGCGAAACACCACCGCCGAGCTCGCCAAATATTTGTACTGGGGTTGACTTTGAGCCGCCAAGCGAGCAGAATGATGGCCAGGACACTAATCTACTGACCCGGTCGGCAGATAAATCGCAAATGGAGCCACTGACACATGTACCCGAACATTATCAGCAGTGGATACATCATCAGCAACAGCAACAACAATCCGCCCAAAAGCTCAATCAATCCCAATCTTCGCCCGTTAGTCACTATCAACCGCAAGCGCAACTTAACTATCTACCAGATCCGGCTGAGCATTGGCAACGCTATACTGAGCACAGCAATAGTCGATCTTACATGGTATCCTCACCCCACTCAAATCATAATATAAATGTAAGTCCGCAACTGACTAGTAATACGCCGTCAAGTCAAGTTGCCTCCGCCGATATGTCGCGTAAGAGTTTGTCGGGTCTAGAATCTCTCGTTGATCAAATACCAACAATAAGTGAGCATGAAACCAACGTTATATCCACAGCAACAGCAGCTGCGGCAGCCGCTGCTGTTGAAAGTCGTTTATTGGGACTACAACAACAGGAGCAGCAGCACCAGCAGCACCAGCAGCACCAGCAGCAACAGCAGCAACAGCAGCACCAGCAGCACCAGCAGCAACAGCAGCAACAGCAACAGCAGCAACAACAGCAGCAGCAAAAGAATGTTCATACGGAATCTACATCGAACAACAATGTGATTAGCAACTTTTCTGTTAGCAGTTTGGCCGCATCGTCAGCTACAACGAATATTGATGCACATTTGGACCAAACGAACAGCAGTGCTAGCAGGCCCGAGACCAGCAGCAACACAAATACCAGCAATAACAACAACAGCGACTACCCCAATCATAGTCAGGGTGGCTATGCACATCCACATGCTAGCCATTTGATTAGCTCCGCGTTGGTAACAGCAACAGCTGCTGATGGAAGTCAACCAGTGATGCATCCACATCCACACCCACATCCGCATTCGCATTCACATCCGCAAATGTATATGGAACATATGCACATGGCCCATGCGATGCCAACGGTGAATGTCAACCCAATGTACGCTCCGCCTTATGGTCCACAGCATGGTGCATCAGCACCCGAATATGGTCCCTACAGCGTGCAGAGTGGTACGCCTGCATTGCATGTGCCCAGCCCAAATTATCCATATGCCCACTATGGGCAACAGGCTAATTACACTGGCTTTGCACATGCACATCAGCACCCGCATCCACACCCACATCCACACCCGCATTCGCATCATCCGCACCATCACGTAGGACATCCAGCAGCGCACCATTTAAGCGTCTTTGACCGGCTTAAGCCGACGGATATGAGCGGCTATACGGGATACTAAAAACAACCACAGCAGCTACAATATAAGTTCATTTAGCAATCTCTCCGGCTAAGCCGGTCATACATACATACATACATACATATATATATATATATATATATATATATATATATATATATAGTTTTCAGTAACATTAACAATTAAACAAGATAACCAAAGATTCCGCGTAATAAATTTCTTTTATAAGCATTAACGAAAGCTTAAGCGTAATAAATTAAACATATAAATATATATACATATATATGTTTATATTTTTATTTATTTTATTTTATTTGAAGCTGAAAAACGTAAGACATTAGTTCATTTTATACAATAGACGTGTTATATATCCTATAACTATTCAAATTATTGAAGTCTACAATATTCGAATATAGAAATAGATTATGTTTATATAGACTCAGTTACTCTTCTTTCTCTCTCCTATTTTATTAATTTTTTTCTTTCTGTGCAGACAATACTTAAAATATGAACTTACTATGCTGATAGATTGGTATGTGGAGTCTATACTAAAATAAGAACAATGCAAAAAAACGTGATATATGAAACAGTTATTATCGTTGGTGTTTTACGCTTAAGTTTAAGAACTAGAATTTTCCCACTTTATGATTTATTGATTAAATTAGGTTTTCGTTCTTTTATTTATTTTGCATTTCCATTTATGTTGTTGTAAATATCAACAATGGCGCTGTTATCATATAATAAAAATTGCTTTGTTCTCTTGTACATTACAATATCTCGTTCTCGTCAAAAGTCTGCGAAAAACGGAAAACAAATATTTGTTTAAAAAAGATATCACAATGAGCACATTATAGGTATATCTTGATTTTTACTTAAAATTCTAGCAAAATTAATTGTTTAATTATTTGGTAGGCAAAGCAATGGCATCTTAGATCTTAATTGCGTTTGATTGCATTATAAACTATCTACTTTTGCTCTAGCTAGATTTTATCGCCGATGTGTATAAGACCACATTTATATTCAATATATATATATATATATATATATATATATTGAATATACATTTTTTTTGTCTGAACAAACGAGTTGGTGGTATTTGTAATATACATACATATATCGATAATCGACGTTGTGTAGAACTGCTCTAATATTATATATACACATATAAATACTATGTTTATACGCCTACATGTTATTTTTATTATTATTTTTTGTATTGTGTTGACAATTATTGACTGGTTACTAGTTGAACGAAAGTAATTTCAGATATATTAAATATAATATTGAAAAAATTATTATTTACTAGACTGTCCGTGATTTCTGATTTCTTATTGGCGGCGTATAAACGTAGCTCCAATTATACGTATTAAGCATGAATTTTAATAAGTACTCACTTTAAATGTCATCTATAATATTTCGAGTGATTTCTAAACTTAACAAGCTTATAGCTATGTATGTGAAAGGTTAGGGCTTATGGATAAGATCGGTATACTTAATATGTAGATAATTGCATTTACATTCGTCTAAATAATACCATTTCGAATAAATGTTTTGGTTTTTATGTACACTCATACAATTTTTAATATAATATCCATATATAGCGATATGTATGTGCTTCTTTCTGAAATCTCTTTAGCTTCAGTGACTTGCGAGATGCGTTTATACGAGATAAGTTCATAACTTCATACGGTTGGATAGACCGATAGCTGGACAGAATAATAGGCGAACAGGCACACATGGATAGCTTGACCCATCTAGTTCTTATAAATAATGTTTAATATAATCATGTACTTTTTGAGGTCTGCTAATCCTAATCGTTAAAATCGCACGCAGCAGGTAAGAAAACTAATAAATACGTGTATTCACAGTCACATTTAAAGTACATTTACCACATCTGGCTGGGTATTACGGACTGCAGAATACTCATCCACTGCCCAAACGCTGCCAGATCGATTTTCCACTCCCACAGTTTTGAGTTTAGATATATCCGCCATATCCTTTTGATCTGGAGTTGTACATATATACATATCTACATAAATATGTATTTATATGTGCCACTGTTAAAAGACACAGACTCAATCACGTGGTATACATATTCATCCAGTTCATCCACAAGAAAAGTTATTCAAGACTAAGTTCCCATAGTAAGCCACCATTGCAGCCAATGCGTGTTTATGCGTGCGTACGTAGTATGTATGCTTGTGTGTGTGCGTGTATGTGTGCATATGCGAATAAGTAAGAAAGCTCTAGTCGAGACTGCTCGACTATGAAATCCCCTGAACCCTTCGAAGAATTGATCTAGTCAGTGACAGAACTCTTGAAAGGGTTGGCATTGCTCAAATTATTTGCGAATTATTTGCGTTTTCATGATTTAATAATGATAATATTTGGTTCCATGTTCAAGCACAAACATAGACGTCTTAACATCGATTTTGTAATGGAAAACAGCACCATCGCAAAACACCAGATCGAAGTTCTGAGTGAAATTCTGAATTATATTTATATTGAGAATGTAAAACATCGATACAATACATATGGTTAGTGCTGCTACTAGTCCATTTGCCAATTGCAAAAATTAGTTATAGTCACTGGCTAGTGAACATATGGTTAGTAGCTGGGCGAAGCGTACTCCTCGTCATGGAACCAGCTTTGCCGTTTTTTCTGGAGCAAAACAAGGTAGATCATGCAAAAAAATAAAAATAAAAAAGTCCACACAAGTCGTGAGCAACAAAAATAAATAAAAAAAAAAAACTGTTATATTTCATAAACTTAATAAGGTCTTTTAACACATTCAAAAAGAAAAATATATACATATAATGTCAAAACAATAATTTAAAAAAAGGCTATTATCTCGTCACAGCCCTTCTCTTCCTGATAGCATTCATTTTTATCTACATACATACATATGTATAGCTCTCAAAGCCTCTTAAGATCGTCATAAAAATACGGAGCTAAAATGTTTTTAATAACATGCACTTCGTGCGATGCAGCTTTATTTTTTAAAGCTGAGCATCTGTCATGAAATTTTTTTGGCATAGATCACTAAAATGATCTACAGGAAAAATTGCCGTATGCTCAACTATGAACATACAAAGGAACTATCTCTTGTTAATAGTCTTTGGCACTGATTGTTGGTGCCCTTCCAATGCGCCAATATGCCTTTTCTTTGAAGCATGTACGCGCGAATCGCTAATTCGCAATTCGTAATATTGCTTTAGCAATAGCTACAGTTAAGTCCTTCCTCAACCAATATTTAAACTCTGAGCTGTGCAGCCTAACATCACGAACTTTCTGCTTGTACAATTCTTTTGGCATTTGAAATGTATTCGTAAAAGTTTTACGGTAATACACATTAATTAGAGGTGACAATATTGGCGAAAATTTGAATAGCCTAGTGGCGGGAGACTGTGCGATAATAATGGTTGCTTCGTCGATAAATTTTCTATTTAAATACTAAATAAGGTATGCAGCAAAAAAAAATACTGATCAAATTAAAAAATAAAAATCATAAATTTGAAAAAAAAGCTCGAATTCTCGCTTCCCTCTGTTTTACAATTTTTTTTCGCATTCTAACTGTAAAAAAAGCCATTTCTGACGGGAAAAGGCGTGGAACATCTTTTTTGCCAGACACATCATTATTAAACCTAAAATAATAGACAGCATTTGAATGTGTTAGTTTTTATTTTATTTATAATTTTATAATATCTGCACATCTTTTGCCATTTATTATAATAGGAACTTTATATATATATATATATATATATATATATAGATTATACATACATTTTATATAATATATTTCTCTGCAAGCATTGCAGCAACTCTTGATTAACATTATGATTATTGTTGTTTTGTGTGCCGACACTTACACGGAATAAATGCTTGCAAATATGTATGTATGTATATGCTTGCTTGCTTATATATGTATACATGTGTGTGTGTATGTGTGTGATATGTCGCCAACTTTTAGGGGTATATTGGTTGCCATATACATAGGTCCGCAGATGAAGTAATTCGACAAGCAGTTGTTTGAGTGTGTTTATGTCTGTGTGAGAATAAATCAAAAGTAATATAAGGAAGCTATATGCAACTCATGCACTCTTTTCTATATTTTTTTTCAACATTACAATTGTTTTCCATTTCAGTTATGAATTTCCTTGCGAGGTCTATAATTTATTATATATGTATGTATATATTTTTGCATATTAGTACGTTCTTATAGTTAAAGAAATATTATTATTATTTTTAATGCTATAGGAACTTTTAATTTAAAGTTTGTTTCTTAAACTCCGAAATTTAGTTTATGGGATTTCTTGTATACATTACAATTGTTTTCCATTTCAGTTATGAAATAACTGTAATATATATAATATAATAATAACAAAAAGAAAGTTTAAATTAACTATTTGGTTTCGATTTCGTCATTACTTAGCAATGATCGATTCAATATTCAGCAAATAAAAAAAAATGGTTTTTAATGGAGTGTACAATAGTAAAATATATATTTTGAAATTCTTCAAATACACCTTTCGAGAATTAAGTAGTTTAACGCACACACATTTCACATTTTGAAATGTAGCATATCAACTGTAATAATATTTGCCGTTGTCTTGCAACAAATTTATTTTTGGATCACCCCCGGATCACATTCCCCTTAAATCTGTTCGTCTTCTTCGTCTTGTGCCTAGACCTAATCAATAATGAAATCAATAACTAAAGTACTCATGGCGTGGGTGCCCCGCTACGAGAAACCACGAAGTGTCTACAGATGAGATACCTATAGCCTGGATTCAAATTGAAAGTGTTCAGTTCGCTGAGAGATTGTCAGAAAAAGCTTGCAGAGCGCCTTGTACAACACTCGATGTTATCAATACTACTAAAGATAACGCATACCAATGCATTTTGTCTTAAAGAGAATTGTATTTTCTTAACGATGCATTCCGTTTTCAGCAGGACGGAGCGTGCTCGCACACTGCAAAAGTAAGCTTCCAAAGGAGCCACAAAGGAACATTTCCGACTTGAAAACCAAGTTGCAAGAGATGTAGGAATTAAATTCTCAAGAGAACTGCAAAAACTTGGGCTTAATGCGTATTACAGGTTAAAGGCGACGTTACACAATTGTAATGTTAATTAAATTGTTGTTTTAAGTATGATAGGAAACCATATTATGCAGCGCGCGAATTAATAGTGGTAATTTTTTTCATCTCAAGTTTATCTTTTAAATAAATTACTCATATTGTTGTTGTTGGAAATAGAATAAACCTTAAACCTTAAAGACAAAGTACATTGGAATGCGTTATCTCTAGTAGTATTGATAATGAAGTGTGTTCAATCATTAGTGGTTGGGGCTCGTATGTATACGTACTGCCAGTAGCAGTACATCCTCTCCAGCCTTTTTGAACTGGAATCAAGATCGCAGTTTTATATTTTCATTTTAGTGAGGATAACGCATAAGAACAGATATATTTACAAATGTTATTAGAGATGGTGATGTTCATATATAACGGTATAATATTTGACACTGTTATGGAAGCTTAAAACATATTTAACAAAAGTTGCAAAAAATAAAATATTATAACTATTAATTCCAATTTAATTGTGAAGTAGATTTGCGCTCGCGAGCGAAAAATCAATTCCAAGATAGCTGGCATATCATTGAAGTTTGATTCATTTGAAGATATAATTAGCTGATTTGATAAACAAATTTTTAATTGTCTTGCGTATTTTCGAAGGACTGTATATGCATTTATCATTTATAATAAAAACATAATATTATAATAGGGTATGATCGCCTGGTATATTAAGGTGCCATAGTGAGGACCTGTAGAGTAGAACTTAACTATCTGATATCTGTCGTATATTTAGAAGAACTTGGGGAACTTAATTTGAAATATTTCGAAGTAATACATAATTTATTTATATTTTTATCGTTCGACAAAAGGAATAAATAAAACTATGACTTTAGTCAATAAGTCAATCAGTCAGTTAGTCAGTTAGTTAGCCAGTCGCGTCTCGCTACAAAATGTATGCATATTTAAATATATAGGAACACATGTAAATACAAATACGCGAATATATGTGAAACTACAGCATTGGCACATTTTCTAAAATAATTTGTTTTTGCATACGCATGCACACCTGTTGTTTCTTTTGAATGTACATTCGAAAAAGTTATAACTCATAATTTGACACAATTAAAAACATAATAGTAAAATATATGTATATGTAGGTGTTTTCAGACGTCAAAATATTGAGCATTTGGGTGTATATATATGCATACATATGTATGCCATTTATAGTGCTCTCCGGCAAGCCGAAACTGACATCTGTGTTCAGATGTTTCATTTTTTTAAATATATAGTTATATATTGTTTAATTAATATATCTTAAATAGAAAATAAAGGCATAAAGCAATATAATGCTAGGAACTCAGTTTGCATCTCTCTAATTCGAGCTTTTTTTCTCGTGTCATCTAGTTTTGCGTAGTTTTACATATAAACCATCATACATATATATATATATATATATATATATATATATATATATATATATATATATATATATATATATATATATATATGGTTTATATGTTTGCATGTACGTATTACACTAAGTATATATTGAGAGAACATAATTATCAGTTAACTGCAAACCCTGCAGACAACGAGAGATTTGCAGTATTCTTTTATAATTCCCTTTCTATTCTCCTTTTTTAAGTTTTCGTTATAATTTTTTTTTTTTTTTTTTTTTTTTTGAATTTGAATAGTTAGGAACACTTCCGTATATTTCTTATGTTAAATATTTATATAATCTCGTTAGCTTACACATACATTATGTATAAATTTAGTCGCATTAAATTTCTTTAAAATAGGAACTTTCAAGTTTACATATAGTAGTTAAGATATATAAATATATATTTATATATATTTGGGTTTCATTAAATAATGATTTAATATCCTCCTCCTTCTCTTCCTTTCTATTTTTTGTTTTATTTCGTCGAATTATTTTCTGTAAATAAATAAATATATATAATCTTAGATACACGTACGGAGAGAGATAGACACAGACAGAGACAGAGAGAAAGAGAAAGAGAGACATACACATCTCTATCTCTCTCTCTCTATACTTATACGTATATAGAGGTATATACAGGAACTTACCTCAGAAATCATATAAAGTCAATTAGTGAAAGCATTCCAAATTATTTCCCACCTATAACTGTTCAGAAAAAAATTCTTTACTACTGCTTACCGATTTGTTTTTAATTTCAAGTCGTGAGTGAACGACTTGTCGCATACCCTATACTCTTCACATATATATATATATATATATATATATATATATATATATATCATATATATGTACATATCGGCGCATTCCCGCGAAATGATTATATGTTGATTTTTTGCGATTCTTTTAACATTTTAATATAGAGCGCCTAGAAAACGTCCGTCTCACATACTTGCAAAAAATAACAAGTGAATTCGCTCTAGATTCGGAAAATCAATTTCAATTTAAGCGTATGAATACTAACATAAAGTAACATAATTTAAAGAGAGCTTCTTCTGTAAAATTACATTTTGACATAGGATCATTTCGCGGGAATGCGACGATATGCATATTCAGTCGACTCTTGGTATTTCAAACCTGCGATATTTCGAACCTCTCATTTATTTCAAAGTAATCACGTGTCCCCTACAAATTCTCTTTATATTTCGAATTATTCCCACATATTTTATGCACTCAGTAATTCAGTAATCCTTTTCAAAGAACAATTAATTTGATAATACAATTACAAATATGTAAAATATCAGCAGTTTAATAAAAACCCTTGATAATCCGAAATCTTATTCATTTTCTCTAAAAAATTTCGAACCATTTAATATTTCGAACATTCGATAATTCGTAGTATTTTAAGAGTCCCTTAAATTTCGAAACACCGAGAGTCGACTGAAATAGATAATATTTTGAACGCACTTTCAGTGTATTTAAGGGTATAATATATAATAAGCAGAAGCATGTTAGTTGAAAAATTAAAAACAAAAAACAAAATTGATTAAAAATTAGATTTTAAAATTTTAATAAAACAAGAATTTTTTTTACAGAATTTTAAAAATTATAATCATTTGAGTTTGTAATTGTTTTTGTTTATATTGTCATACTCAAAAAACAATGATCGTTGACGTATGTATCAATCTATCAATCAGGAATTACATATATGTATATTCATTCATTAACACTTTCATATATGTATATGAATATAATACATACACACATTTATGTATGCATACGCATGTTTATAAGCTAGAGCACTTTTAGTGTTGAGTGTAAACTGGAAGATTGTGTTTCCTGGTTCATTAGAGATATTACTACATACATAAGTATAGCTTTTTCTTAATTATTTGATGCTTAAGACACACATTAATTGTCAGTTATGTTAGCATATCATTCGCACTTACTAAATACCTATCCATTATGAATAAAAATTGCGAGGCATCCGTAAATATACTTATATGTATATATTTTTTGTTAGCTAACTAATCCGTATTCGTCGTTAAAAACAATTTCTGTTTAGTCTTTGATATTACGTTCTGCGAATGTATGAATACATTTATAATGCTACGTCGTTGGGCACACATACATATATGTACATACATATGTAACATGCAACTAAAATCTAAATAGCCTAATAAATAAACCACTTACATGTAGATATATGTACGAGTGTATCTTAGTGGACCTATCTTAAAACTTAATTATCTGACTTTTCCGCACTCCTCAACGCCTGTCCATGTGTAAGCTGACATGCATGCATACACGCATGTATGCATGCGTATGCATCGTATGCACATACATATTTGCTTACTCATGCATCCACATGCACACCTATGTACATGTATGTGGCCTCAGTCATCGTTTATACTTGCAGGCATCTGTTCTCTAATGTGTGCATGAATGCACGCGTCTACGCGAACAATCAAACTCAAGAATCACAAAATGATATCAAACAAAGCGAATTAAAATAAATATAAACCAAATAATAATAATAATAATAATAATATAATTTATATTTCCGCTGGGGCGATCCATGTGATTTCGCAAATCTTACCAGTAATGTGATTGCGATTGAATAGTTGTTGCATTAGATCTCGATTGGCCGACGAATTCTTTCGGCCAGCCTCTGGCATGTCGACGTCGTTGTCTTTCACGGATACGGCGATGTCTCCGGCCAGGTGACGATGGCCCATCGCAGTTGACGCAGCCGGTCGCCCATCTGCCGCCGAATCATCTACAGCGGACACCGATGCACTCGGGTCGTAGTTCAGTAAGCAATTGTTCTCATCGCCCAGTTGCCCAGTTGAGGCGATGGGTGCAATATTATTGCTCGCATTCGATACGACGTGCTGCAGTAGAAATGCCTTTGAGAGGCTGTAGAAGCGCCTCTCCCTGTCCCTGTCGCTCTCGTTGTCGTTGTCGCTGCCGCTGGCATTGCTGTGGGCATATAGCTCGCTGGTCTGCTCAAGCAGGTCCTTCATCTTGCAGATGTGCTCCACGCTGAATGCATGCTTATGCATATTCACCTGTGGTATTTGGCACAATTGGCAATCTTGCAGCTGCTGGTCGTTGCCCTCTTGGCTCAATGCTAGAGTCTTGGTTGACTTGATGCCAGCACCACCAAGACATCCATTGTTGCTGTTATTGCTGTTGTTGCCAACCTCCTTGCCACTGGATCCGTCAAAGCTGTTGTTGTCATCCGAAATGTGCGCATATTGTCGCTGATTCCTCGATTTCTTATCTTTAGCTCGAGAGTTCTGAAACCAAACCTGTAAGTCCATTGCAAAGACAGCTGAATTAATAACTAGGAGCATTCACTATTGACACTTGAATTGAAACATTCTAATAATTTCTAATAAAGTTTACTACGGAATGCATTCATGAAAAACTATTGTTAGAGCAGATCTTCTCATTTCAGAGCGCATATCGACTCCGTATGTGTGCAGGTTTACAAAATGACTATTTTAGTTAGTCGGGCTTCTCTCTACGGCTTTTCTCTTGAATATCAGTCGATGCTGAGACCTTGAGCATTTCGAGACTCCAACTTTCAGACGGACATGACCGTTGTGGTCATTATACATGGATTATACAAGGATTTGGTTAAACTTTTATAGTCCACACCCTTTGATTCAATTATTTTTTGCTTAGTCTTATTTCAAAATTGAAAATCTTACTCCAATGCAGCAGATACCCGATATAAAATATCAGATATATGTTCTTCTTCGTTCTCCCATTCATAATAGAGATGTCGATCTAATGTGAGGCGGTACTTAAATTTGATTTGGTTTAATCATTAACTTTTTAACAAAACATTTTATTTGGCGCCCGAATTTTAGTGCACAGTTCACAGTTATGTTTTCAGTTTTCACTAAAAAATAAATAAAAGTAAAATAAAGCAAAAAAAAACGTTAATAAGCTATTAAGGTCAAAATTAACAAGTAAGAGAACTCTAGTCGAGAGTGCTCGACTAAATACTACCATGAACCAAACATAACATTTAGTACATTTAGTATAGTTAAAATTTAAGTTTCGATGTATTTAAAAATAAAAGAGAATTTAAAAATTAATTTAATTAAATATATAAATATTTTGAATCAGCGCCATCTAGCAAAACTAAACGAATCTACCTGATGCTACGAAGACTGTAGCTGCTGCACGTGCATTTGTTAATTGACAAAACATTTTATTATTTTTTAACGTCGATTGACTTAACGGAATTTAATGAAACTTTCAGCATAGGATCTACATATCTACATCTCTATTATACATTTGACAAATTATAAAAAATGAAAAATCATTCACAATCAGCTTTACTGGCATCTGACTTGAACTTGAATGTTTTTATTCGATAACGGGATGATTTATTGAATTTTAAAGGTAAACTCGACATCCGCGCTGTATATACGGACATTTAAAATAAATCAAGAATAAATCTAGCTCTTACATCTTCTGAAATCGACGAGCTCAAGCATACGGACAGACGGACAGACGGACGGACAGACAGACGGACAGGGCTAAATCGCCTCAGCTCGTCGCCCTGATTGAGTATTACAGTGACGAGCAAAACTGTAACACAAATTCAATGTTGCAACTTTGATTATTTTGCTTCTAGTCTACGATATTTAGCTGTCTTATCTGAAAATTTCAGTCTGTGGATTGTAACAGTACAGTAAGGGAAACTGTCAACTGTCAAACTGGCTTAGGGGAGCACAAACAAAGATTGTATGGACCCTTGGCTTTAATCGATGGAATAACCTTTCGGGATAGTACCTGATCTTTACAACTTTACAAAAGAATTTGGGAGAGTTAAGTGAACATATGGGCTTTACTACTGAAAAATGCAGAGCAATGACTCAAAGAACGCGTCTAACTTGCTCAAAAAGTAAATGATATGGCAAGGATTCATGACCCTGAAGTGGCCAGAGTATTCTTCAGATATGAATATCATTGAAAATATATGGAGTCATGTGAAATCGCAGCTTGCGAATTACGGGTGGCTCCAAGCGGAATGAAAGAGCTGTGGGAGTGGAACAAGGACATTTGGTGCTCGATTCTTCCTGAAATGCGAGGGTACGCAAAATTGATGGCAAATGGCATTAATGAACTAAAAATGATCCGGGTGCAAAACTGTAACATTTGACTTTCTTTACATTTATATTTCTTATAATTATTCCAGCCAACCGAATGATTTCAAATTCCATAATCATAAATCAGATAAGACAGCTAAATATCGTACTAACAAACTAAAATTAAGATTTAAAAAATCCATAGAGTAGAAGTAGAAAAATACAGATCCTTAAAGTTGCAACATTGAATTCGTGTTACAGTTTTGCTCGTCACTGTATATACTTTGCGGGGTCTGCCACGCCTCCTTCTGCCTGTTGCATACATTTCAACAGAACCATTATACCCTGATGTCAATGGGATCAGGGTATAAAATAAAATATGAAAATACCGGAGAAACGAATGGGGGATGCGAGCCAAAAGTAGAATAAATCAAGACAAGGCCGGGAGACGCCGACCGAATTTGTAATATGCGATTTCGCTGAGCGAATATATGGATAGTTAAACGGAAGAACTGGACTGGCATTGCCTGATGCGGCTTCAACTTACTTGCACGACACGTTTTTTAAGATTGACTTTTTTGGAAATCTCCTCAAGCATTTTACGGCTGGGATTCGACTCGGTCTGGTAGCACTCGTACAGGAAGTTCAATTGATCTGGAAGTATTGTTGTTCTCAGCCGTTTGTTCTGCTTGGAAGGCGCACTGAGCTGCACTGATGTCGTGTCCAGGGGCAAACAATCATTGGACTTGATACTCTCAACTCTAGGACTTGGATTCTCGTCGTCATTGAATGTTAGCATTTGCGAATTGTTCTCAATCATTGTTGCGTCGAGGAAGTCTTCGAGGTTTTGAAAATACTGCGGCTTGTCGTTGAGCGATTTCTGCTTGTCTCCATTGATTGGTTCATTCGACTGGTTCAGTTGCTCCAGGGCCATGTCACGACGCTCAATGACATCATTTTCCTTTGTATCTCTGCTCAGCATGCGTTGAGCTTCGTTGATGTTTATGTTGATATGGTTGTTGTTGAGCTTCTCGTCGGGCGGCAGAAGATCATTCGCATCAGCTGGACAGCCTTGAGTTCCGTCTGGATCGATGCAATTCTCCTGCACCTCCTCCAGGTGCTCAGTTTGCTCCACCTTAACCTTTTTCTCTTGCAGCTGCTGCTGCTCCTGTAAGCCGATCAATGTGTTTGGTTCATCCGTCGTCGCGTTCGGCTGCTGCGACGACGGCTGAGACTTGGTTTGGGGCGAGGCGGCTAACTGAAAAAACTTCTTAGATTCATTCAGCTGATAGTATTGCAACAGGAATTCAATTGTGGGCTTCTTGCTGGCGCTAAATGACAGTTGCTGATTATGCTGCTTCAATCCATCCTCATTTTTTCGATAGTATTGCAATAAAAAATCATAGCTATTGACCTTCTTCAGTTCTCTTTGTTGATAGAAATCGCTCAAGAACTCTAGCTCCAAGTCCGTTTCATTTCCCTGTTGCTGCTGCTGCTGCTGCAGCTGATGCTGAAGTAGAAATTGTTGCTTAAGCTCTGCGCTGGCTTCGTTCTGCATAAAGTATTGATATAGGAACTCGTATTTCTTTTGAGTAGTCTCAAACTCTCCCATTGATACCTCCTCAGCATTTGAAGAGCTTTCAGAGCATTTTCTTTTCTTTGCTGGCGGCTCTTGTTGTTTCTGCTGCTGCTGCTGCTGCTGCTGCTGCTGTGCTGCTTGCTGCAGCCCCTGCAATATACTGCCAAAGGGGCCATAAGCTGCTTCAGACTGACTGGCCGGCTGATGGCTGCTGGCAGAAAAGAGAGCCGGACTCATCAAGTGCATGAGCTGATGCTCACGCAGTGACTCCAATTGATTGAACTGCATTTCGCACTTCTCACAATCAAATTTTGGCAAGCGCTGCTGGTCCAGACTATTGCTGCGCTCCCTCTGCGGTGGCGTTGGTGTCGTCGATGGACTAAAGTCAGTTAGCGATGAGGCCTTGCTAAATAGATGCTGCGGCGATGGAGATGATCCAAATGGCTGTGAGCTCGAATGAGCCGAATGAGCCGAATGAGCAGAGTGTGCCGAGTGGGCTGCTGCTGCTGCAGCCACAGCAACAGCAGCCGCCACGTTTTGACCCAGGCTTCCAGTTGCCTGGTGATTATGTATATCCATAGAGGAATTGGAGTCCTCTGAGCTAAGATTATGAGCGATTTGCGCAGCTGCAATTTGCGCCTTGGCCGACTTCTTGTTGTTTTCCTCCTTGAAGCAGTGATTCTTCTGATGGCGTATCAGCTCGTAGTAGCGCTGAAATATCAGACTGCACTTCTTGCAGGCGTAGTTGATATTCTGCTTCTTAGTCTCCTCGCTTTCATACAGGGAGTTGTTCGGCTGATTCTCATAGATTTTGCGCTGCTTCTGTCGTGCGTTCTGGAACCACACAACAATTACCCGTGGCGACAGTAGCAGCAACTTGCTTAGGTACTCCAAGTCACTGTCCTTCGGATACGAATTGTTCTCAAAAAACTCTTGCAGCACCTTGATTTGATAGTCCGTGAAGCGCGTGCGATTCGCGCGCTTGCCGCCGGATGTTGAGGACGAGGAGTTCGATGAGTTCGATGAGTTGCTCTCCAAGCAAACTTGCGCTGTCGGCAAAGCCCGGTCGCCTGACGATGAGCTCGTTCCCGCTAGCTTCTCAAATGATTTACCAGATATCTGCAATTTCTTCGGCGGTCCCATATTGCTGCCACTGTTCTCCAGCTGCTGACTAAGTAAATCGTTCATGCTACTATACAAATTGCCGGGTGCAATGCTATTCGGCGTCGGCGGTCTTGATAGCACATCCGAGCTTCCACTCTCCGACTTCGTTTCAAAGCAATTCGTTTGCTGTTGCTGCTGCGGCTGTTGCTGTTGCTGTTGCTGTTGCAGTTGACTGTGATGGTGTCCGGCTGACTGCTGCTGCATTGGGTTATCATGCATGTCCATACCGAGGTGTGGCATCAGCGACTCTGCTGTCTCCATTTGTTGCTGTTGGCTCAGAAACTGAAACACCTGCTGTTCTTTCTGCTGCTCCTCCTGCTGCTGCTGCTGCTGCTCCTGCTCCTGCTGATGCTGATTCTGCTTAAGCTGGCATTGACTTTTGTGAAAGAAGTCGAGGTTGTCGTCGTGCGGCTCAGATTTGATTTCCACCTCCAATGGCAATGCGTTTACCTGCTCGGCTACCGCCTGAGTGGGCATCATGTCAATAACTTGCGCTTTAAAAAAATCACTTATGTTGCTGTTGCTACTCAGATCTGTTGCAGTTGCTGTTGCCGTTGCCGCTGGTAACGATGTTGTTGCTATTAGGTTGTTGCTGGCTGCAGCTGCTGCTCCTACTGCTGCCGCTGAAGTTGGCGCCACTGGAGCATCCGCTGGAGCTAAAGAGGTCACCTTTGCTTGTCCAGTACGCTCATATTCCTCTAGATTAAGAGTAGTCGACGGCGGATTATTGAAGTTGTACGGCGAGTCCTTGTTGCGCTGTCGTTCCTTAAACAACGTGTTGCGGAACCAGTGCTTAACAACCTGCAAAAGTATTTATTAATGTCTTATCATCTCTCGCTCACTCGCTCTCTCGCTCTCTCGCTCTCTCTATACCTTCATTGGAAGATTGGCCTTCTGGGACATTTCCATAATGCTCTCCTCGCTGGGCGAATTGTTTATGTCGAAATGAGCTCTCAATATCTTCAGTTGGTCGTCGGTGATGCGAGTGCGAGCGCGCTTCTGGTTGCTGCTCAGTTGCTGCTGAGTGAAAATTGAATTCAAATTGAGTTAGCTCGAATGGGAGTTGCGGTTTCGTTTGGGCCTCACCTGAGTGTTGTTGGGTGGAATGAGGTTGATGCTGGTGGCATCCGCTGCCAGGCTGCCGCCTGCTGTAGCGCCTGAGCTCTTTGACTGGCGCTCGGAGCTGCCAGCTGCAGCTGCTTGGCCGGAGCCAATGCCATTGTTCTGGACTCCGCCAACTCCAGCTGCTGCGGCTACTGCTGCTGCTCCAGCGGCTCCAGCTGTAGCATTGCCCCCAAATATCAATGGCGGTGCCAGGTTCATAAAGTTCAGTGACATCAAGTGGTGGAATTGCATCAGATTGAGCATGTCCACCGGATTAATAGGCATCCCTGAGCCCGCTGCTGCAACATTCAATTGCTGCTGTATTTGCTGCAAGCTCTGTATGCTCTGAAGTCCTTGAAAGGACTGCGGAGTGATGTTAACGAATGGAGCTGATTGCTGCTGCTGCTGCTGCTGCTGCTGCTGCTGCTGATGAGCCTTGTCTTGCTGCGCCTGCAGCTGCAACTGTAGCTGATGCAGTTCGCCACTTGAGATCGCCAATTGCTGGTCATCCGCTGCCTCTTGCTGCTGCTGTTGCTGTTTGAGCAGCGCAGCAGTTAAAGCTGCAAAGTGCTGATGCTGCTCCGTTGCCGAAGGCTCGTCTAGCGCGCTTGGCGACAGCAACTGAGAGCTCGAAGCTGCTTCCTTCGCATGTACGTCTAGGGGCAATGGCGAGGTTAGGCGCTGCGGCGACTGCTTTGCTCCAGTCTCATTCGCCTTGGCCACTGGACAACATGAAAAATGCAATAAAATTTGGTACACATATTCACTTTCACATAGGCTCATTTTCCTACTGGGAATGGCATTTGGTATAACCTCGACTGGAAGATATCCTGAGCATCTTGATGGGCAACTGGGAGAAATCGCACGGAACTGTAAACAGGCAAGTAGCCAAATATGCCTTTCGCTCTATTGCTCGTAATATGATCAATGGGTAAAGCCTTCAAGTCTTGATCGGCCTGTATAGACCAGGGCTGCCTGTCTAAGTATTAGACCGTATTGGATCGATCTAAACAAGCTTGCTTGTAAGGCTCCGATATCGAAATTCGGACATACGGACAGTCGTACGGATAGACAGGCGGACAGGGCTAGATAGATTTATCCCGATCTGGAATGAATGTTGGAGTGACCGCGCCTGACTCTGCCTTTTTTGCGAAATGTGCTCGAGAAGGCTAATACCACACCCAAAATTGCTATTATGAATGGATTCGTGTGTAGGGTAAAGGTCTTCGGAGAACTCACCTGTTTCACTGGCTCGTGTGGTAGTAAAATCAAAAACATTTGACTCGGCTGGTGGCTTGTCTATCCCGCTGGCACCGTACAACGGACTAGGTGACATGTCCCCAGGACTGCTCGTGACGGGCGAGCATTCAGTCGGGTGCGCCTGTTCCATGTGCTTCTGCAGTGCCTGAGTGCTGCGGAAATTGCGCTGGCACAGCGAGCACTTGGTTGCATCTCGCATGCTGTGGTAGAGCATGTGAGCGGTAAGCTTTTCCTGCGTCTTAAATGCCAGGGAGCACTGCTTGCAGCGGTACTTATAGACGTGCCGCTCCGAGATGACCAGACTCATGTGCGAGTCCTTGAAGTGCCCAGTCATTGCGGACAAGCTACCAAAGGTCATATAGCACGGCCGACTATGGTGGTTAACAAGCAAACAAAGGTATTCGCCGCTTTGCATTGGATAATGCTGCGCCTGCTGCGCGTGCTGCAGCAGCTGCTCTTCGTGCTTGAAGTTCGCTTCGCACTGCTGGCACGCCAGGCCCTGCATAACGCCCGTTGAGACAGCTGTGGGTGTGGGCGTAGCTGTGGGCGTGGCATCACCCATCGCTCCTTTGCTGTCGTCAGCTCCCATTGTTGTCGTCGTCGTCGTCGTCATCGTCGTCGTCGTCGTCGGATCAGTGTCTTTAAGAGGACGCCACGCCTTGTGATTGACCAGCTGCAGGAGTCGAGCGAGTCCGTCTCGCGTCACACTGTGCACGCTCATCAGATGCGTTTCCAGTGATGATTTTTCGTTATATCCGCTCTCCAAGCACAGTGGACATGAGACACCCGACTTGGGCAGCTTCTCGTTCGCGCTCTTGGCGTCTTCCTTTACCTCAGCTCCAGGCGCTTCGTCGGTCTCGTCCAAGCGCTCGCGCTTTATTTCAACGGGGCAGTCATCCATGTCCACTCCGGAACCACGGCCATCTGGAGTCGTGGGCGTTGGAGTTGGCGTCGAAGAGGGTGTGACGCTACAGCGCTGGACGGCAGCTAGAGCAGCAGCTGCGATAGCTGTTTGAAAGGCTTGCAGCGCAGCCGTGTTTGTCGGCATACTAACATAGTCGTCTATCTCAGAGCTAGGATGAGCAGCCTCGATGTGGCCCTCCATATCCTTTTTCGATTGCACAAAGTATTCGCAGATGTTACATTTGAAAATAGTCGTCGACGCACAGCCTGATGATAAGGGGGAAGGGACGCGCGCCTGTGCCTTGCCACTGGAAGTTGCACAGCTGGAGACGGAGGCCGGCGAGAATATATTGGCATCCGTGGAAGATCCAAAGCCCATTTCTGTCGCTGCACCAGCAGAAGCAGTCGTAGCTAAATTGAGGCCGCAGTCGAGGCTTGAATCTGCAATCGAAAAGACGGACATCGATATATATACATATATATATATGTATAGGGGAGAAAGGGGCTAAGACTCAATCTCTACTTTTAGGGACGCATTGTATAATGTCCGTGGGACAAGAGGACAAGAGGACAAGAGATTCATTCTGGCTAGCAATAGTAGTTTCTTGGTTATTCACATTTTCGATGAGGTATGTATCAAGGCGTATATTTAACAACTGCAGAATACTCATTCACATCCCATCGGCTATTTAGAAGCTAAGTTTAGCTCTAATACTGCTCTAATGTTTTCAGCTGCAAAATATAGTGCTTACGCTCCAAAAATGTGAAAATTACAGGGTATATTTTCAGGGCGGATCGGGAAAATTTTAGCACTTTATATACACGAGTAATAGCGCCGAAATAAACTGCGTTCATACTGACACGGACAGTCGGACAGACGGACATTGCACAAAACCAATATACTAATTCACTTTCGTGAATGAGTATAATAATCGATTGTAGGATTGTAGGACTGGAAAAACATTATAAGTGAAGCGGGTGCTTCTGGCAATCCCTGTGTTGTAGGTATATTAATTTATTTATTTATTTATGAATGAAGTGTATATAGGAATCTGAGAATGAGTACGGCAAGAGCTCTCCTCGGGCTCAGGATATCTCCTAGTTGGGTATTTAGAATGTGGCCTTTATCAAGGATAATCTGCTTTTACATATATTCATACATATACATATATTTTATTCTCTTTACAATGAGTTCCCTTTTCAGCAGGATGTAGTGTCCTCGCACACAGCCAAGCAAACCAATTGAAAATTGGTGGCTAATGAAAAGTAAGCTTTGAAATGAGCCACAAACGAACATTTCCGACTTGAAAATCAAGTTGCAAGAGATAGGATAGGATAGGAAATCATATTATGCAGCACGCGAATTAATAGTGGTAATTTTTTTCTTATCTATTAAGTTTACCTTTTAAATAAATTACTCATATTGTTGTTGTTGTTGGAAATAGAAAAAACCTTCTTTTTTCATCGTCAATAATATGAAATTCTCGTTAAGACAAAGTACATTGGAATGCGTTATCCTCAGTAGTATTGATAATATATAGATGTGTTGAACATTGCGCATACAAACTTACTGTTCGAATTATTAGTTGGTTGGGACTCGTATGAAAATTTGAATGAATTAATTAAAGAGCTTTGCATCTCCTCGAAAAGCACGCACATACAAACAGAGTCTTGATGCTTCTTTTTAACGTACAGATTAATAATCCTGTAAGAGACCCCTTTGGCTAATCAATGTCTTTGATAATAGGAACGACCACAACAAAGCCGAAACGCACAACACGTTCACAGCCAGAAACAGAAATCCAGAATCCAGAATCAAGAGCCCAGCGCCCAGTGCCAATGCCCATACCACGCTTAACCCTCAGTCCGACTTCGTCTCCATCTCCAACTCCAACGCGAACTCTGTCTGATTTGGATTGGTGTTGGTGTTGGTGTTGGTGTTGGAGTCGAAGTTGGTCTCAGCTGCGTACAGTTAATTGCAAGCAAGGGTGCAGCCGTTGTGATACGGACCAAATGCGAATATATTTCAAATTCCATTACCAATTTCAAAGCAATTTCCATACAGCTTGATTGCATCGAATTAAAAAGCCGACAACAAAAAAGCCCCAGATACCGAGAACTTTTTGGAGTCGAGCGCAACTGACTGCACAATACTCGCTCACAGATTTTTATTAATAATTTTAACGTAGCTTCTACATATCTATGTAGAGTATATAAATTCTTGACAGAAAACAATGAACTTGGCCCAATTACAGAGGGTCATAGCTAGAGAGAAATAATAAGGGAGGGAGACAGACTTGTTGTTCATGGCATAATAAGCTAACTAATCGATAATAATAAAAAATTGAATACTATTCAAGAAGAAGCAATTAAAATTTAATTAAAATTGTTTTATTTTTCCTCCCATTTTCTTTTTTTTTTTTTTTTTTTGTTTAATCTTATTATTATTATTATTATTTTACCTTCCCAAATGTCTGCAATAAAGATACACACTCACTCATTCAAACGCACACACACACGCATAGAAAGACTTAAGTATTGTATAATACGCGATGCGTTCGTAACTCATCATTAAGAACCGAGATCCCAGTTCGATTTTACTTTTTTGGTTGCCCGATTCTTCGATTATTATCGTTCTTGTGGCGAAACGCGCCAGTTTCCTCCCCTCTCCGTCTTATTCCATTTGTCTATCTGTCTCTCTCTTTCGCTCGCTCGCTCGATCGCTCGTTCTCTTTATATATAGACATATCACTCTCTGTCTGTGTAGTGCGTTGTGTGTATGCGCGTGTGTGTGTGCGTTGCCCCTCTGCCGATTTATATGCGCTTTGAGATTTATACGCTGACGCTGACCCTTGAGGAAATTATTACAAATTACTTAAGAATGCAAAAACGATTATATGTATCCATCGAATTTGCAATTAGTGACGTGCACAACACACACTTTGCTCCACGTCCAGGCCCGACCTGAGTCCGCTGCTTGCAGTTTGCAGCTCTCAGTTTTCAGTTGGAAGTTGGCAGTTGGCCCAAGAGCAGGTAAACACAGTGTGATGTTCCCATATCTCAGCTGCGGCATCGTGCGGGGTGCCGTACCGCAGGCTTAGCACCTAAGCCACAGAGCAGCAGCAGACGCTGCAGCGCGCAGTGGCCATAACCAAAGAGAAACAGAGAGAGAAGGAGAGAGGGGCAGATCACAGCTGGCAAGAACCTGGAATCTGGATTTTGTGCTGTGCACGGTATACTCCCACCAGCGAAACAGACACAGCTACAGGGTATCTAGGCTCTCTCCAATGATGGACAATAGCACTCTGCCCTGCGCCTTCTACACTCTTTCTCTTTCGACCTCTCTTCCTCCCTGGCAATTGGCTTGTAATTGTTTTGCTCTTCGGATCCCTGAATCCAATTTTAAGCAATTATAAACCTTTTCTTGAACCGTAGTAGACGTCGGCCGATCATTGCTGTTCCTCTCTCATACCACAAAATGTATTTGGCCAACTTCTATAATTTTTATTAAGCACTCCGAGCATTTTATTTTTGATTCTAGACCCAACTATTTCTGGCCAGCTGCCGTCCGCCCTACACATGTGTTCACTTAAGGACTTGCTCGGATCTATCTGATCCCACTTGGACACGGACCCCGGCTGTTGGTAAGGGGCTCCTAGGACCCTCCCTAATTGTAATTGCTCTAATTGTATCTTAATTTTGAGGTCTGTGCGGAACGACATCTAGGCTTCTAGTTAGGCGTTAGATCTTGAAATGTATTGCATAAGCTTCTGCAGCATTTAACATGGTCTAATGGTTTCTCTGGAATTGGCTAACACGTACCTTCAGTGGGGGCCAGCGGCAGTTGTTCGGTGACCTTGAACACCTCGTTGAGTCCGAGCATCTCCATATTTTCGCTACGGCGCTGGAGGCAAATGAATTGCTCAACCTGCATGTGCCGCAAGCCCTTCACGTGTTGCACCATGTCATGCAGATTTTTGGCAACAAAGTTACACAGTTGACAACAAAGGGATTTCTTCGGGGGCGTCGATGATGCTGATGGCGATGTCTGTTGTTGTTGTTGTTGTTGTTGATGTGGCTGCTGCTGCTGCTGCTGCTGCTGCTGCTCCTGCTGATCGTCATTGAGTAACTGCATCGGCATCGACATCGACATCGACATTGACATCGGCATCGACATCGACATCGACATCGACATCGGCATAGGCATCGGCGACTCCCTGTAACTACGATGCATGCGACTCTTCTGTATGATGTGCAGCAAGTGCAGAAAGATCATGCGCATTGTGTCATGCCGCATCTGCTGCGTGTGCAGCGAGAGCTTCTGAATGGAGTTCGTGTGGTAGTCGCAGCAGTTGCACTTCACCTGCACCACATTCGCCGCTAGCTGGGTTTGGTACTGCAGCTTATACTCGTTGCGCGGCCCGCCCTCGCGAATGTGATTGATAAAGTTGAGCTTCTGCAAGTGCTTGTCCGTCTTGCTGTGCAGCTGGAAGTTGGCCTTTAGATTGGTCTTGTAGTTGCATAGGCGGCAAATGTAGTTGTTGTTGTGGATGACCATGATGTCCGTGGAGGAGCTCGACAGCTGCCGCGACCGGTCCAGCAGCAGGTGCTGATTCAGCTCCTCCATATCGTTGGTGCTATAGCAATCGCATATCAGGCAGCTATATAGGGCCGTGGGCCACGGCTCCGGCTGGCTCTCCGAGTACGCGTCGAGCGCCTCTAGCTCAGCGCTCGTTGCAGTCGCCAGATTCCCGATCCCCGTTGGCATCTTCATGGGCTTTGGCGAGTAGGCGGCGAACGTGGCGTGCAGCTGCTCCGGCGTGCTAGCCGGCGAGCCCGTGTTTGTTGGCGACATTTTGCTGGCAGTGGAGGGCAGCAACTGCTGCTGCTGTGCCTGGGCATTCTGCTGCAGCAACTGTATCATCAGCGCTTGGTTATAAGCCAAGTCAGCTAAGGCTACCTCCGGCCCAGCTGTCATAAAGCTGCTCGAATTGCCCGTTGCTGCTGGTTGCTGCTGCTGCTGCTGCTGCTGCTGCTGCTGCTGCTGCTGAAGATAATTTAATGCCTGGATGTGCTTAATGTTATTCTGCAGCACTGCCATGTTGTGCGTGTGTTTTTCACTGGTCATGTGGATGCGCAGATTTCGCGCCACCGATGTTTCGTAGCTACAGATGTCGCAGCGAAACGTCGGTTTCGGTTTGGTCGATGACAATGTTGCTGCCGTCGTCGCTATCTCCTTCGATATTGCTGCATTACCTGCAGCAGCATTGGCATTGACTGAAGCGCCAACACTCGCTGCCGCTGCTGCTGTTTGAGGCGGTGCAGGTTGGGTCGGAGTTGGACTGGGCAGCATTAGCTTGGCGCTAGCTGCTGCTGCTGCTGCTGCCACTGCAACCATGTTCTGCGAACTGTTCAGCTCCTGCATATTGTTCAAATGCTTGTCCGACTGCATGTGTATCGATAGGTTGCCCTTCGTTGTCGTCGAATAGTTGCAAATTTCGCAGCGATATGGCTTATAGCCGCATGAGTAGGATTCGCCACGAGCCAGCCGTGGATGCTGTTGACCTGAAACGATTTGATTTCATGTGAATATTTTTATGATTGGAGTCCTGCAACATTTGCGCCCGCCCGTGAGTAATAGTGCTCGGTTGCCAAATACCCTAAGTCTGGCACCTGACTGTGCGTTGACTCCGATCCGTTATATCTATTCCAACCGGAAACTGCGTTCCCTAGCCTAAATATACCTCGCAGCTTCGGCTGCAAGTCTGGCCAACAATCTGGACTTGCAGATGATGAAATCTGGACTTGATATATAGCTTGCTCTCAGCTTGGAGCTCCATCAGAAATTGAGTGACAACAGAGCTCAGCTCTACTGCAACCTACATCCCTCTGAGTACGGCTCAGAGTCGGGCTGGTACCTCCTACTCTCTCTTTCTCTCTCTCTCTCTCTTTCTCTCTCTTTCTCTCTCTTTCTCTTTCTCTCTCTCTCTCTCTCTCTCTCTCTCTCTCTCTCTCATATACACAATTTCTTTTTATTCATAAAGCTGATATCGCTCGCTGTCTCTCTCTTACTCTCTTTCCGTCTCACTCTCTATCGCTCTTTCCCTCTCACTCTCACACTCTCTCTTTTCCCTCTTTCCTCTCTTTCTTCCTCTCTCTCTCTCTTCCTCTCTAGCCCTTTTCTTTCGAGTCCTACCTGCTAAACAATATCCGCAGGCACTCTCTCCATCTGGATGCTTCTCACGCATATGGATTTCCAAAGTTTCCTGGTATTTGTAGTGCCAATTGCATTGTGGACATTTTAGAGTTTTGCAGGAGTTACGCGTGGACATCTGAACGCCGCTGTTAAGACGAGCCGAGTTCAATAGCATCTCGCAGCTGCAATAATAAACAGTGAAATATATCCAATTGTAGCATATATACATACATATGTAGTCTGTCGAAAGGGAAGTGCAAATTGTTAGATGGTCAAAATATTTTCTGGAGTGGTTTCTTGGTTTCTCTTTGTCGATATCTGACCTGATTCGGGCTCTCCTTCACGAACGGACAACTATGGCGAAACTTGGGATCTATCCCTGGAAAAGGCAAATCGTTTATCCAAATAGAAATGCAACCTATGCATACGGATAAGGTATATGCACTACCGCACTACAGTGAACGGGCGACTCGAGCCTTCATACCATTATATATAGTCAGCCAAGACACCCAAAGAGATATACTCAAAGCCCTTAACTTTGGACACACATACGACCACGTATATGGGAGATTGAAAGCGCCACAGATATCGATGGCGAGAGAACTGAGATGAGATGAGATGCAGGTAATTGAAATAATTAGAACTACTTTATATCTATACGGGTTTCAATCTCAGCTCAGGGAATGAATGCTCTATGCTCTGTGCTATGTGCGCTTCATGACTATCATGAGTACTTAATTTGAATTCGAGTCGGACGACTCTATTGTAAATGAGTGGCACATTCAATTAGTGAGTAGTTCACAATGGACGGGACGGGCAAACAGCACCCCACAAAGTGTTGATGGAATTTTATGATCGCAATGCATTGCGGCAATTTGAATTGAAGCCGACATATATTCAGATATTTATACATACATATATATATATATATATATATATATATTATTTATTAAGTGAAATCTGTGCAATTGGTTTAATTTATTTTTGTTGCGCCGCCTCCGTCCGACCATTTCCTCATATTCATCTCTGCCTCGAAGACTCCCAAGAGAGATTGTCGACAATGCGTTCGTTTAAATAAGCTCGTATTATTTAGAACCATTGTTTGTGACTTGAGTTGGCACCACGGAGACGTAATATCCACTTATGTGCACCCCCTATCTGTGTATACAGCAAATCATACGAGCAAACGTTGAGCTTGTCTTGGACTTGCCATGATCACACACAATCTATAATCTGGAAACTCTATTGATGGACAACTCCATATTCATTTCGCATATACGTCAGAGAGTAGAAAGGATTTCAATTCAGACGTCTTCATGCAATCAATGTGAATACACAAATTGGAGCGAACATGTCCCAAGGCTCATTTGCGTTTAAATGAACAGCCGGAACAGAGCCCGAGGTGACGCGGGAGTCGGGGGCTGGGACCAATCAACAAAGCCTGGCCAGCCAAGACCCTCTCGCCATGTCAGAAATTAGACTAATGAGTTATTCCATAGCCTGATGATGGCGATGAATCCCCTTTTGCACACTGCTAAAGTTCAAACAGCAGCAGTAATTACGCTTATTATGTGCTGCTCGACCCCTTTTCACAGTGCATTGCATTGTCAGCAAGGACGTGGCGCGCCGGAGACTTGCCCATATCTGGAAATACCTCGATAGACGAGACCATAACCCAATCAACCCTTTTCACCAGCCTCCCATTATATGCATATGTATGTATTTATGGTTATGTGTATATGCAGAAATATTTCGGCGGGGTAGCAAACGCCGGCTTACGTCCAAATTGGTAATGTTACGCTTCAATGATCGATTATAATCCTCAATTCCTTCTCCTCAAACAGCCAGATAGACAGAAGGAATACAGATACAGTTTCATGTACTTTCAGCGTATAGCCCAAGGAGCACAATTCGGACGCTTAGCTGGGTAACTGGACACAGTCGTGTCGTGTCTGGGTCGATATGTCCCTCTATTATTCTATCCGTCCACATAAACGGTCAAAAAAGCTAAATACTTCAAATGTAATCAGATTTTCTATATATATATATGAGTAGTATATATTCGAGTGGAATATTCCTGCTTTAGTTGGGTATGCAGGATTGCCTCGGGAGAGAAACGTGGGTACTCACCGACCGCAATCCACGCCTTGGGGTCGCCCATTAATATGATCGGAACAAGCGCCAATCGTGAAGCTCGATGCTGTTGTATTGCCAACGGACGAGGCGGTGGGCGAGATGGGCATAGATGCTGAGATGCTGCCGTTGGGCGAGCGCAGAGGCTGCGGCAGCGACTGAGATTGGGGTTGAGACTGGGGAGTAGCCGGCGACTTGGTTCGGTGTTGAATATCAATCAATTCACAAGTTTTGCAGTCGACACCCTTAAAATCGGGATGCTCCAAGCAGTGTGTGGGGAACGGAAGGTGTTTCTGCTGTTGCTGTTGCTGTTGCTGTTGCTGCTGCTGTTGCTGTTGCTGTTGCTGCTGCTGTTGCTGTAACTGCTGCTGCAGAAATTCTGTGAGTAGCTTAACACCTCGTGCATTCTGCTCATTGGCCAAGGCAGTGAGAGACGCATGAAAGGAACTTAGTTGGGCCTGGGCCTGTATTGTGGGTGGATAAACGCCGGCCGGATGTTGCTGCTGCTGCAGAGAGAGCAGATGTTGCTGCAACATTTCGGCCGCTGTTAGTGTTGCAGCATCTGCATCCACAGGCTGCTGCTGTTGTGGAGCTGTGGGTGAATCAGTGCCACATCCGGAGCCGACTGACTCCGACCTTTGGCTACGCTTGTTTGACTTATCGCTATCTATATTATCAGTACTGGACTTTACATCTGAAGAAGGTGGACTGGGTAGAGCTGCAGTTGCAGCTGAGCCTGAAGGTGGAGGAGGGGGAGGAGGAGGAGGAGGAGGAGGAGGTGGAGGTTGGGGCGAAGGGGTAGGCGAACGTGTTGCGCCCTCGCAAGCCACCCGCAACGGCTCGGCTGCATCTGTCGGCGATGCTGATGATCCTCTTGCAGTTGGTGTGCCACCTGCACTTGCACCTGGCTTATCATTAGTCTTAATTGTTGCTAAATTTAAGGAACCAAATTTCACAGTTGTTGCAATACTATGCAACGCCTCTGTCATCTCAACATCAGCTACGGCATCCTCGGCACCCGAGCTTTCCCCTCGACCCGAGCCAGAGCCCGAGCTGGAGCCCGACCCTGATAGTTGATCCTGAATGCGCTTCGTTTCGCTGGCATCAATGTTGAGAGCATCCTTAACATCCAATGGCTGTAGAAATGAGATCTGCGGCTTCTCATCCATATTCCGCTGAATGATCGCACTCGAATATTCACGATTCAAAAGCTGTTGCTCCAACTCCACCAGATTCAATTGATGCTCGCTATTCGCATGCAAGCTGAACGAGTTGACAGTGCCGAACGACAATTTGCATATGAAGCACATCAATATCGGCTTATGATTTTGTGTCTGGAACGCATCTACCGCATCCAGGCAATGGCTGCTGGCATCTTGGGCGGATACCACGCGAAACGAATGAATCCTGGGGCTCAAGTGTCTGGGCACCCTGCAAGTATCATCCACTCCCAAATCACCACCCTCAACTGCACCGTCAGCCTCAGACTCAACGTCAACTTGTCCCCTGCTCCGATTCTCTATGCCTGTTGACTGTACATCTGTGGGTGCTCTAGCCGTAGATGTTTCTGTTGCTGTAACTGTTGATGTTGCTGTTGCTGTTGCTGCTGCTGCTGCTGCTGCTGTTGGTGTCGTTGTGGCAGAGCTTGATCTTAAATGATTACTGGACGACACAGTCGCATGGCCTGCATCGATTATTAAGGCGCTGCCGTCAAGATTGTAAACTATTTTGCCATTAAAAGTTTCAACATCAGAGCTGGACATTGGAGAGCCGTCGTTAGCATTATTGGAGTCCTACGAACACACAGCAAAAGCAAGCAAAAATATCATTAGTAATCGGTGCATCATTCAGTTAAGAACGTTACACTTAAGAGTTTCTTACATCTAAGGCGAAAGATAACATTTTTATGATATATATACTACTTTAGTAGAAACTGACCGACTAGGGGATACCCTGAATCCTGCAAAGAACTGACATCCCAACCATTCTGCACGCACGTACAAGCACGCGTTCTGCTAACTGTGCCCTAACTGTGCGGCTGCGCTTCGGCTGAAATGTGGGCAATAGTATGAGAGTTCATTTATTGAATAATTTCTTTTGTAATGGGACTATCTAAATGAGATTCTCAGAACGTGATCATACTGATCAAATGTGTGTATATTCTAAAGCACAAGGTTCTAGTAGTTCGCGTGGTATCAAATGTATAAACACAATAAATGAGAAGTCACTAGGTCTAATCGTATTCAAGAAACGAAATAAGTGTTATTTATAGGTTATTCTCGATTTATAGGTTATTCTCGATAAAAACAGAAATCGGATGAGTTAACTGTGGACGGACTATCTTTATGAAACTTTCAGAACGTGATTATAGCATTGAAATGCGTGAGCTCAACCGGTTATGTCGACGAAAATTCGATGTATTGGTTGGGGGTAATGTTAATGAAATAAATTTATACAATTTTTGTGTTTTGATTAAACAAATAAATTGTTTTATGTTAAAACCGATTACGAAAATGGCAACCGTAAAAAGGTTTAAGTGTCCTCCGGGTATAGCGACGTTAAATCGTCGGTCCCTTGAACGTCGTTATAATCGGACTCCACTATATATGGGTGAACAAGGTATATGAGAATCTACATTTAAAATTTGGCGACTCTATATCTAAAGATGTAGCCGATATAATTAAATAACATATTTTCGGTAGTCTTCTAAATCTTTCAAACAAATTTTATTTTTAATTTATATTTTCTGAGATCGACGCGTTCATACATACGGACAGACGGATGGACGGACAGGCCTATATCGACTCAGCTCGTTGCCCTGATCAAGAATATATATACTTTATGGGGTCTGAGATGATTCTATTCTGCCTGTTACATACTTTTCAGAAAATCATTATACCCATTAACCATTATACTCAAAAACCATTATACATTGCAAATGGGCTCCGGGTATAAATTGGACAAATATGAGCATCAGACCCGAATCTGCACAACCTTCCAATGCAATGTCGCTGCACTACTCGAATAGACCGCAACTAAAAAGAAAACAGTGAGCTCTATTAGTGTTTGAGACATGAAATTTTGTATTTATAGATCCCAAAATCAATTAGATATGTCGGATAAATCAGCTTTGGAGCTGAAAACGTCACTACCGCCCGACAGCAAGGTTACAATTCTATAAAGATTGATGGGCAAATTATATGTCAGATGCCGACAGGGGGCGTGGCAAACCTCACAAGTTTATATCTTCCACAGTTGAAGACCTAGAAGCTTCAGATTTGGATAGTGGCTGGTAACCTGCTCTATGGGTGACTCAAAAATAATTCTCACGCCTCTTTAGGGGCGTGTCATATCGAAAAATACCCTACATATATATATAGTGTACCAATAATGTCTTCGTAATGTCTTCGTACAGCAACTGAATACTGAAAAAATAGTCTTTAAAACTAACAAAAATTTAATTTTTGGTATATTTAATATTTTGTAGGGTAACTTTTATTTTTAATAACCTGTTTTAGTGTTCTCTGGGCAATTGTTATATATTTATTCCCATTCCTCTTTTAAAACTTCTATAAGCTTGGATTTTGACGAAATATGATGCTTCCTTACATATTTTTCCAACATATGCCAACAATCCTCTATTGGATTTAGATCAGGGCTTTTTGTTATTATGAGCCATGTGCCTAGGGTCATTGTCTTGTTGGAAATAATAAGACCTCGATAATCCTAGCTTGGCAACACCGAATATTTCTTTAAAATTTCAATATATTTAAGGTGGTCATCACCCTATCAATTATCTCGAAATTTCCGACACCAGCAGCAGCCATACAGCCCCCATACCATGACGCCACTACCGCCATGCTCCACTGTTTTAAGTGTGTGTTTAGGTTGGAGGGCCTCTCCGGTTCTTCTCCACACGCGAAGTCGCCCATCCGATCCAAATATATTGTATTTGGATTAATCAGATAAAAGTATATTACGCCAAAACTCGACTTGCGCATTTTCGTACTGTTTTGCGAACTCTAAACGTTTTTTGCAATTAGCCCTGTTTACAAGCGATTGTCGTCTTGGCGTGCGCGACTTATACCCACAAATGGATTCGACGCAACTATTCTCTTGATATTTAGTCGATCTGCGTTTGTTAGCTTGCTCGGTCTTCCGGATTTTCGCTTCCAATTACGGATTGGATCGTTGACCGACTGCGAGATGATATATTCGCAATTTCCGAATATGATTTCTGCTGCTTAACATGCATTATTAAAATTAGTATCAAAAATTTGGTAAGAATCTAACTACATGTACATATATGTCTTATTCGCTCTCAAAGAACAGATTTGCTCCTGTACGAAGACATTATTGGTACACTGTAGATCCACAAGAAAAGTTATTAAGTAATTAATTTCCTATAGTAAGCCCATACTGCAGCCCATGCGTGTTTATGCCTGCGTGCCTATATAAGTATGTGGTCTGTGAGTGTGTGCGTTTCTTATATATATGATATCTCTCTTTGATATATGACATCTCGAAATATTGACACAAAAAAGTTCTGTTTTGAGCATTTCTATTATACATTTTGTTCTTATTATTGTTCTTAAAGAGATACTATGCGATGAAATATGATGCTTTGATTTTTTTCTATTTTATTATAATTAATAAATTGAATCATTTCTAGTACTTTTATTCACGTATAGTTACATAAAAAGTTTAAAAAATGAGCATGGTGGAAAAATGTCGAACTCGACACGTCACAATCGACCCTGATTAAAACTGAGAAAATTAAAAATAAAAATAAATACTATTCAACATTGTTGAATCAAATAAAAAGCATTCCTAATAATTTGAAATTATTTGTAATGAATTGCCTCTTAAGGTTTCGCTTAAATCTGGGGTTGAACTGTTCGGTTAAAAAGCGAGTTACGTTTTTTGCAGCGTGCGAACCTGTACATTCGCCACTAGAGAATTATTATATTATTTGTATTATAATTATTATATATATAAACATTTTATATACTGAACTCTGTGGCGCAGTGGCGCATTTACTTAATGTTATCAACAAGAAGAAAGAGGGGAACAGGAAGAAGAAGAAGCAATGACACTAACAATGTAAAATGGGTAATTATTTGACAATTATCTGAAATGTGTTTTCAGAATGCCTTATAGCTATTTAATGACAACGGGGTTCTGATGACAACTTAAATATACGTTGTGCGTGTGTGTATGCTTGCGTGTGTGTGAGCACCTCTGTCCAACTGACTGTACCTCTCTCTGTCTGTCTCCCTTTCTCTCCCAATCTCAGTGCTTTGTTATTGTAGTGTTAACTCTGCAGTACAGTCTGTGTGTGTGCGTGTGTGCGTGTGTGGGCACTCAATGTAACTGCAATTTGCATCTGAACAATTGTTGACAATTACTTCATGTACATATATACAAAGTGTGTGTGTGTGTGTGTGTGTGTGTGTGTGTGTGGGTGTAGGTATGGAGGAGGGGTGGTATTTAAATGCAAATACATACATAAGTGCATAGCGAGAAGTTCTGTGCCGTATGTGATTGAGTGTGTGTACCAATTCGCCTGTGCTGAGCCTAGCTAGAGATGTGCGCGTGCTCGATATGCAACAGGCAGAATTGGGAGTGCCAAACACACTAGAATTGAATAACGATAATTTTGTTTATCAAGAGGGCGAACTGAGTTGGCAACTTAACCATGTCCACCAAATTAAAATTAAATGGAATAAACTGTTAAAGGGATAGGGTTTTGATTTGTGTGCCTGTGTGTTTTTTTGCGTAGGTATGTATTCTTTGTCACATGCATACGTATGTGAATATGTGGAAAAAGCTCAAAGTGATATTAATGGTATCTCCCACTCGAGTAGTCCCCCCTCCCAAGAGTCATACCATCAATAGAACTACATAAAGAACTTTTCTTTAGTGTCAGGCATGGTATCATTCGAGTTGAAATCGTGATCACGACCCGAGCCCATCTCCCATTCAGACCGGAGTGAAATCATTGAATGAAGAAGGTTAACAAATGCAGGGACATGAACATACATACATATATAATTCCTATGTATGGGTCTTATAGATGGTTAAACATGAAATACCTCTGGAGGCTCAGAATACAGCAAATAATAATAATAATACAATTCTGAAAAGACCTAAAGTAAAATTGAAACCGAATTCAGTAAGTATTTAATAGCTGTTATCAGAGGAGTCATTGTCCGTGAAATGAAATCTGCATGTCGCATCCATAGAGACACATATACATGCAGCATTTGTGGGTGTGTGGATGTATGACTGACTATTAATATGGAAATAACAGTAAGATTGCTCCAGTCGGGAGTGCCCAGCTCGGAGTTCTTTTAGAGTTGTTCTCCCAATCATTCTACGCTTCTCTAACGAGCACGAGACGAACACGCACACATACACAACAACTAAGAAGGCTCTAGTCGAGACTGCTCGACTAGGAGATACCCTGAACCCTCTAAGCTGATATTCTACTCATTCTGCACTTCTTTTATGCACACATGTATACACGCACGTATATCACGCGCTCTGCTGACTGCGCAGTTAGCAGCGACAGGCTAATATTATGAGAACTTGTTTGTTGAATAATATTTTTTGTAGACATACAATCTTAATGAAACTTTGAGAGCGTAATCATATGGTGAAAATGTGTGTACATTTTCAAGCACAAGTCTCTAGTACTTTAAAAATAAATTGGTGGCGAAGGGGGCGTGGTATCCAAAATCTGTAAACTACAACTGTATCGATCAAATGTAAATACACAGTAAATCTGAAG